TGTATGTATGTATGTATGTATATGTATGTAAAAGATAGTTTAGGGGTTGTAGTGTTGACACATGTCATACGTGACAAGGCAGTAAACGCCAACGCGTACAGACCTCAAACATTAAACGCCAACGTGTAGGCCAATGTGTGCAGACACTAAGCATTGATGTTCGTCTTTCGCAATTCTCGCTTCAATAGTAACATGTACAGACGCCCAGCCGTCATATATCCCCAATGAACATCAAAACACCAAAATGAACATCAACCGGTACAATGCCAAAATGAACATTTAAAATCATTACAAAAAATGAATCTCTTCAACCACCAACATCAAATTAAAAAACCCCAAAATAGAATAATATCACTCTTCACATTTCACAAAACAAAAAAGATACAATGTAGCCTTTCAAAATCCTACAAAACCAAAACATACACAACCCTTTAACACATGCCCAAGCGTAGCACGGAAGAAAATTAAATCATAAACCAAACTCTCCATTTTCAACCATCGCATCAATAACATTATGACAACGAGCCCTAATAACAAGCTCGTGCGTAGCACGGGGTAGAAAACTAGTACTTTAGTATTTAATTGTTGGATCATGTATGGGCTCTCACAAGCTAAGATTGTATAGCACATAAATGAACTCTTGTTTGATCAAATATTAAAATCAACGACATAGCACACGATTATAATAATGAAGTGAGTTTGAAAATAGAACAAATCTAAATCTTATGTAGATGCCATGTGCATCTCGTGTCATGTTCTCTTATTCATTACAACAATCACTTGGCTAAACCAAGTACACATTTGTCAAAAAATAAATTATTTTTGGTGAATAAGAACCTTTTTATAGTATCTCCTTTTAATTTAGACCAACATCATTTTCTATTTACCCAAGTAAAAACAGAAAAATGAAATTTTGACTAAAACTGATGCATGAAGATAGAAATAATATGAACTATAAAGTGAAAAAATTTTGGACGAACGAAAAGGAACATATAAAACTTTTTTTGTAAGACAAATAGAGTATTATATTAACTTACACCCTTAATAAAGTACCCATACCCAAGGGAGGCCATAACAACTTGTTTTTTTAGCAGTGCTAGACGAACATCAAGCAATCAACACCAAAATTCACAGAGACTGTTAATGTCTGTGCGCGGACATTAAATGTTTGTGTGAGCATTGGTGCGCATGTGGTGTCAAATGTATGATCTCTCCCTAACACTCGCTATATTTTTAGGAGTTGTGCTTCGGGGAAAACCAAAATGGTGTCACGATTTTAGTGTCTCCCTAACATTTTTGTGCTTTTAGTGGTAGTGTCCCATAGCATAAATCAATCCGGCCTCCATGTGTGGACTTCTTATTACCTCCCAAACCAAACCCTCTCTTGACCACCTTTCCAACCTCTCTAGCTATATATCCACATGAAATAACCCAAACAAACAAACAAACCAATGGCATGCTTCACCGCAACCACGACACCGCTCCTCTTCTGTGTGAGAAGGGGAAAAGCCCAGCTCATCGTGCCCGAAACCGCGACCCCGCGCGAGCTGAAGCCCCTCTCAGACATCGACGACCAGGGCAGCCTCCGGGTTCAGGTCCCGGTCTTGATGCTCTACAAGAGGAGCGAGCGAATGCGGGGGGAGGATCCCGGGGAGGTGGTCAAGAAAGGGGTGGCCAAGGCGCTCGTCCTCTACTACCCGTTGGCCGGGCGGGTTCTGGAAGGGCAGAACAAGAAGCTCATGGTGAACTGTAACGGGAAAGGGGTTTGGTTTGTCCCTGCGAGAGCTAATGTGGAGCTTGAGAAGATGGGGTTTGAGAGCATGCGTCTGCCATGCCCACACCTTGACAAGCTCCTCATGAATGTGCCTGGCTCTAAAGGAGTCTATGATTGCCCTATTGTTCATATTCAGGTATTTTTATAAAAAAAAATGTTACTCCCTCCGTTCAACAAAACCCTTCCGGTTTTGACTTTGGGGAAAAATAAGAAAAGTGTAATTTTGGTTGACTTTCCTATTTTGCCCCTGATGTGATGGGAAAAAGTAAGATGTGATAGTTTGGTTATTAGTGAAAAAGTATGATGTGATAGGTAGGGTATGAAAAAGTAGGGGTAAAAGTTGTTTTTTAATAGAAAGTGGAAATGTTTTATGGAAAGCAAAAAAACGAAAGAGGAAGGGTTTGTTGGAACGAAGGGAGTACAATTAAATGATACTCCCTCCGTTCCAAAAAGATTGGTACATATTGACTTTTTGGAAAATTAAGGGAGGGATATTTTGGTGTTGACTTTTCAAAAATACCCTTGATGTGATGGTAAAAGTAGGATGTGATGGGTAGATTATTAGGAAAAAGGTATGATGTGATAGGTAGGGTATGAAAAAGTAAAGGGTAAAAGTGGTTTTTTAATAAGAATATAACGGACTTTACGGGACGTAGTTTTTTCGAAACGTGTCGGACTTTTTGGGAGGGAGGGAGTATAATATAGTTGTACACGATATGATTTGGACACATGATTTGTGACATGTGAATTATTCAGGTAACTCGTTTCGCTTGTGGTGGTTTTGCACTAGCCATTCGCTTCAACCACACTATGATGGACGTCCAAGGGTTCATACAGTTCCTAAATGCGGTCAGCGAGTTGGGGCAGTCTGCTACCGAACCATCCGTAGCGCCAATTTGGCAGAGAGAGCTCTTGAATGCGAGGCCATCCCCGGACATAACATCCCGGCACAGGGAGTTTGAGGAGTCCCACGAATCGAAAGGCAAGAGGTGTTGGCGTGTGGGAGTATTCCACGGCAATTTCGTAGTAGACGTCGAGAGGTTTCTGAAACACCTCGGTTGGCTCTTTGGGAACAAAAGGATTTTCCAAACGCTAATGTTGAAACGCTCATTCACATTTGGTTCAAGAGAGTTACAGGCTCTCAAGGCCAAATGCCCTTCGAGCACGACATTCGAGGCACTATTTGCGTGCCTGTGGAAATGTCGTACCGTTGCCCTCCATCCAAACCCTAAATCTAGGGTCCACTTGACGTTTCTTGTCAATGTTCGAGGGGATAGCGTTTTACGAGGCAGTAACACGCTACCCCTCGGGTACTATGGGAATGCGATGGTGCCTATTGCAGCCACCACCACGGCAGATATGTTGTGCTCGAATCCAATTTCGTACGCAGCCGAGTTGATCAGGGAGGCTAAGCGCGCAGTCAACGATGACTACGTCAGGTCTTTGGCAGATCTTATGGTTCTTAAGGGCCGGCCCAAGCGGCCAGTCCTTAACAACTTTTTTGTCATGGACACAACTAAATTTGGGCTTGATGAAGTGGATTTGGGTTGGGGTAGGCCCATGTTTGGTGGGGTTGTTTCGGCTCTCTATGGGGTTGGGTACTTGGTGCCATATAAAAGGGTGGAAGACAAAAAGGGTGTGGCGGTGGCCGTAGCTTTACCTCCTATAACCATGGGAAAATTCCAAAAAGAGATTAGAAAGGTGATGACTCGAGAATAAGTGCAAAATTGGAAAATTTTAGTATTTATGAACAATAAGTTAAACTTTATTGTAATTGTGAAATAAATCTATATAGAAAGATTATGTAGAGGAAAAATGTGATATCTTGTATTCTCTTACGAGTATTTTATTTTTTCTATTCTACTTGTTTACAAAAAAATACTCCAGTAATTAATAAGCAATGCTTATAGTAGTTGAGCTTGATGGACATAAGTATTGTATCCGAATAATTTTAACGTTTAGTCTTAATATTTTGAAAAAGTTATTTAGTGGTATAACATTTTCTAAGTTATTAAATGCATAACTTAAAAAGTATCTAAAATCTTAGAGTCCATTTGGTATACGAAATTGACGGAATTGGAATTGAAATTCTATTGAATTCAATTCCATAGAATTGAATTTTACCAATTTCAATTCATATTTACACTTTCAATTCCAAACCCACATAATTTTTATACTACCAAACACCAGAATTGGAATTGAAGTCCTCAATTCTAATTCCATAATTTGAATTCCGTGTACCAAATAGGGCCTTAACGTTATTTGAGTGATGGAAATGGGATTTTAAGTTTGAGTTTATGGATCTTCTATATATGAAGGATATAATATTCACACTTACGAATTTGATTAAAACGAGAATAACATTTTAAGAGAATAATGAAAATAAAACCAAGATCTAATTAAGAGTTGCCGATGACCAAAATATAACCGACTTTGTTTTCAATTCAATTTATTTAATTGTAGGTGTCAAAATAAAAAAAATAAATTTTATACGGATTTGAAAAACTAGATAAAAAATTCTATTATTACAAAGCAAGAGGTGACAATGTGACATAAGCCACTTTTTTTATTCCGTACAAATTTGCAAATAAACTGCGTAGTAATTGAAAATAATATCAATCAAAAATGGTAAAAAAAACAACACATAACTTATATTGAGAGTCATAATCATGATTATTCTCGTTATAATTTTTTTGACATCCACAAAAAAAAAAGGATGAATCTCATTCTGCTAGAGTCCACTCAAGCCTTGTTAAGATAATCAATGAATTCCTAATTGGTCTCGACGGGCCAAAACATAGGATGATTTTCTCATAATACTTTCATTTCTCACCCTAATCGTCATTATATCTGATATTGCACCATTATATTTGAACACATAGGATGATTTTGTCAACTTTGTGGAAATCAGGTCTTAGAGACTTTGATATATAGTATATGAATCACGTGTTTTAATTCTGCTAAATAATAAAATAAAATCTCAAATTTATGATTCGAATATCAAAAGTACTGGATTGAGCTATAAAAAATTCGAGTTGAATTACATTATACTTTCTTCGTTCCTTTAAACCCTTCTATTTTTGACTTTGGGCAAAAATAAGGAAAGTGTAATTTTGGTTGACTTTCTAATTTTGCCCCTGATGTGATAGGTAAAAGTAAAATGTGATAGTTTTGTTGTTAGTGAAAAAGTATGATGTGATAGGTAGGGTATGAAAAAATAAGGGTAAAAGTGGTTTTTAATAGAAAGTGGAAGTGTTTTAGGAAATTCAAAAAAAAAACAAAAGGGGAATGATTTTATGGAATGGAGGGTGTATTTTTCTCTTCAACTTTCGATGGAAACACCAACATTTTGATCTTTGCACATGAACTCATTTTTTTTTCAAAATAGATTGACAACTAAATTTGAACTCTAATCTCTAAATCACAAGTTTTTTTATAATTTTGAATGCATGTATTTACTTTAAGGCTCTGTTTGGTACACGGAATTCAAACTATAAAATTAGAATAGGGAATTTCATTTCTAATTGTGCTGTTTGGAATTGATACTGCAAAAAAATAAATTAGAATTGAAAAATTAATTTTATCCAATTCAATTCTAGAAAATTTCAATTATGATTTAATTCTAATTCTTTCAATTTCGTATATCAAACGGAACCTAATAGACTCCTCCAAAGACTTTCATATAAATATTGTTTTAAATTCACCAAGTGGCTTAAATTTGAGCGGTCCATACATTTCCGAACTGCAAAAAGTCATGGATTCATGCATGGATGTGTACACAACCATGCGTGGCTCGGAGGGTGTACAAAGTGGCCAACTGCACAGGGCTCTTAAAATTTTAGGGCTCCGTATTTTTAAATTTGTTAATAATTTTGAAGCAAAAGTATTCTAAAAAAATAAAATAGGGCCCAAAATGTAAATTTTGGACCGAGCCAATTTTATTTTTTCATTTTTCGGAACCGGCCCTGTACACAACTCATGTAGGCCATTATTTTTTAGAATATGAAAAGGTGATACATATAGTTCATAAATATAATTATATGATTGATATCGACTTATCGATACTCAAAACTAAAATAAAAATGAATATAAATCCCACATATACGTTTCAGTGTTGGCCTTGTGTAGACCCGATCACGGGCCCGAGCTCCCAGTCCGTCCACAAAAGTCTACCCACAAAACTGCATCCTTGGCTTACCATTTTAAGGTACAGGCCGGGCTCAGAATTTATAAATGGTGGCCCGCATATTTTTGGACTGGAGTCAAGTTTTATGCTCAAGCCCATACTTCGGCCGGACCCGAATGAATAATAATATTTGTTATTACTATAAGTGAAATTTGCCCTAAATAGGACTAAATGTAGGACTTAAACTTTTTTATTCCCTAAATAGGACTTAATAATGACCTAGTGGGAAGAATAATGACCAGTAATGATGGACATTTAGTTGAATAATGACTACTTGATAATGACCAAAAGTCCTACATTGGGAAATAAAAACATATGGTCCTATATTGGGAAAGTCATTATGTTTTAGTCCTATTTAGGTAAATTTCTCTTACTATAATTATAATAAAATAAGAATAAATTCCGCATTCAAAAAAAAAGTAAATTCCATATTTAGTCCCGTATATGAGTTGGGCCAAACTTGGGCCTAAAAAGTTCTTGTATATATTGTTCTAGCCCAAAATTTGACCCGACCTGCTCTTTGAAAAATCAAAGATCTATAAAAAATTAAATGCATGTGCATTATTATATTATTTATACTACTTTTTTCAAAAAAACTTTTAAAGTTTTTAGTATTATTTTTTTATTCAAACTAAAATTTATGCTTTTATTTAAACTGGCAATATGTAGTTTATTTTACAAACTCATTTTCTTATTTCATTCACATTTTTATTCTGTGTTTCAGTACCATCTAAATATATTTTTATATGTTTTATATATTGGTGATGTAACATATCAACTTGAATGCATATTTCACTTAGTTTTTCAATTTTCATTTCATATCTTGTAATCAAATTTATAGATACACAATATATTTTACTTAAGAGTATACGAAGTCGTGGGAAACACGAGTTAGAAACTGTTTTGGTATGTTTTATATAGTGTTTTAAACTAAATAAAATGAAATCATTAACTTATTTTTAGCTGGATGAAGGACTTCTTTGGGGATAATATAACTCCCGTTTTCAACTAGTTTAATTAGTATTTTAGATAATCTTTAAGGGCATTGTTCAATTGGCATTGAACATAAACATCATCCTATGACGATTCCTATCCCTCAAATTCATTTCGTAAACCCTTCACTCCCCGACCTCCTCCCCCCCCCCCACCCCATCCTCTCAATTGCACTCTGCATATCACTTGATTTTAGAGTCAATTTTTTTGACTCTAAAGTCAATTAAAACTACGTGTTGTAATTGAAGAGAGGTAGGAATCGATTTTGGCAGGGCTGAGGGAGGGTTTACCGGAGAAATTAAGAGTTAGAATCATTAATTTTTTGAATATGGCATCATAAGGCTCATAATAGTATTCATGTAATTTTATGCTTATTGACTTTAAAAACGTTAAAATAAAACATTGTCATTAGATAATTGTTTAAAATGTTAAAAATAAATGTTGAAGCAGTTGTCTAAGTGACAGAAGTAATTGGTTCCTAAACATGTAATGTGAACCAAACTAATCCTTTGTTTGAAATTTTCTTACTCCCTATTTAATTAATTAATTCAGCAACCTAAACGAACAAGCTACTGAAATTGTCCTTTTATAAATTATTTAGATCTTTCTCAAATCTCTTTCAAAATATACATCTTATCTTGTTTCATTTAAAGTTATCTGAAATTTTCAATTCTGTGAATTTCTTTTTTTGTTTTTGCAAAAAAAAGGCTAGTTTCTAAAAGGTTCATCAAGATAAAATGGGGTATTATTTCTAGTCAATTCTAGACTATTATTTATTGCTATATTTGGACTGAGGTGAACCTACACGAATCAATGTTATGAGAGTCTTCAAAAAATAAATTTCTATTTTTGACATTATGAAATAAGTAAGTGATTGAATAAGCCGTGAAATATAATTAATTAGCTAATACTCCTTCAGTCGCATATCTTTCTTCATAATTTGGTTTTTGTCGTCACCTTTGAGATTAAATTATAGAAAAATATATAATTGAATCGTGAAAAGTCAAATTAAAAAATACGAATCATATGAGATGGGGGAGTATTTTTTTCATCCAAAGAAACCCCAAGTGATTGCAATCCTTCCTATATTTTAATTTTGTGGGTTTATTAAATTAAACATCAATAGAAACAAAACATTACTCCCTATGTATCATAAAACGGTTTTTATTTTGACTTTTAAGATAAATAAGGAATGTATATTTATGGTTGAATTTAATTTCCAAATTTATCCTTAATGTGATGAATAAAAGTAAAATATGATGTATACGAGCAGATTATAAGTAAAAAAATGAAGTGATAAATAGATAAAAAAAGTATGGGAAAAAAATGATTTTTTAATGAAAAGTGTAAGTGTTTTGACAATTACTCCCTCCGTTCCAAATTATAATGTCTGTTCACTATTCATAGGGTCAAACTTCATTCATTCTTTCTCAATTTTCGTTAGCAAATTGATAAAATAAAGTACTATTGTCACTACTAGTTTTGTAGATCTTTTGATGTAGTATTTTAATATGTAATTTTTATTTTTTAACTATCTATCATTTGTCATATAAAATAATTTAAAAATAATTTTAGTCAAACATTATAAACTAAAACAGACGTTATAAAATGGGAGAGATGGAGTACTACCTAAAAAAGATTAGGAAAAATTATCCAAAATAATCCCAACTTTACCTGGTCTTTCAAAAATAATCCCACCTTTCACTATAATGCATAATAATCCCAACTTTACTGAAATTTGCCAGTTTTGGGTCGCCGTTAAGTTTCTAACGGAGGGTTAACGAAAATGCCCGTTTTAGGCAACAAAATGAAAGTTGGGATTTTTTTTGATGAATTTTCATTTTTTTTTTAAATTTTTCATTTAAATTTTTAAAATTATTTTCTACCTCCATCATCATTTCTTTTTCCTTTTTTAAAGATTAGTCTTAGTTTAAAAAAATAAAATAGTAGATATAAAAAAATGAAAAAATGAGAAATGTAACTAAAATGATACAAAAATAATAAAATAAATAAGGTAATCAATGGAAACTAACTTGAAATTGGTAAAAGTAAAATAAAAATATACAGGTGGGTTTTAATATTTTACGCACTATACAAAGTATTAACATATGAATTCTTATTTTTTAGAAAAAATTATCTACAATAATTCCAACTTTACAGGACGGCTTGTTCTTTTAAAAAATAAGTAGTACATTAAGACTCCGTATAGTGTGTAAAATGTTAAAACCCACCACTCCGTATATATTTATTTTATTTCTTACCAGTTTCTGTTTAATTTCTATTGATTACATTATTTATTTGATTAATTTTGTATGGTTTTAGTTATTTTTCTCATTTTCATTATTTTTTATATCTTTTTTTTCTAAGGTAAGAATAATCTTTAAAAAAGAAAAAGAAATGGAGGTTGAAAGTAATTCAAAAAAATTTAAATAAAAATTTCAAAAAAATTAAAAAACAAAAATTCATCAAAAATAATCCCAACTTTCATTTTGTTGCCTAAAACGGGCATTTCCGTTAACCCTCTGTTAGAAACTTAACGGCGACCCAAAATTGGCAAATTTCAATAAAGTTGAGATTATTATGCATCACAGTGAAAGGTGGGATTATTTTTGAAAGACCGGGTAAAGTTGGGATTATTTTAGATAATTTTTCCAAAAGATTATACTCCGAAATGCGGATTAATTACGAAAGTATTATTATACCGCGTACGTATTGCCTTTTTAAAGTTTTAAGGCTAAAGATTGAAGAGAAAAAACCTTAAATAGGACTAAAACATATCAAATATACTTAAATAGGACTCCAAAACTTAAATCCCCCAAATAGGACTTAATTTGCGTCGCCATACCCAAAATACCCCTCGTCATTTGTGACACAGAACTATTTTTTCGTCACTGGTCGCGCTACATGTCCACAAGGCCACAAGTACTTGAACCACATGTCCACATGTCCACATGTCACATTACCACAATACAAACTCTATTTTGAAAGTAAAAAAAATGGAGCTGCGATGTTTGTACTTTCTCTAAAGTGAAAGTAAAAAATGAAAAAATCACAAAATAAAATTTAATTTTTCATGTTTTTATTTATAAAATTTGAATTAAAATACATTTACATTAGCAAGCATGACCATGTACATTACAATAAATGTCTATGTAGAGTGTCATATTACCACAATGCGAACATATATTTAGAGAATAAAAATATGGAACTCCTATTTTAACACTTTCTCTATATTTTATTTCTTTAAGCATTAAGTGATTAAACACAAAAAGATAAATGGGTCAAACAAGGAAAAATAAATACGTATAAAGGAAGTTNAGTCCAGCAAAGTATGTAATGTGGATATTACCAGTGTCATAATCTGTAATGTGGTGATGAATATTACGAACCATTGTAATGTAAAGTGTCATAGTATGTAATGTGGTAATGTGTATTACAAAGAGTTGTAATGTAGACGGGGCAGGATTGTGAAGTGTGACGCGGAAAGAAAAAGGAGGGCAAAATCGGGAGAGAAAGAAAGAATATGGCGGGAGAGGTCCTAGTTGGGGATAAAAAACATGAACTCCTATTTTAGGGATAAACACAATGTTTTAGTCCCATTAGGGGTGATTTCTAAAGATTGAAACCGGAGACATCATACTCCGCAATTTTAAAGTATAGTAAGAAAATATGGAGTAGAAGTTTTGATTTGTTTTTTAATTATACATTATATATTTTAATAAATTAAAATATATACTCCCTCTGTCATAAATTAATCGTCTTACTCTCCATTTTAGTTCGTCCTAAAATAATAGGGATTAGGGAGTAATTCAACTTTCTTTCTTTTCTTAGAAAATATAAAATATATATGTGATTCACAATCTTTCTCTATCCTCCGAATAATTTTGAAAATAAGAACATGAATCTCTGTATTTAACATTCTATCAATCTCGATCTTAAAATATTTACTAAGATTCCAGATAATTCGATATCGGTTTCGATACAAATCGAGATGATTACATACGTACATTGTTTACACTTTAAAATGTAACAAAACCCTTTTTTTTGTTGAAAAAACAAAAGTACATTTATTCAAAAAAAATTGAAAATTGAATAATGAAATTTAAGAAATGCTTTTAAAACTTAGTTTATATTTTCACAAGCTAAAAAATGATAGATAATAAAAAAGTATTTTGAATGTTTGTTACTGTAATATTTTTATATTCATCTACAAAAAAGAAATTAAAACTTGATCAAAGTATAACTGGGTCATTTCCCTGTTTGTGTAAAAGAAGTGTAATGCATTCCTTTATATGCAGATTTATTTTGTCATTTCCCAAATAAAACCACCCGGAGTAGGCTAATCCGTTTTGTTGGTATATTATTTATTGAAACGGAGAAGCCTACTCAGTTTTTCTGATTTAATTGCTAAACGGATTTGGCTAATCCGTTCAATTGTTTATTTTTTTGTTGCTTTACTTGTTTTGCTTCTCGGTTCCACAATTGCATTTTTTTGTTTGGCTAATTCATTCCACTACTTCCTTTCACTTTTTGTTCCAATTTTTATTAGCTTAAAATTATTTTGTTCAAGTAATTTTTGTCACTTATAAATAAATTATACTCCATTTTATCCTCCATTTTTGTCCAATTTCATTTTTACACATTATCCAATACACTTCTTTAATCTAAAATATATTGTATAATATAATTTAAAAATAAAAATACTGTTATACTGAAAGAAATCAATTAATTTTTGTTACTTAGAAATTATTTATAATAAAACAATTAAATGTTATACTTAGAAATCGATTAAATACTTAGAAATATTATAATGTGTATAAAAGGAAAATCTCTTTTGAACAGGGAGAGTAAATTGTACCTTGTAGTATATTACTTCCTCCGTCCAAAAAAGATTTACCCGTTTCATTTTTTGCACATCTCATAAAACACTCTTATGCATATCTAAAATTTCTAAAATTTACCATATTTACCCTTTATTGCAGGTAGAAGTTGTTTTATATTTTTTTGGCATTTGAGATGAGATAAAATTGTTTTATGATATGCGCAAAAAATGAAATGGATAGATCTTTTTGGGGTGGAGGGAGTATAATTTAGAGTATATTTTTTTAATTTTAAATAAATGTGTTGAAAAAGTTAAAGTGAAAAAAGAAAGTAAAAAAATTCAATGTATTAGGAGTAAAAACTAAAAGACATAAAGATCACTAAAAAAACATAAAGAAAACTAAAAACACTAAATAAAAAAAGGAGATAAAAACTAAAGAGAGAAAGAAGATAAAAAAAAGGAGATAAAAACTAAAGAGAGAAAGGAGATAAGAAGAAGAGAGCAAACGGATTACTTTACTCCGTAACTAGCTTTAATTTCAATTGAAACGGATATGCCTAATCCGTTTGAAGTTTTTTAAATAAAGTGAAACGGATTTGGCTACTCCGTTTCATTTAAAATTTTCAAATTAAAACGGAGTAGCCAAATCCGTCCTGCACTGCCAGGAAAAAAGTGTCTGACTTACACTGCCAGGAATGGATATTTTTTTTGTTACATATATTGGTAAATTACTCAGTATAACTTACACATACTAAAACTTAAACCTAATTTTTAAAATAATTTTATTTTTAAATGAAAAATATGAAAAGTTTAAAATTTTTCTAAGATTTTAGTATGAATGTTCGGTTCGTGATTTTCGGTATAAAAAGTATTTTGTATCGTTCCCAAATTCCGTACCGACCGTCCAATTCGGTACGACTCAATACTTTTTCAATATTTTTTTGATTCAACATTACTAATTTTTTTTTTTAGAAATTTCTAATCTTAATTTAGTCTTTTCTACAATACCTTTTATCCATTAATTGGGGACCTATACTCCAATAAAAAGAGCCTTTAATTTCCCATTTCTCTCACATTCTCTCTTGACGGTTGGAATCTCTCTCTCTCTCTCCTCTGTTTCTATCTCTCTCTCTTCCCCTGCAGGCTGCAACCGAATTCATGGTTGAAGGAGACGGGTCGGATTCGGCCCATCACCTGACGGTTCCGTCCGGGTTGACTCCGGACGAGTTCGAGGAGCTGAAGCAATGGGTAGTTGAATTCCACACCTACCGGGTCAACTCGGGCCAATGCTCCTCCCTGCTGGCGCAGAAGATCCACGCGCCGCCCGACGCCGTGTGGTCCGTCGTCCGCCGATTCGACATGCCGCAGACGTACAAGCACTTCATCAGGAGCTGCACCGTCGGCGGCGGATTCCGCAACGCGGTCGGCGACACGCGCCACGTCAACGTCATCTCCGGCCTCCCGGCGGCCACCAGCGCCGAGCGGCTCGACCTCCTCGACGACGAGCACCGCGTCACCGGATTCAGCATCATCGGCGGGGAGCACCGCCTGAGGAACTACCGCTCCGTCACCTCCGTCCACGGGCTCCGCCCGGAGGGCACCGTCGTGCTGGAGTCGTACGTGGTGGACATGCCGGAGGGGAACACGGAGGAGGACACCAAGCTTTTCGCCGACACCGTCGTGAGGCTCAACCTCCAGAAGCTCGCTTCCGTCACCGAAGGCGAAGGGTAGATTGGTAATTTGGATGGTCAAAGGGCAAAAGTGACCAAAAAAATCGTTCATGTGTCATGACGTGGACCACAATTTGTTATCGGCAAGTCAATAATATTTGAATGATTGATTATGCTATGAGATAAATTAAACAACCTTTCCTCATATAGGTCCACTCGAATGGGAAAGGGGAAATGAAATCTATGGAGTACAAAATAATATTCCAATAGTAGGAAAGTTTTCTTCCCATTAACTTTTTCTTGATTTATAAATTTGATTTTGACACAAAAAATATAATATCTCGATCTCTAAGTATTTCTTCAGTATTAACTTTTTTAGTCAATTGCTTTTAACATTAGACCCATAATTAAATAAAATATATATTGTACTCCCTCCGTCCCTAAATATTTGCCACATTTGTATTTCCGAGGCAAAATATCAAGTTTTTTCAATTCATTTTATTTACATATCGGTTTAGAAATAAAAAATAAAATTTACATATCAAAAAACTACATGAAAAGTTCTTCAAAATAAGAGGTGTCAAGAATATTTTATTTTATCAAATAACCAATGAAAACGTAGAAATAAACAAAAGTTCCCGCGACTGTTGAAAAAGCTAATGTTGCAAATATTTTGGGACGGAGGGAGTATATTAGTTAGATTAAATAATATTTTGAAAATATTTGATATAATAAATCTAATTAAGTTATTTTTATATCAATATCTAATATCCTTTTTATTTAATTTGAGACTACAAATTACCAATTTTGAACGAAAAAATCAAAAGTTGACGGCAAGGGAGGGAGTATAGTTCTATATATTATACTCCATATTATGGATGTAATATTAATACATTTAAGTATAAGGTTCCTTCAAAAAAAAGTAAGTATAATGTAATTTTGGGACATTCAAGAAGGCGTTAAAAATTTTAAGGAACGAATGGAGTATCGAATGTTATAACATATATCTATCTATAAGTATACTCCCTCCGTCCCGGAAAACATGGGAATTTTGATTTTAAAAAGAGATTTAAAGGGAATGTATTTTGGTATTGAATTTCCAAAAATGTCTTTTGATGTGACAGGTTAAAGTATGATTTGATGGATATATTATTAGTAAAAAGATATGATGTGATAGGTAGGGTATGAAAAAGTAAGAGTAAAAGTGACTTTTTAATAGAAATGAGAAATGTTTTTTGGGATGGATGAAAAAAGAAAGGAAAAAGGTTTTCAGGAACGAGGGAGTAGATAATACTCCTTCCGTCCCGGAGTATTCGTCCAGTTTTGACTTTTGGAACTGTTCATTTAAGCACTTTGACTCATCAAATTCTCTCAATGTGTAAGCCTAAATATAGTCATGCGTAATCTTGTTTGATTTGTCTTAACATATAGATTATTAATATATAATTTCTATAATTTTTTAATAAACAAATTACAAGATAAAATGGATTAAAGAAGTGTATTGGATGGTGTGTAAAAATGAAAGTGAACAAATACTCTAGAACGGAGGTAGTAACAATTAAAGTATTGTATTGGGATCATAAAAAGTGAACTGAGGATACAATCAAAGATGAAGGTAGTAGAGGCCTTGTTTATGTCATACTCCCTCCGTCCCAAATTATTTGTAACATTTGTATTTCCGAGGCAAAATATCAAGTTTTTTCAATTCATTTTATTTACATATTGGTAAAAAAATAAAAAATAAAATTTACATATAAAAAAACTACATGAAAAGTTCTTCGAAATAAGAGGTGTCAAGAATATTTTATTTTATCAAATAATCAATGAAAACGTTGAAATAAACAAAAGTTCCCGCGACTGCTGAAAAAGGAAATGTTGTGAATATTTTGGGACGGAGGGAGTAACATATACGGAGTATCTATCTACAAATATACTCGTAGAGTCGTAGATAACAACGGTTAAAGTGTTCTATTGGGATCGTAAAAAGTGAACGGAGAAAACAAATTTGACTATAGTATCTGTTAATGAAAAAACACTAGTATTTTTACCCGTGCCATGCACGGGTGGAACGAAATTGTGTTACATTTTACAATACTTGAGAGATATTGTTCTTTTAAATTTTGACTTTCAAAGTTTTTTATTGAGAGAAAAATATTTTTTAGAGAGTCTAATTTCCTACATTTGGTTACATAAATGGAAGAAATCATTTTTTAGAAAAAAATAATTTTATTTTCTATGGATGGATGTTCATTTTCTTTGTAATTGATCGAGATATCTGATTCTACGAACAAAGCAAAGAACTACTCTCACCCCGTCCCCTTCTCCCAAACCATATGGAGCTCTATAATAGAGATTTGATACCGATCGTGTGTGAAAATAAGACAACAATGTTATCTTTAATTTTGTAAAACTTCTGATCTAGTTATTGAATATTACTTTTTGTTATTTAATTTTACACGAATTATCATATAAAATGAATCAAAACTAATTTTATTCAAACATCATAACGGAAGAAGATGAAGAGAGTATTTATTAAAAAAATTCATACACTAATAAATATTTCAGTAAAATTAGTTAAAATTTGGTACTTTAAATTATTTAAAATATTTTTAAAAAAAATTCAATAATTTGAGAAAATAACATAACTTATATATATTTCAATTTAGCATGATTGAATATATAATTGATATCACTATATTATTTTACTAAAAAATATTTAAACACCGAAATTCATGTGTAATTTTTAAGATTAGTTGAATTTCGGGCAAAATTATTGTAAATGATAAATTTTAATTAATAAGTTTTAAAAAAGTAATTATCGTTTATTTATGTATAAACAAAAACATTCATTTTAGAAAGAGAAGTGAAAAATAAACCTTGCTAGTTCGTAAATATACTCCCTCAATATAATTTTTTATTTGTTTACTCATTTCGGTTGACCATTTGATAAAATAAAATACTTCCGTTGCATCTTATTTTGTAGAATTTTTTTATCTATTTTTGAATGATGTAATTTTTACTTTTTATTTCGCTACCAATTTATAAAAATTAATAATTTTAATAGAGATGATATTTGCACGTTGTTCGAAATGTTACTTACATTTTGGAAAGGAGGAAATATTTAGTAATGGACAATTATTTCGGTGTACCCTCAATTTTCAGGTAATAACTCTCATGTCCTACGTTATCTAAAATATACTCTAGGGGTATCTTTGATTTTCGTGTAATAATTCTCAGATCTCACATTATCCAAAATATACTACGGGTCCTAAAAATTTGTGATATTATATTACGAGTGTACATTCTATCTATTTAGTGTTAGAACTGAAAGTTAATTTACTTTGACAAATTAAATTTTTTTTAAAAAAATTTAATAAAATAATGATTATCAAGATAAAATTTAGTACGAGATACTTGTTAAAATAACGGAACTTGTAATATTAACGGCCAAATAAGCGTAATGTATCCTCAGAGTACATTACCACAAATTTTAAAGACCACTCGAATATATTTCGAATAGGGAGAAAAACCAAAATTGCACTCTTAGAACCTTAAAATACTCTAAATAGCAGTGCTATATGTTTCGTACCCGTGATTCTGATTTTGTCCTTTAATTAAACAACAAATATTCATTACACACTGCCAAAAATATATGACTGTTTTGGATAGTGTGGTTGTTCACTTGTAACTGTGTAGTGGGCAGTGTGATTTTTTATACGGAGTATGTGAGTATTTAATGTGGTAGTGTAGAATGAATATATGTTGTTATATCTTACGGCAATGTGTAAGTGTATTATTGTGTTCCTTCATTTCATGTTAGAGTGTATTGTCCATTGATTTATGTGATAGTGTTTTCATGTATAAATTCTACACTGTCAAAAAGTGTATGACTTATTTCATGTACGAATTCTACAATGTCCAAAAAATGTACAGTTCTTTTTATGTATGAATTCCACACCACCAAAAATGTGTATTACTGTTTTTCATGTATAAATTCCACACAGCCCAAAAATGTATGACTGATTTCATGAATAATTTATTACACCAAAATACACTGGCCAAATATGGGCGTTAAATATTGAACTTACTTTAAAACGTACAAACTTGTTTAAGCATTATATATTGGTAAACTGCGTAGGAGGGGGATCTCGCAGAGCTATGGTAAACGGCGTAAGATGATGTTTACACACGTGCGAGACGCACGAATGAGGAGGAGCCGCATGTATGTGGAGGAGTGGCTACGTGAATAATCTAAGTTTAATCAAATAATTGAAAGTAATTAAAAAATAATAGAATATAATAAAAGGTAGAGGGTATGTTTGGAAGATATTGGAACTATAAATAGCTAAATTCGTATAAAAGATTAAGGAGTGCCATATGCGTAATATTGAGTGACTTAGAGTGATACGTAAGGTGATTTCTTTTTCGATTAATGTGAAACATGAGAGTTCTTACCAAAAATTGAAGATATCGAATTGTATACTTCAGTTAATGTCACATGTACTAACTATTACTAAAAAAAATTGAAGATACTCCGGAGTAATTTTATGTATTACCTATTAAGTAGGGATGAATTGAAGTATGAGAAAAATGACTAAAGTATGAGTAAAATATTGAAAATATATCAAAATATGACTTCCATGTTTTTATTTTTAAAATAGAAGTTAAAATGCATTTACATTATCAAATGTAGTCATGTACATTACCAAACAGTATGATAATATGCACGCGTACGGTGCCACATTATTTAGGATAATTTATATTGAAGTGTATTTTCTTGATGTGACATTAGTGGGAAGGACAACTATGGCATGTGAGTGTATGATTATGTCGTGCAACTGCAATACTCACTCAGTCTATAAGACATGGGTTATCAGTTATCTTGCCTTTTGTCACATTATTATTTCTGAATTATTATTTTCATTTTATCGAAATTAAAGAAAAATTGAAAAATAAGAAAATAAATAAATACCGACTACAATTTATTTAGAGACAATAAGTTCGGGACATATTTTTTTATAAAAGAAAAATAAAAAAAATATACCCAGTATAAAAAATTGGGATATACTCCGCATAAAAGAAAAGAGGTAAAAGTAGGAGGAGAATTTACGCAAATATGATTGAAAGATATCATTTTTTTCCCAAATATACGTGTGAAAAATGACCAATTACACAATTCAAATAGAATACGACATTATAAAAAACAATTTGAATAGTCATTGAAATAATCAGTCATTATCCAACATTTGTTGCTAATAACCACATTCGTAGAGTCATTCGTATAATTAGTTATTATCCAATATTTGTTGCTAACGCTGGCATATATGACATATCATGAGTAATTATATGACATAAAGAAAATACAACATACTTGGTCATATTCAGATAAACGTACTACTCCCTCTGTCCCCCAGTTTTTGTCCACTTTTGACTTTTGGAACTGTTCGTCTAAGACTTTGACTCATCAAATTCTCTCAATGTGTAAGCCTAAATATAGTCATGTGTGATCTTGTTTGATTTGTCTTAACATATAGATTATTAATATATAATTTCTATAATTTTTTAATATACAAATTACTCCGTACAAGATAAAATGGATTAAAGAAGTGCATTGGATGGTGTGTAAAAATGAAAGTGGACAAATACTCTGGGACGGGGGGAGTACTTTAATTTTTAGTCCTATATGGATCAAATTTTCATAATACTTCTTGCTTCCTAAGTTGGATTATAATTTTTAATGCACGAGGTATAATCTCATATTTTTTAAAAATTAATTTAATAAAAAATTTGTTTTAAAATTATTTATACATTTTAAATATAAAAAAATTACGTTAAAAATTATACAAAAATTAAGTGTCAAGAATATATTATCGAATAGTCAATGTAAGTATACAAAAAATAAAAGTGATCGAGAGAGGGTCCCAACAAATTGTAATCCAATTTCGGAGGAGGGAGTACACGATACTTTCTTTTACTGGTCACAACATTTGTCTTTCTTCAAATAATTTTAATTAAAATTCTTTTACTCCGTATTTTTTAAAGGAATTTATCTAAATAGAACTAAAACATATTGATTTTTTCAATATATGACAATATGTTTTTATTTCTCAATTTAGGACCATTGGTCATTATTTATTAGTCATTATTCAAGTAAATGTCCACCATTACTGGACATTATTCCGCTCACTAAATATTATCAAGTCCTATTTAAAGAATAAAAAAAGTAAAAATCTTATATTAGAAAATATCTTATGTTTTAGTCGTATTTAATGCAAATTTTTCTTTTTTTAATTAACATTTTCTAATACTCATTAATCAAACTATTACTACAAAAACTGAAAAAGTCAAATAATTTAATTACTTTTATTTTGGAATAGAAAAAGGAAGATAGATTTCACCGGTGGTATGTGACTTTAAAAGTTTTTCCACTTTAGTTCCTAAAGATCAATTTTTATCGTTAGTATTTTTAAACTTGAACAAAGCTTTCACAATCCACGTAAGCTATATGTTGCATGCCAACTTGTTTTTATGTTTCCTTCTTTACCCTTTATATTTCGTGCAAGTGTCTCATGGGTAGCTCAAGTGATCGAACCAATGAAAAGATATTAATTAAATCCGTTGATCTTAGGGTCGAATCTCGACATACAGCGGCAATGTGAGAGTTCTACCATTTGTAATAACTCCTTGTACGCACCGTGCACGGGACGATTTCTCTAAAAATCAGATTGAAACTATACTATGATTTATCTCCTTTCTAATATTGTCGGGCAGGGGTGTGGGGCTGGGATTACCTTTTTTATATTTAGTATAAGCGTTCACAGTTATGAGACCTTTAACTTAAATGATCTTTTTAATAAAGTATTTTTTAAATAAATCTTCACTAAGTTTTAATTACAATTTAATTTATAAATAAATTTTAATTTGAAATTTAAAATTTAAAATGGATAGTAAGAGGAAACCTTGTGTCTCCTGCACTTGCTGACTTGCATGTCTTAAAGGATCAAAGGTCAAACAGGAGGAGTTATCTCTTTCGGCCAGGTTCTATGGCCACCCTACTTGAGCTATTGTCATTCAATAGTGTCCTATTCATAAAATTAATAAGTTTTACCTCCTAACTCTTAAGTAAATTCCCACTCAGTTTCGATTCCAACTAATCTTAGGATTCTTAGCTTCCTACCTACGTTAATTGCACCTCGCATATTTAGTTGATTTTAAAGCCAAAGATTTCGATATCAACATCAAATAAACTTGCGGAGTGTAATAAATGTGGCGGGGGTATTCATTGGAGTCGGAACTGATTATGGGATTAGATGATAGATATTATCAATTTTAAGAGCGGAACATCATAAATGTCCGAATTTGGACATTGGCTTCAATGGCCACTAAAAAACAGCGGTCATGGCACTGGCCCGTATCTCTTTTGCACCTTGTCCCATATGAGTACCTATTTCCGATTCATAGCATGTTCTCTTTAATTTATTATTTTTACTTACTTTTTCGTCCTAGTATTTTTATTCAATTTAACGATTTCAAGTCAAATTAGATGAATACTCCGTATTAGTTATCAATTACTCAATAATTGTATTGTATTTTTATAATGAAATAAAATTCAGAAAACTCTTGACAAGATTAATATAATAAAATCAATTCTATACATATGATAAGTCCATTTTGTACGCACTTATCTTCTCTATATTTAATGTGTTATTGTCCAATTTTAGATCAAACAAATCAATTTCTCAATGGTTTTTATAAGTTTTTATTCATAATTGCAAAAGTATACAAAAGTTATGTCTTGTTATAAAAAGAATAAAAATTGAGTCAAAAGTGGTACAAAAAGTGTAAAAGATTGTGCAAATGGAATGCAACAGAGCAAAGAGATTTATTCGGAATTTGAAGTCGGCACAGAAGGAAAAGTTGTTCAGAATAAAATTTTGAGCAAGACTGTATTTTTAGAAAATATTTTCAGACCGGGTCAAAATCCGGCCAACCAGGTGCTGCCACGTGGCGCAACCTGGCTGGCCGGCCAACTGTGGCAACAGCAGCAAAAGAGAAGAAAGCAAGTGGCTGGCCGGCATCCCCATCAAAAGAAGTTAAAAGAAAAATGAGAAAGAAAGATTGAAGGTAGTGACGCAAGAAGAAACAAAAAAGTATATATGCTCTGTACTTGTTTGATTTGCAAACGGAAGCCATCACGCGCACTAACACTTCAGGCGTGCGCCTGGACCTCAGGCCCACGCCTGTCAGAGGTCTGGACCGAAAATTTCTCCTATAAAAGGAGGGCTTCGCCCCTTCATTCTAATCAAGCTCCAATCCGGGTCTTTAAGGCCCGGAACTCCATTCTCCGCTCCGTTCTCAGTTAAATTTTAATATTTTAGTTTAGTTTTGTTCCGGTTGTCCCAAAGTAGCTCCAACTCTGCTCTCTGTTGTAAGTTTAAATACTTGCAATTTTAATAAAATGTTCGTTTCTTTTATGCACTGTTGATATCTAGTATGGGTTAAGGCCCATATTAGGGTCCTGGCTAAATTTGGGCATATACGCTGTATGTTTAGTTAATAGTTGGAATAATTGTTCTAGAATTATTTTTATTGTTAAATTAATTAATTATGTCGAGAGAAAAATTAATTAATTATTGGAAATTAGTTTTTGTCTTGTCTATGAGGATATAAAATTAATTAAGCCAAACTTTTTTAGAACACATTAATGTTGCTTTGAGAGAGGATAAGTTAATGAAATATTTGTAACAGAAATATTATTATTCCAATTATTGATTAAATATGTGACAACAGTAGTTAACTCAGATGATGCCTTGGCCCGAAGTCTAGTCCTATACCCGTACTATTTATTTTCTTTTTCTAAAAAAACACCTTGTACTTTAGTTTATTTCCAAATCAAATCGAGATGACTTTCAGACATGTCCTAACCTTCGTCTAGTTAGAAAAATTAGCTAATTCCCTTCGTCCACTCCTCGAGAGACACGACACTCGGAGAAAACTAACCCTTCATTGGGAAGGTTGACTTACCGAAAAACTCAATCATCAACATACCAAAGAAATTACCTCAAATAGAAATAAAATATAGAAAAAAGTATCAAAATAGCAGTTTCATATATTTATTTCATTAATAAAAGTTCACATGTGGTAATGTGACACTGTATATGAGCATTTTACTATGTTTTTTATGTAATGTATATAATCATGATTAGTAATATAATGTAAATGAATTTTAACTCTTATTTCGGGAATAAAAATATATAATTTTTGTTTTGATATTTTTTCAATGTTTTACTCATACTTTAATCTTTTTCCCCTTTATAATATACGAATTGAAGTAGTTTTTATTTAGTTGAAGTCTAAAATTTATCTGGTTTAACTTGAAAAGGTCAAATTAGAAAAATACACTAAGACAAAATGTAATATTATTTATTCTTATTTAACTCAGATCAAACCGAATCTCACCAGATTGGATTTAACTTTAAACTAAACTAAAATCAAATCACACCAAATAACATGAGAATTAATAAAATCATACTCCGTACTTCTCTCCCATGATCGATCACAATTTGCATTATTCTAAAAACAAGACAATTTTTATTTACTTGTATATCTTCATTGACTATTTGACTAAAATAAAATATTCTTTCCACTTTTTGATTTGTAAATATTTTTTATATAGTTGTTTAAATATGTAAATTTATTTTTTGTTTTTACACACTTCTATATGACACTCTTCATAAGTATCCCTCCATCCCAACTGCAAAAGAAAAAAAGGAGGAAAAATAGAGAGAGAGAGAGAATTTACTCCGACTTTGCAGTTCTTGGTTCGTCGTCTCCGGAGAACGCCCCTTCTTTTTCAGTAATTTCCCCGTCAAAGGTACCCGGGAACTTGCTTTTATTTTTAATTTTTTTCTATGTTTATCGTTAATCCCGTGTGTATTTATTTATTTTTTTCGTTTATCTTTCTCAGTTTTTGGTAATTGGGTAATTGCTTGCCGATTCTTGATTCTGCAGAGTCAATTCAACCAAACAGCAGATAAACCCTAAGAAGTGTTTGATTTATATGATTACAAGAGTTGTTATTAATTAACTCAGCTAGCTCGTTAATGGCCTCACAAGGTTCTCTTAGATTCTCATTTTCTTCTGTTTGTTTAGCACAGTTAATGCCCCCCCGGGTTAGGTCTGCCACTCACCCACCCTTCCGGGGGGGGGGGGTAGGGTGCTTAATCAGAGACTAGATCGAGAACAAAGAAACCCTAATTTCTCCGAAATTTTAGAAATTTTGCCAAGAATTTGGGTGTCTAGAGGCGTCCCCAATTTTACTCTCTCAGTTCCTTTTTAGGTGTCGAATACTCTCTTTTCATTCCTTTTTTAACTGTTCATTTAACCTTTCGGTGCTGAACTTTTGACTAACAATATCTCTTAAAGTACATTTGCAAAAAGCTATATAAAAAAAATATTCTCTTCGTCTGGAATTGCTCTTCTCATTCAAGTTTACGAGGTTTGGCTAAACTTATTTTCGATTCAATTTATTTGATTATAAGGGCAGATGACAGTCAAACATACCAAACAAACCTCGACACTCTAGTATGATAATCATTTTCTTTGATTGTATAAGCTTTAGGCCACCTCAAAATAACGGTCACAACAAATGCTTTTATCCTTTTTGGCATTTAAATATTTTCCTTCCAATTGGAATGATAATGATGATCACCAACGTTTAAAATCATATTCTTTGCCTCTTGTGTGCTCCCACATTCATTGAACATGTCGTAAAAAAAATGTTTTACACGAACATGTCGTATTGAGTTTTTTTATGTACTCCTTTCCTTGACCCATTGATTTCTTATGGCCTTCGAGCTCTCCAATCACAAGACAAAGTAGTTGATCCTCTCCAACATTGAATCTACATCTCTCTAATGATTGCGTCCTCGTTTCAATGTCGTGAGTGGATGAACCACGCTAGAGATGAACCACGAACATCTATTCTTGGACTCAATATCGGCAACGCCCTAATAGGGATCTCCTATGCATCTCCACCTCTCTCTAGTGTGGTTCATCCACTCACGGCATTGAAACGAGAACGCAATCAATGGAGAGGATCAAACCACTTGTTCTTGTGATTGGAGGGCTCGGAGGGCATAAGGATTCGATGGGACAAGTGAAGGAGTACACAAAAAGCTAAGAGATGTTCATGTAAACCACTTTTTTACGCCATGTTCAACGAATGTGGAAGCATGCAAGAAGCGAAAATATAGTTTCTAACGTTGGTTATCATCACTATCACTCTGATTGGGAAGGAAAGTATTTAATGCCAAAAAAAGACTATATGCATTTGCTGCAACCATTATTTTGAGGCGGGCTATATATAACTTCTGCAATCAAAGACTTTGATTATCATAATGGCATTCCGGCTTCGAAAGATAGGTTGGACTGAGTAGGACCCTCATTATTGACTATCGAACTAGCGGTATAGAATCAATCAATCACAGCAGACCATTCACACACACACACTTGGCTCTACTCACTCGTTCCTTCTATGTCCGATCATCTACTTACATCCTAATACTCCACTCGTTTCATTATGGTTATATTTATTTAGCGTTTACCCTCTGTTTGGTTAGAGAGAAAATGCAAAGAAAGAGGAGAGGGGAAGAAGAAACACGGAAATCAATACATTTCTCTTGTTTGGTGAGAGAAGAAAATGTAGAAAGAAGAGAAAATTAATGTGGAAGAAGTGCAGAAAGTTTTCTCTCCAATTGTGAAAAGAAAACCGTAGGTGTAGAGAAGAAAATGATTGAAATTGCTTTTTGGTCCGTTCATCCTCAAAATTAAATAATGGCAAAAATGTCATTTTTTATATTTAGTTTTCTCTCCAACCAAACAAAGAAAGAAAATATCTATTTTTTCTCCTCATTTTTTACTCATCCAACAATTTTTCTTTTTATTCTTTTCCTTAATTTCTCTTCTCCCCATTTTCTTTTTTTTTTCCATTTTTTCTCTTTATTTTTCCTTATTTTCCAGTTTGTAGACTATTTATTCAGTACAAATCTCAATACTCCTTTGATCCTTTCTACCCGTCTTTTTTCATTTTGAGATTGTCTTTGATCATTTATTTAATTTTGCCCATTTACGTTTTACACAGGGTTTTAAAAACGTAAAATTGTATGGTTGAAATTTGTGAAGAGGGGAATTGATGTATACCAATTGATTACCATCTCTCCCCTAAAAGGTCATTCTCATTTCTTCATATTAAAAACTTGTCCCTTTATGCAATAAAAATATCATTTCGCCCTTCCATATGAGACATTTTAAATGATTCTTCGATTAATAAATGCTTGGATCTCACACTAAGTGATTGGCTTTGAATTTGCCATCTCAGGACTGAGGAATCTCTCAACACTTGGCCGGGAAGCACTTAAAGGCACATTTGCGGGTTTTTTTTCTTGTTTTGATCTTCTCTGAACATACCGTCTGTCTACTCTCGAGTAGGGGCAAGGTCTGTTTACACTCCCTTCAGAAACTGGATTTTTTTACTGGGTTTGTTGTCGTTGATCATCTCTGAAAAGTGGAAATAGAGCAGATTCTTACACTACTACAGCTATGGATGGATTTCTGGAGACCCCTTTCGATGATGACAAGGACCAGTCTGTGAGCAACGATGAGGCTACGATGCGTCGCCTCAAAAACCGTGAACGGCAACGCAGGTATAGAGCTCGGAAACGTCTCGAAGCCGATACGGGTAAAGCACCGGGCAATGACTCGAACCAATCCACCCGGACGGACGCCAAAGAAGTTTGGGAATCTCCAAAAAACAACAGATACCCTCACATCCTCCCAGAAGTGTCGGTGACGGGCACCCGAGAGAACGGAATGCCCGTTGCCCGGGAGTGCCCGATGCCCGTAAACGCCACTTGTCAGAATGAAATGGCGGTTGCCCAGGAGTGCCCGAGACGCGTAAACCCGATTTTTCAAGAACCCGTGACCCGTGTTTACTGTGGGCGGGACTGGAAACAAGATGCTCGAAAAGCCCACGGGCTGAGGCGAGAGCAAGAAGTCATAACCGATGATGCAACCCGGATGCGACGACATTCGGGTAATGATGAACCGGACATTGCCCGAAGCGACCGGATTGCCTTGGATGTCTCTGAACAGGCTAGGAATGAAACGCCCAGAGTCATGCCCAGCAGAAGACATTGGAAAGCAGATGCTAGAAATAAGAAAGGCTGAAATGGTTTTTTTTTTATGTGACTTGTGAGTGACAGTTGTGATCATCTTTGTTTTTTTTTTTTCTCATTTTAATTCCCACATAATTGTGAATACCAACATTTTTATCACGAAAAAAAGTCATGCTAAATTTACACCAATTGTTTGTCTTATTTTAAGTTGCATATTTACTGTTCATATTGTCAAATTATAATCTTTTTTTAATTCATTTTTGTTATTCATTCAGTGAAAATAATATGAATGGTTATTTCAAACTTTTGTTTTGTACTAATTTTGATGTTTTTGAATATATGCTTCTTCCATCTAATTTTAAGATGGACATATTGTTTTTGATGTTTTTCAAACTTTTGTTCTGAACATATTGTTCAGAACAGGCCTCGAAGAATCTTAGGAGACTGAGCTTTATCACATCTCGTGGTCGATGGGGGTAATGGGCCACTATACATAGGCCCTCTCCCTGGGCTTTGGCCCTTCTTGTATAAGCTCAGGTGGCAGACCAATCCAAGTAGGGTGACAAATTGGTGTGAAAAAAAAAATTAAAGAATAAATTCTACTTTAGTTGACATGTCTAATTCTTGTTCTTGACTTTCAAGCATTTTTGTTTTTGTTTTTTAGCTGGTCATCAACTCAGAAATATATATTTTTTATGTTTCAAATGGAGTAAATACACACACACACACATGAACTGAGAGATCGATAGATTGTAATTAATTATGTCAAACTTAAAAAAATATCAAAAAATTTGGAAACGATTCTATAAATAAATAAAACTTTTTTGTCATTGCGAAAAATGCAAAACTTTAGTGTAAATGTGCATGTGGATGGAGAAAAAACACAATATTCACTATTTTAAAGAGTCTGTTTAGATTGAATGAATATAAAAATTGATATATTAAAATTATACTCTCTTCCTTCCTAAAATATTGTCATAGTTTGAGTTTTTGGTCAAATTATGGCACCATTTAATCGTGAATTATGAAAAAAATATATTTAGTTATAATGTGAATTTATTACAATTAGGTTTATTTAAAATTATCATTTCAAAACATTAAATTTTTATAATGTTTAATTATTTTAGATTATATTTAATTCGTGGTCAAAATGTGCGACAGTTTGACCCAAATAAATAAACTGTGACAATCTTATGAAGATGGGAGTACTTTAAAATGAAGCCGATTTTATTAAAAGTCATATTATAACTAAAAAATTTTACAATTTACAATCAAAATGTGTTGAAAATTAATTCAAAAAGTTTATATGGTGAAAAGGTTTTTTTTAGACGAATAAGTTATAAAAAAAACAATATACTTAAAAAAAATAATTTATATTAAAATATTGTAGGGGACAAATTACTTGGGAGTAGTTTCCTTCCATGCAAACATGTCGCACATGTTTAAGGATCTTCAAACATATCTCTTTGAACCTCCAAATTGGACAAATAAATATCTGAGAAAGATAATGCCATTCACTCCTATTTATTTCTCCTGTCTTTACTCGGATCATGTGACAAATTGTTTATATTAAATTAGTGTAGACTAAATTCTACGTATTTTAGATTCTTTCACTACATTGACCTTTCTTTTTCCCGTTCTTTTGATACTTGTTATTGGATTTTTTTTCAATTATATGTGACAAATTGATTATTTGTGTGGTCTCTAATAGTGTACGACCGTACGAGTTTTTGTGTCTAATTAATACCAAATTTTGATTTTTGCAACTTAATGAAACTCTGTAATAAAAATTTCAACGTTTTTTTTTTAAAAGAAAATTGACAAGCGTGATCTCGAACTCTCGGCAATCTACCTTCCGGTTCGTTTGGGGCATCTCCCGCAACGCATGCAAGCACCATTGTTCGACACCATCTGAGGAGCAAAATATTCGAGAGTCCGTGCTGAAAATACATGCACCGCTTGGTCGGTCCACAAAGAATATTCGTTTATGTAAAATCCCGGAGCCTGGAACTTCTAATGTATTATTAATATTATACTCGGTAAGATTTTATGTGCCATTCTAATGTACTAGTATAGTAATATTACAATATGCTATCTTTTGTTCAACTTTTTTTATTTTATTTATCAAACTTCAATAGTTACTTAGATGTCAAAATTTACACCTAAAGCAATATACTCTTTCTCACAAGTCATGAACACTTCTTCACTTTCTCTACACTCTATTTCATATTCTTTTTAATCTTCTTTCTATTTCTCTTTACACAATTTGTACCTCCATTATATTGAGAAGAATGAGGACAAGAACAATGTTATTGTTGTACAAGAGTGCATTGACACAGTACTGGTATAAACTAGCACAAAAATTAATGCGATTGATAGTATTTGATGCACTGACATTGTGTGTTAGTGTACTTGTGCTTTACCAGTAAAAAGAATTGATGTACAAAGTATAGTAGCTTACACTCGTGGTGTGCAAGTAACACAACTAGGGATGACAACGGGTCGGGTTCGGGTCGGATAGTACTATACCCGAACCCGACCCGACTTTAAAAACTAAACCCGAACCCGACTCGAAACCCAACTTTTTAAGCCAAAACCCGAACCCGACCCGAACCCGACATTCCAACTAGAAACCCGAACCCAACTTTTAACTAATAATCAATTCGGCGTACCCCAATAATTTTAAAAAGATTACATCTAATTTTTTTTGTGTCTCATTTTTTTATTAAGAAATTATAAAAATGATTATAAAAGGCATACTTGATATAGTATCACTTTGTCAAGAGGTTATACGGAGTGCTCATTATATCCATAGATAGGCTTTTATGTTATAAAATATTCGGGTTTGAGTCGGGTCGGGTGCGGGTTCAGGTCGGGTCGGGTAAAATAATAAACCCACACCCGACCCGACCCGATATCGGGTTCGGGTAAAAAATTTCGGGTCGGGTTCGATTTATTTTATTCTCGGTTTGGGTTCGGATATTTTAGTGGTCGGTCGGGTCAGTTAAACTCGGGTTCGGGTTGAATTGCCATCCCTAAACACAACCAATGAGGATAAACCCAACATTTTAATCGATAAGATGCTCTTAAGATACACTACCTATTGTAATTTGTTGAGTATTATGCTTACATTTGTATTTTGTGTTATCTGAAAAAACTTCCTTAGTGAAATTTAATTCAAATTTGGATACATCAAATTATTCTTGAAAAAAAGACTACCATAAGAGTAAAATATAGAAAAAAATATAAAAATATAAGTTTTCAAAAATAAGAATTATAATGCTAATAATGTAAATTTATAATACCAAAAAAACTATAAAATGTCAATATACAGTACTATATTGTCACACTGTAAACTTTTATTTTAAAAATAAAAACATAGTGTTTCAAAGCTCCTATTTTAATATTTTTCTTAAGTTTTATTCTTATTTATTACGATAATTTTTCATTATGTATTCAATCGTACGAGAGAGATGCATATAGAACAATTAACCTGATTAAACTAATGAACATAAATTAAATCAAATTTAGCTAAAAATAAATACTACGTAAATCGGTAATAATGTGTTTATTTGTGGCAACATTTCTAATTAGCTCTAGAAAATGATACCCAGTACAAATAAACGTTCAACTTTTTTTCAAAAAGTTCAAATCAAACTCAGCTCTAACGATAATAACGGACCGCCGATCTACGAGTAGTGCCGGAACGCCATTAGCGGACTCTGAAACTGCCATCCCTTGGCTTTCCTGGCTCCACCGCCGCCGCGGTGCGGCGTCACCTCCACGCGTATCGATCTGGACCTCTCCAGCATCTTGAATTCATCCGCTCCGCCGGAAGCGGCGGCGGCGGCGCAATTGCGGCCCGATTGTGTCGCGTCTTTCGATTCCGGTTTTCTCCTGGTCGAGGATCGGAAGATGGACCAGAACCACGACGTTTTGCTCTCGCCGCAGTTCCGAGAGAAGGAACCGAAGAGGCCGCCGCCGCCGCGCGGTCGGGGGAGGGGGACGCTGACGGATTTGGAGCGGCGGAAGCTCGGATCGGCGTCGGACGGGAATCCGGATTCGACGGATCGGGAGGACGAGGACGCGGAGGAAGACGGCGACGTGGCGAGGAGGCAGGCGCAGGGGCGCACGGCGGCACAGTCGGGGCAGAGAATGGCAAGACGATCCGTCAAGCAAACGGGGCAAACGCCGTTTCTGACTCCGTTAGAAGGGTGTTCTAGACATTTCCATGCCTCCTCTGGTATCATCACGCAAGTCGCCGCCGCCGCCGCCATTGGGAGTGTGGTGTACGGGCGGAGAAAAGTGTTATCCTCGGTCGCCGTCGCCGTCGCTTTCTGGGACCTTTTTTGGCTGCTAAATGAGCTCAGGAATTGCTAATAATATGATTAAATAATGCCGGGATTAAAAGGGGGATAAAGCTTAAATATGCTTTTAGTTAACCATGGTTAGCTTTACCCGGATCACTCTAACTCGGATATTGAAACATTTTGGGGAAGAAAAATGCTAAGGGTGCACCAAAGGTGTACCCCAAATGTCCCACACACTCTCTTTGTCCACTAAAAAAGGCAAAAAAAATCAAAAAAAAATAAGCAAATAAAAATCAAATAAAAATGTGTAGAAAAAAAGAGAGTGGTGTACATTTGGGGTACCCTAAATGGTGTACCCCTAGCATTGCTTTGGGGAACTCTATATGACTAGGGGTGTGGGTCCAACACCGAATCAGATTGAAATTGGGTAAATGGTAGGATCGACTTGAAAATTGCACGGGCCCCAACTGGTTTTTTTCTTGGGGTGTTTTAAAAAAATTACTCCGAATACTCTGTATTTCTTTCGTTTCAAAATGATTTATCTTTTTTTTTATGTCAATTTGATAATATTTAACAATATGATAAGTTTAAATTGAATTTTATAAATTTATTAGTTTGTTGGATTTCAAAAAATAACACTTCGTATAGAGTTACTTTTTAAAGTGTTTTCTTTTTTCTTTTTATCAAAAATAAGTTACATGTCAAAATATCTAAAATATCAAGTCTAAAACAACATACTTCATTGTATAAAAATAATGAGCTATGAACTAATGTGAGGAAAAATAAAGAAGGATGAAAAACATTCAATTATATTTCTCCATCACTTTTTCTTCTAAAATGGGAAAAAGATTAAATAGCACTTGATAAATAATCTCATATTTGCCCTATTAATTAGGAAGTAAAATAATTTTTTTCTTCCACCTAGCTCACAATTAAATATCCAAACAAAAAGAGAAAAAACATGTTTTTATTTTCTCTCTCTAAATTTTCCACCAATATTTCGTTGTAAATGTATCCAATGAAAAAAAGGTATAAGTTTTAAAAGGATGGGAAAAAATAAATTGTGTAATTACAAGCAAAATTGGAGCAGCGGACTACTAATTTGGAACCATTGGGGTATTGAGACCCCATTGACATCTACATGATTTTGTAGATATAGCATAAATTATGTACCTATCTTTTCTGCTTTTTTTAAAAAAGTTTTTCTAGCATGTTATTGATCTGTTTCAAAATATATTTTTTTCACTTTAAATATGTGTTTTTTTTTTGGTTTTTTTGTTTAATAAATTCTAATTACCTTTTTTATCATTTATGCTGCTTTAATATCTTTTTAAACTTTTTTAAATCAAAATGAAGAGATCGTAAACTTCTCCGAGATCTTGAGTAATAAAAACCTCACTTCCAAGATTCATAGGAAAATTTATCTATCTAGCCTTCAAAAAAAGGAAAATTTATTTAAATTTTGATTCCCAAGATTTATGGGGGAGTTTAAAATGCAATATTTTAAAACAAATACTGCAAGAGTCACAAAGTATTTGTTCACAAACTACACAAACTTGTTATTTTTGTATTTAAATAATTATTATAGATATTTTATTAACTTGGTGAGGTGTACAAATGATCAGTTTAATTTGTGTAACTTGTGAATAAAGAATTTGTGACTCTAGAATTACTCTTTAAAACTATATGTTTTGAAATGATCTTATCAATATTAAATTTTGTCAAGAATTCAACTCAACCAAAAGCGTAAGTTTGCATGTAGTTGTGACTATGAAAGATTTTTTATATTATAACCTAACACTGCATACCCTTTAACATGCAGACGTAGTCTTTTCAAATCTTGCACGTTGTTAAGGAACCAGCTTAACAAAACACTCAAGTTTGTGATTAGGTATGTTAGAATATAAAAATCTTTCATACGCGGCTAAGCCACAAACACAAGCTTGAGCTTATGGTCGAATTGGTTCGTTGCCATGATATCAGAGCCTTGATGACCAAAGAGGTAACAAAAGATCTACGAAACTAACGGTGATATGACTTTATTATTTTATCAAATAACTAACGAAAATAAAAATACACAGTAAATGAAAATTGACCCCGTAAATAATAAATATACAATTTAAATTAGGATGAATGGAATCGAAAAGACGATTAAAATCACCAAATGAGAATACAGTGTGGTCGCATGGCTATGTTCGCTCAGAGCGTACATGAAGTGAGTGGTTCACGTCCCATTTTTAATTTTTTGGCACATATTTTTCTTCTTTCTCAACAACGAATTATCTTTTCACTAAACCAGTGCCACGACACTTAATTAATTGATTATGTCTTTTTTTTAAAAAGATTTTTTTTAATCATCAAATTAAATACTACCTCCGTCCCAGAGTATTTGTCCACTTTCATTTTTACACATCATCTAATACATTTCTTTAATCTATTTTATCTTGCAATTTGTATATTAAAAAATTATAGAAATTATATATTAATAATCTATATGTTAAGACAAATCAAACAAGATCACACATGACTATATTTAGGCTTACACATTGAGAGAATTTGATGAGTCAAAGTGCTTAGATGAACAGTTCTAAAAGTCAAAAGTGGATGAATATAGCAGGACGGAGGGAGTATGTATTAATTGGAGGGCCATAATAAGCACCCAGTACCCCACATTTTCACAGAATTCCACAGCCACTCGTTAAGAAATTAATTCAACCAAAAGTTCAAATTTATAATTGTAGCCTTAGAAAGGTTATTTATGCTCTAACAAGCCCCCTCACGTGCAAGCGTAATCCTTTTCGAGCGTTGCACGTAAAACTTTAATTTCATTGTTTTTAAAAATTGGGTTATGCTGAGTTTTAAACTCCTGAGCCTCTTTGTCAACAAGACTACGATACTATGTTAACGAACTAATTCAACCAAAAATTCAAAATTATGGTTGTGGCCCAAAGACAAGTTATTTATGTTCTAACATTATTCAATGCATGTGAATATATGTGAGAAACTTAAAGTATATAATTAATGTGGTAATGATATACAGGCGTTTAGTATTTCTATTAGTAGAATGATTTATTTACTTAATTATCTTAATTCCAAACGGTTATTCGTATATTTGTAATACAGTTCTTTATATTTTTAATATGACATTCATTCATTTGATAGTTTTTTATGAAGTATTATTCAATTAGATCTGAGACTCAGTCTTACCTCCTTAACATATTCCACAGACTCCCAAAGGTTTTTTGATGAAAAATGTAAAGATATAGTTTCATTTGTTTAAATATTGTAGTCATGTCACCTTTTAATATTTTTGTATAGCTTTGGATATAATTTTAAGTACTATATATGTATATATACTATTATTATTTACGAGTAATTTTTTTAATTTTACGCCAAAACCTTAAATAAGTTCTTTTTAAAACAACTCCAATAAAAAATGACACTCCGTATATAAAAAATGGGATGAAAACAAAATTACTGGGGTAACATTTACTACTCCGCAGAAAACAAATCCAAATTGATTATTCTCAACAATCAAATACCAGTAAACGTTAATTACACACAATCGGTTTCACAGTCAAAGCAGCGGGGATAGCTCAGTTGGGACAGCGTCAGACTGAAGATCTGAAGGTCGCGTGTTCGATCCACGCTCACCGCAATTCTCTTTTTCCAAGTCTTCTTCTTCATCCTTCTTCCTTTTTTTTTTTCCTTGTTTAAATCTAAAATTTGCAATTAGCAAGGAATTTCAATGGAATGAGCCAAGTAAACTCCATCTCTTTCTCCTTCATTTGTTTCTGTAATGCTTTCTGTAAGCTCTCATGTTTCCTTCAAACTCAATCTCTGGCTTCCATTCCTTTTACCGCAGCAGCTCTACCCTCTCGATCAGTTTAAACCGCGCCATTAACGGCCGCATCCGGAGCTCCGACCTAGACGGAGCACGGCAGCTGTTTGATCAGAATCCCGGAACAAGAAACCTGGTCTCCTGGAACTCCATGATCATGGCTTACTTCAGGAAGAACCAGGGCCGCCACGCAGAGGAGCTGTTCGACGAAATGCCCCACCGAGATGTTGTTTCCTGGAACACCATGCTCTCTGGGTTCCGCCGCGCGAATCACCCCCACAGAGTCCACGCCTTCTTCCGCCGGATGATTGGAGCCGGAGAGAGCCCCAATGAGCTCACCTTCGCGGTCGCAATCAGCGCCTTCTTGAGAACAGAGCTCAACGTTCTCGTCCCTCAGCTCCACAGTCGAGTCCTCTGCTCGGGTGTGAACCTGAATGTCTTCGTCGGGTCTGCCCTGATGAGGGGATACACCGACTTGGGCAGCTGCCGGAGCTTGGATCGCGTGTTCTCTGAGATTTCCTCTGAGAGAGACGCCGCCCCATGGAACGTGCTGATCTTGGGTTACATGGAGTTCGGGCTCGTGAGCAAAGCCCAACAAGCGTTTGATCTGATGACGCCCGAGAAGAACTCTGTCACGTGGAGCACCTTGCTCAACGGGTACGTCAAGAACAAGGATCTTGGTACAGCACGGCGCGTGTTTGACAAAATGGGAGAGAAAGACGTGGTCACCTGGACGACAATGGTGAAGGGGTATGTTCAGGAAGGAGACTTAGCCGCGGCGCTGGACTTGTTCCTCTTGATGTTGGCCTCTCATACCCGTCCCAACCAGTTCACGTTTTCCAGTATGTTAGACGCGTGCGCGGGTCGCTCGTCTCTATCCACGGGCATCCAGGTGCACGCGTGGGTTCTCAAGATGGGAATCCCTCTCGATGTCGTTCTCTCGACCTCGCTCGTCGACATGTACGCGAAATGCGGCGACATCGGGTCCGCTTTCCGGGTGTTCGACGCCATGGAGGGGAAGAACTTGGCTTCGTGGAACTCGATCATCGGGGGATTCGCCAAGCACGGCCTCGGGACGAGGGCGGTCGAGGAGTTCGAGAGGATGCTCGAGAGCGGGACGGGGCCCGACGGGATAACGTTCGTCAACGCGCTCTCGGCGTGCGTTCACGGAGGGATGGTCGTAGAGGGGGAGAGGATCTTCAAGTCCATGGCGGGGGAGCACGGGGTCGAGGCGGAGATGGAGCATTACGCGTGCATGGTGGACATGTACGGGAGGGCGGGGGAGCTCGAGAAAGCGGAGGCTTTGATAAGAGAGGTGATGCCTTTCGAGGCGGACGTGGTCGTGTGGGGCGCATTCCTCGAGGGGTGTGGCCTGCACTCTTGCCCCCAGGGGCGAGAGGTTGCAGCGAGGCAAATAATCAAATTAGAACGAGATCACCCGGCAGCCCACTCGGCTTTGTCGTCGTCTACGAACGTACTCCCCCTTGGTGAAAAGGGGGAAAACGAAGCTTGGCGTGCCAAAAAGCAAAAGGCCGGTAGTTGGGTTGAACTCTAGCTAGCGGTTATTTGCCCCTCGGGGGGTCTTGGGAGAGTGAGTGTACGAATGGACGAATTTGCCGTTTCGTGTGGGATAACATTTTGAATTGGCCAACAAAGTCCCACTCCCTTCTTTGAAACATGGATTAACTGTCAAGACTCTGTAAGTGTTCTCAAATTTTTTTTTATAACATTTTTTTTTGTTGGCTTTAATGTGTTATTATGGTGTCCCCTTGTTCATTATTGTGTTCTAAACTTGAACAGATTTTCCATCTCTGTGGCTTCATTGTGCTTAGTATCTCAAGCTCTGTTGAATTCAAAAGGATTGCCATCTTCTTCTGGTGTGTGTGAGTGTGTGTGTCTATACGTCCAGCGATAATTTTTTTGATTTTTTACGGTCTCTAATACTACCTCCGTCTTGGAGTATTTGTCCAGTTTTAACTCTTTTCGGTTAACTGTTTTTAACCTTTGACCTATAATTAAATAAAATATATATTGTATTTTAATTAAATAAAACAATATTTTGAAAAGATTTGATATAATAAATCTAGTAAAACTCTTTTTGTATCAATATCTAATATCATTTTTATTTAATTTGAGGTCAAAGTTTACCAATTTTGACCGAAAAAAAGTAAAAAATGGACAAATACTCAAGGACGGGTAGAGTATAATATTTTGACCATTAATATTTCTATTTGTATACAAAAATATATTATAAAAATAATATATTTCAAAACTCTATATCAAAATGAACCTATTGGTATTAAATTAAGAGTAAATTCCATAATTGGTCCTTTATAACAGGGGGTTTTCATATTTAGTCCTCTATTATCAAATATTACCCTCGTAGTCCTTTTTTTAAGGGTGTCTTTCCATAAATGGTCCCTTTTTTGATCTTCCACCATGTGGGTATTAATTTAAAGGCTAAAAGTATAATTTGACATCAACATAATGTCTAGTGACGTGTTCTGATATTGGTTAAGCGGATAACACAAAAATAATGACTATGATTATGGGCTAGGATTCTGACGAAAGACTACATTTGTAGACTATGGTTATAGTAGAAAGCGAATGTAATTCACAAACGACGCAAACGGAACAACTTTTGGAATTGTGTATGATAAAAAAGATATATTATTATTGCGAAATTACACTTTCAGTCCTCAAATTAACTCCCACGTGATAGAAGATCAAAAAGGACTAATTGTGGATAGATACTCATAAAAGAAGGATTACTAGGGTAATATTTGATAATAGAGGACTAAATAGGGAAATCCCCCTGTTATAAAGGACCAATTATAGAATTTACTCTTAAATTAATATAAAAATTCAATTTACTTTTTCATAATATGTGGTCAAAGTTTAAAAAGTTTAACCACGAAAATCAAGCTGGGAAATCAAATTTATGACGGGGTAAGTATAAAAAAGAACTCATAAAATTTACTCCGTATATTAGTGAGAACTTTGAAATTTTTAATTTTATTAACATGCAATGTAAATTGAGGGTATTTAATTATTAAAATTTATTTAGTCTCATTTTAAAAAAGTTAAATTAGAGAATTAGAAGAGAACCGATGTACATAAAAAAATAAAAAAAATAAAAAAAAAAAGACTTGAAGTTTCAATTAAGACACGTGTTTTGTCAATTTAAATTATTTGAAATTGTGTCATCCGAATTGAGTAATGCTAGAGTCACAAACAAACAGCTCACAAAATTCACAAACTTGTCTTTTTAACATTTTCTTAAAAATAAGATGCACCAAATAATAAAAGATATTTTAATTTAAAATCCACAAAAGGAAAGTTTGTGAACTACAGTATTACCTCCGTCCAAGAGTATTTGTCCACTTTCATTTTTACACACCATCCAATACACTTCTTTAATCCATTTTATCTTGTAATTTGTATATTAAAAAAATATAGAAATTATATATTAATAATCTATATGTTAAGACAAATCAAACAAGATCACACATGACTATATTTAGGCTTACACATTGAGAGAATTAGATGAATTAAAGTGCTTAGATGAACAGTTCCAAAAGTCAAAAGTGGACGAATATAGCGGGACGGAGGGAGTATTTGTTCGTGACTCTAACATTTTCCATCCAAATATTGCGGCCGTGCTGGTCAATTTAAACTATCTAAAATTAGTATCAAATTTTAAGAAAATTATATTTGCTCCCGCTCATAATTAAAATTTAAAGATACACTTACTATTTTAGTTTTATGATAATTTTTTTACTTACATGTTTTCATTTATTATTTGATAAAATAATATAAAACTGTCATTTCTTATTTATTATTTGTCACACTTGTATTCCCGAGGTAAAATATCAAGTTTTTTCAATTCATTTTATTTACATATTGGTACAGAATAAAAAATAAAATTTAAACATCAAAAAACTACTTGAAAAGTTCTTCATAATAAGATGTGTCAAGAATATTTTATTTTATCAAATAACTAATGAAAACGTAGAAATAAACAAAATTTCTCGTAAATACTGAAAAAACAAATGTTACAAATACTCCATCCGTTCCAAAAAGAATGGGACGATGACTTTTTGGGAAATTAAGGGAGAGATATTTTGGTATTGAATTTCCAAAAATACCCTTGATGTGATGGGTAAAAGTAGGATGTGATGGGTTGATTATTAGAAAAAAGGTATGATGTGATAGGTAGGGTATGAAAAAGTAAGGGGTAAAAGTGGTTTTTTAATAGAAATGTAACGGACTTTACGGGACACAGTTTTTTCTAAACGTAACAATTTGAAAAGAGAGTGAGTATTTTGGAACAAGCGGAGAAAGTCTTTTTACTCTTATTTATGTAAATATACCATTATTTTTGTGGGTAGACTGAAATGACCGTGAAATTAGCCAATCATCAGCAAGCGCTGCTAAGATTTACAGAGAGAAAGAGAGGCGGCAGTGATGGAGTAGTAATAAATTAGTAGTTCAATTTCTTCTTCTTCTTCTTCTGGGCAGAAATGGGTAGGGTTTCGAAGCAGCAGAAGAAGAAGAAACAGCTCTCGCTGTCCGAAGGATCGCTCGTTGAGATTTGCACGAGGGAGAAAGGCCTCACCGCCGTCTGGTTCGAGGCCGTCGTCCTCGACCCGAATCCCCCGCCGCCCTCGCACGCCAGATCCAGCTCCAAGAGGGCCTGCAGAGTCTACGTGGAGTACACCACCCTCCTCTCCGACGACGGCGAGAGCCCGCTGCGGGAGCTCGTCAATCTGGAGTATATCCGGCCCCGCCCTCCCCCGGAGACTGTTGAGGGTTTTGAGCTCTACGACCCCGTCGACGCGTTCTATAAGGACGGCTGGTGGACCGGCGTTGTCACTCAACTTCTGGATTCTAACCGCTATGTTGTCACCTTCAGGAAACCTCCCGACGAGCTTGAATTCGGCTTGTCTGATTTGAGACTCCACCGTAGATGGGTCTACGGGAAGTGGGTTCCGCCCAAAAGGAAGGTAGTCAAACAATTTCTTCTTACCCCTTCCCATTTCATTTCCATTCTTTCTCTTTCTCGTAGCAGCATGCAGGACAATGGCTCATTTGGGAAATTTTGTGATTAGGTTATATGATTGTGCAATTAATGGACATTAATCTTTGATAAGTTTGCAAAGTATCCCCTTCAGTTATGAATCTACATTGCAATTTCATCACCCTTTTAAATGTTGACTTGACCAGACCTGACCCAACCCATTTTAGTCAAAATCCAACCCCAAAAATATTGAGTTCTGAACTAGTGTTTTGTGACCTGAACCCGAATGTGTCCGAACCCAAAGTGACTTGCGAAAAATGTTCAAACCCAATTGAATCTGAACTCAACCCGTGGATGTGAGATTTTTCCCAACTGTGATGTGCTTTGATATGAAATATGAAGTGATAAAGTTCATACTATTTTCATTTTCACTCCATTATTAAAGTACTCCGGAGTATATTTATTGTTTTTTTTAAAAAAATATTTTTACGAGCATAGATCAAAAGTTGTACTTTCTCTACTATAATATAGTTTTAATCTCTAATAAACTAATCAAGATTGTGAAACAACATAATATAATAACATAGATTTATATATCTTTACAATTTATACTGTTATTTAATGTAAAATGCAAGTCCTAATATATATTTATATATTTTTTAAAAACCCACTCAACCTAACGGGCCAATCGAATCCGGAAGCATTGAACCAATGAACCAGAACCCAACTTGAGCTGCTTGTTAGATCTAGTTAGACATCAATAAAACCTGGAATGAGTTATGGACACACTCAGCCACATTCAATCTTATACTAGTACTAACTCATTGCTGATTTAGTTTCCCAATGGGTTCAAATGCCAAATGCTTCAGTGACTAAGATTTACCTCTAGTATGCATTTTGAGGCATATATTAAAACAATCCAAGTTTTGGATTAATAAAATGAATTGTATAATTGTATTTGGCTATTTGCAATTTCCGTTACTTTGGAATATGATTCACCATTCATGTTCTTTTATTGTGAATTTTTTTTGTCAAATTATCAAAAGAACACAACAGGATTCAGATTTAGTGTGGGGAAAGAGGTAGAAGTCACATTTGACGGAGATGATTATAGGGATGCCTGGTATCCTTCAAAAGTCGTTGAGGTCTGTGGTAATGGCTATTTTATGGTGGACTGCATGAGGCCAAATACTGAAATCAAGGAGCAAATAAGAGCAGCTGTTCGTTCCAGTCATATCCGACCATGTCCTCCGCTCCTCAAAAATAGTAAATGCTTTTGTTTGAATGACAAAGTAGAATCATTTTATGATTCTGGCTGGTGGTTTGGAGTGATAAAAGAAGTACTTCCTGACAGTAGGTATGTTGTCGTCTTCCAAAATAAGAAGAAGACTGAGAGGGTGCTCAATCACTCCGAATTAAGACCTCACATGGTTTGGAAAGATGGAGAATGGCATACTTCTCAGGCATGTTCACTTATTTTCCCAACTCAGTCCTCTCTGTTACTAGTAATTAGGGATCGCACCGGGTCTGATTGGACTCTTATAATTCCAAATAGTACTCAGATCATAAACTTAAATCCAAATCTGGATCTGATTGTGTCAGTCAGATAGGCATCAATCCATATCCAATTCGGATTGGATCCAGATTTGAACCCGGAGCAATCTAATTATCGTCTTTTATGCAATTACCTTTTTCATACATGTCTTTCACAAATTATTTTCAAGATTTTTATCTGCCAAAATTCATACAAAACATTGAAAAGTGGTTAATTCTGGATCACAAGTAAGCCACAAGCTCATAAACAATCATTATCTATTCATTAAGGGGCCATTTGGTCACTGTTTTGGAGCACCATTTTTCAGTATCATTCCATTTTGAAATCTAACAGCTCAATCTATTTTGGGGATGTAGAGTTATTTACTACATTAACCCTCTTTCTTAAAATTACCCCCAACTTTTAAAAAAGTACCAACTTTTTTCCTTCCCAAAATTCTCCCCTACCTTTTAAAAAATATCCTTATTAGTTATTATGCATCAAAACCACAGTTAAAAAACATCTGAAATGCAAAGTTTCTAAATAATTGATTAACAATGTATAAGGTCTAAGTCCCTATCCAGTAACAATTAAACTCTAGCGTAAAGCCACAATTTTTTGATAATCCACGACTAACTAGATCCATGGCCATGGTCTCTTGAGGAGACTGGAAAAATGCACCTCTTTTTTCGTAATCATTGAAAGTTCCACTAATAATTCAGGGTGAATCATTATCTCCGTATTGTACCCTTGAGGATGCGGAAAATTGCAATGGTCTGGATACCACCCAAAGTGCTGTTACACATGGTAGCAAAGATGCTACTACAAATGAAACATATGGAGAGAAAATCTCCAGATCCTTGAATTCTGATGCAGAAATGAGTGAGCAGCCAATTCTTTGGTGGCCTTCAAATGCGTCAGTTTCACCAATAAAAAGGAAACGGCGTCTAGAGCTATCAAAGGAACGATTTTCTAGTGAATCACTGTCTCTTATCAAATGTAAGAAACAGGCAAATGGATGGAAAACTCCAACTGAGAAAAGCTCGTGTTTCATTTCCAGCCCAAATCAATCTTCCTTGGGGAATACAGCTGTAAGTATATTTACTGCAAATATATATTTTTACACATAGGGGTCAGACTAGTACATCTGTCCCCCTTACCCTGTAATGAGCGGGAGCCTTTGAGGCACTGGGGTAATGTTGTTGCTGTTGTTGTATATATTTGTAAACATGCAAAAATGTATTTTAGTACTCCGTATTAGTTTGTTATTACTCAATTAGTATTAGTTTCCTATTAGCCTATTAGTCTCTCAGAGATGCGAGAGGCTTTTGATAGTGGGTGGGGGTGGGGGTAAACCTAGAAAGAATTCGAACGAGGTGATTAGACAAGACTTAGGACTTTTGGCTAGGAGTCTCCGTAGATCAAGGACGGATTAGAGTAGTTTGTTAGTTGCTTGGCCTTGGGTGGTAGTTTTTGTTTCTTGCCATTTGTGTGTGTTCTAGGCTTGAGGTTTTTCTACTTGCAGCTGTTTGTGTGCCAGCATTGCACTTTTCTTAACCTTAATTTGCTCGTTCGTTTTATTTTACTTTATTTTTAGCGTGCTATGTGTTTTCTGTGTTGCTCGAGCTGGAGGTCTCTTGGAAACAGCTTATCTGCTTTCTAGTAGGGGTAAGGTGTGTGTACACGCACCCTCCCCAGACCCTACTTTCGTGGGATTGAATTGGATTGTTGTTGTTGTACCATATTAGTATTGTACTCTACATTGGATTAGGACTAGGTTAACTTGCTCATCAAGACTCTTGGGAGTAGTAGAAATAAAGTTATTCATTAATAAAATCATCAATAGTTTTGGTCTTTTGGAGTCAGTCAGTCAGTTCACGAGTGTGTTTGGCAACTTCAAGCACGGACCCTAGACCCTACTCTGCCAAGGGCAAGTAATTCTTTATCTTTACAGCTTTCAGTCATCATCTTTCTTCCCCTCCACGCACGTAACGATGTGGTACTCCTAACTGTCATGCCGTGCTTCCTCGCAATGATTTGTTCTTATACTGCTTGACCTGATCTAAAGCTAAGTTTTGCCTGAAATTATAGATAAAGTTTTGTTTTCTTTTTTTGAATTCTTTCAACTATTGTGTTTGAATTTTGAACCTTCTCTCTTAAGGTTATTTTCTTCCAGCGGAAGATGCCCCATAAAGTTGATGAGCAAGGATCAGTATCAGGTCCACATCGAAAGAGAGGGAGGCCAAAGAAACGGACAGCCAAGCTACCACAATCTACAGCTCAAGGTATGCGAGGCTGATTTTTTGTTTTGATTTTCTCGTTGTCCAAAAACTTAGCTCAGTTCCAAAGATGGTCGGCAGGTAAGCTGAAGAGAAAAAAAGTGAGATCATCAAAGACAGTGGTCAGAACTCCCGATGTACTAGTTGAATCTCAAATATCAGGTAAGGAATGACACTTTTCTGGTTAGAGTTGAATTTGCTCGCTTCGGTGTCTTATGATTTACAAAAAAAAACAAATCATAATTCCATTATCTCTTTGTATGAAAAAAGGATTTTCTCTTAATGCTGTTGAGGCTCATGGAAAGGAAAATGTGGAATCTGTACCTATGGAGAAGGCTGTTAGCGAAGGTCCCGTACCTATGGAGAAGGCTATTAGCAAAGGTCCCATACCTATGGAGAAGGCTGTTGGCGAAGGTCCCATACCTATGGAGAAGGCTGTTAGCGAAGGTTCCGCACCTATGGATAAGGCTGTTAGTGAAGGTCCCATACCTGTGGAGAAGGTTGTTTGTGAAGGTCACAGCAATGGTTCTGAAGATGATCAGCCTCTCTCCACCTGGGTTGGAAAAGTGCACACTCGAACTCCTGTTGATGGATCAAGTAAGCCTGTTATTGCTGCTATTATAATTTAAGCTGGGTGACACTCCGGCCTTGTTTGGGAACAGTGTTTTTAGTTAGGGTTTTCAATATTTTTTTTCAATGTTGCATATTAACTTCGAAAACACTAAGGGCATGTTTGGATGAGGAGATAAAATGAGAGGAAAGAAAATATAAAGGAAATAAAATGAGAGGAAAGAAATTGGAGAGAAAATGAAAAGAAAATAATTATGGTTTGGATGAGTAGAAAATGGGAGGAAAAATAAGTGGAAAGAAAACTTGATGTAAAAAAGACATTTTTATCCTTATATAATAATGTGTCAATGTGTAAATATAAGGACAAAAGAGTAATTATAACACTTCTCTCCTAGCCCTTCATTTTCTCACCACCTTAGGAGAGAATTTCTCCCTTCCCCACTAAGCCCTTTTTTCTTCCCTCTTCATTTTCTCTTTAATCCAAAGGGAAGATGTTGCCAAACGGGCACTGCATTTTGTTGTTGTCATTGTTATTACAGGACTTGCACAACCCCACCAGAGCTTGCCTTTTGTGAAGAAAGACGCACTCATATGGGACATATTAGAATCCAGAGAAGCCTTTCAGAAAATTCCCCAGAACCCTCATTTTCAGCCGCTCCAACACAGTGAAAATTTTCGTCGCGAAACTCTGGCTATCTTCTACATGTGTTCTTTTGCTGATCTAGTAGACAAGGCTTGCCACTTGAAGCTTGACGAACCCAGAAACACCATTGACAAAATGTTTGACACACTAGCTGAGCTGGAGACCCATGGGTTCAGTGTTGAGCCGATACGCAGCCGCTTGAAGGAGATCCTGTCATACAGAGAAGAACATGAAAATCTGCAAGTCTCTTCTGCTGGGACCCGCAGCGAAATGGAGAAGCAGAGCGCGCTCAAAGTGGACCTGATGAAGCAAAAAGCCGAGCTGGAGAAGTCCCTTTCCCAGGTGGTGGCCAAGTTGGAGTCAAAGGAAAAGGACATAGCTTCTCTGCAGTCCAGTGTGGATGAGATGAACGAGAGGCTCGGACATTTGAGCCGGGATTATGAAGCCTTGATTTGCAAACCATTTGAACCGCCCGTACAAAACGTGTAGGCCTAGGGGTGGTGTGGGGGGGGGGGGGTGACCCTAGGGCTATGAATGTGTCGATCCCCAGTTTTTGTATGTTAATTATGTAGAAAACTGCTGTTATATATGGCTTAGCTCTAATGACCACTTCATAGTTTTGAGACCAAAACCCCTCAAGTTTCATGTTGCATTATAAGTGTTATCATTTGGGGCCCTTTGTTTGTACTTGTAAAATTATTACTATGTACTCCCCCCTCCGTCCCTAAATAGATTACAATTTTTTTTTCCTCTCGATAACTTTTATTTGTTTACGCAATTTCATTAAGTATTTGATAAAATAAAATATTCATGTCACCTCTTATTTTGTAAAACTTTTGACGTACTGATATGTAATTTTTATATCTTATTGATATACCAATTTCTAAATAAAATAATTTCAAAAAGTATAAAATTTTACTGCGTAACCCGCAATTTGTAATCAAATTGGGGACGGAGGGAGTATTATCGGTGTCGAGTAGGGTCGGTTCTGGTCTAGTTCCGGACCGGTTCTAGATTTAAATTTTTTAAATTTTATTTTGAAAAATTGTTAGTTTGTATACATTAAACTCCATATTTTTTTTGTTTGTAAATCTCGCAAATTAATCTTAAACTAATTAAAAATTGCGGAGTAGTATTAAAAACAAAAAAATAAAATGGCACCAATTTCAATTGCTAAATTTGAGAACTGGAACATTTTCTCGGGTATTCCGAGACATTTTGGTTCCAAATCGGGACCGTGTCCAACCCTAACAAGGGTGTTGATTCTTCAATGTTCAATAGGTTGAGAATTTGACACACATGCGAATAAATAAACTTACAAGGAAATGACACATGCTTAGTCAAAGCTATAATTTAAAAATTATTTCGTACGAAGTACGTGTTTATTACTCCGTAATAATTTTGAAATTTAAATTTAGATTTAAAATGACTCCGTACTATTTTACCAAAGTTTAGGAGTGAACTTGTTTTACAATCCGCACATTTAGGCTCTGTTTGGTACACTGAATTCAAAGTATGAAATTGGAGAGACTAATTCCAATTCCTCTGTTTGGCAATACAAAAATATGGGGATTTGGAACTCGTAATGCCAAAAATGAATTGGAAAATTCAATTGCATCCAAATCAATTCCATATAATTTCAACTCCCTATTTAATTCCAATTCTATTGATTCCGTGTACCAAACGGACCCTTATTCTTTTCATGATAACATATGTCCATTTTTGTTTGAACTAAAATGCTCCCTTCATACTCATTTTGACTACAAAATGGGATTTATGAGGTAAAATTTTATGGTTTTTTAAATTATTTTATTTACAAATTGGTATGTGAATAAAAAATTACATATTAAAAAACTACATCAAAATTTCTACAAAACAAGATGTGACAAAAATATTTTATTTTATCAAATAATCAATGAAAACACACAATAAAAAATATTATTGAAAAGAGAAAAAAAGTTGTTATCAAAATGGGGACAGATGGAGTAAGAGTTCAGATTTTCTTTTCCACTTTCTTGCCGTTAGAACTTTGAACGGCGTCTTTAAATTTGCAATGAAGGACTAGAAAGAGGTTATTAAACATCAGTCAACGAGTTGTCAAAGCAGCGGGGATAGCTCATTTGGGAGAGCGTCAGACTGAAGATCTGAAGGTCGCGTGTTCGATCCACGCTCACCGCATAATAAATTTTTCGAGTGTTTTTGATTTTTGTTCTTTCGTCTACTTTTTACCGCCACACCTTTTTAAATTTCACCATACTCTAAAAATTCTTATCTTAACTCTTTTACCAACAAAAGTCACTCAACGTTTTTACAATTCTTATAAACTTATCTCGGTTGTACACATTAAATACAAGTATCAATTTTATTTTAAATAAATTACAATGAAACATTTATTAACTTAAATAGGTTGGCTTGACAATAATGGAATTTAGATATTTTATTTTCAAAGCGAGATTTCAAGAGTACTATTTACATGATTAAATTAATCATATTTTCTTTCTTACATATAGACTAATTTTTTAATTTAAAATTTGTTTGTCTTTAGTTATTAGGAATAGTAGGGAAGTAAATGTAATATTAATGTCTACAGAGAATAAAAGGAAATATATGGTCGGGCATAATATCATATAAAAACAAGACAAAAATAAAGAAGAAAATATGATATTACGCTCAAAAGAAAAATTTTAATTGAAGAATAAAACAAAGAAAGAAGAAGAAGATTAGAAAAAAAAGAAAGTAGGCTAAAATATTTTTGTTAAAATTTCTATTAAGTTGAGGTATTTTATTGATAAGATTTTGAAGTTTAGGTACTAAAGTGAAAAACACGTAAGGTACTGCTGGTTAAGTTTACATAGAGAAAATGATGTTTAAAGTTAATCTAATTTGATTCGAAAAAATCAAACTCGACGAATACACTAAGACAGAAAAAATATATAAATTACTCCTTTTTGGAAGAAGCATTTTCTTGTAGAGTTGTTCTTCTGTGATCCTAAAACCACATATGAAATGTAAATCTTATCACACTTTTCATAGGCCGGCAAGCAGATATTTTCTTTTCTACAAACGATCCAATTGTTTATGATATACTCCCTTCGTCCCAAAAAGAATGTTACGTTTCATTTTTTGCGCATCCCTTAAAACACTTTTATATCGTCTCAAATGCCAAAAAAATTTTCAAAACAATTTCATGTTATAATAAAGAGCAAATATGGTAAATTTTAGAATTTTTAGATGTGAGTAGCAGTGCTTTTTGTGATGCGCAAAAAAATGAAATGTAACATTCTTTTTGGGACGGAGGTAGTAAATGACTAAGATCCATAAAATAAGCATGGATGTTAAGACCACGTAATAATTTGCCTTTCTTAGTAAATGCCATTTGACTTGTTAATAGAAACCCAATCTATCCTTTGCTTCCTTTTTCACACACACAAAAAAGAATAAAAAACTTGATCATCATTATAAGATACTACAAACAAATGTTTTTTATACATCAAATGAGAATGGGGATGATTTTTGAACTCCTCCAACTCAGTCTACTGTCACAAAAATAGCCTATTAATATGATGATGGAGATGATGATAATACCTCACTACGATCCTCGCGAATTGCCCGTGCCCAAATCCTCATCGTCAGTGCCATCGCTGTAATCCGATCCATGACCGCAATCCAAATCTGAATCCGAACCCAAACTCTCTTCGTTATCCCCATTTCCCCGGCCCATTCCCCAACCAATTCCATTCTCTCTTGGAAAATAAGCTGCTTCATCATCATCATCATCATCATCATCCCCACTGTCTCTTCTCTTATAAGCAACCAATTCATGATCCACCTTGGCTTTCCTTGGGCTCAACAATACAAGTTCAGCCAGTTTCCTTCTAGCCAAATACAAATCGTTCGGTTCAATAAGTTCTCCTCTCTTGTATGCCTCTCTGAGAAAGACAGTGTGCAGTTTCCCTTGGTTTCCCCTGGTTGAAATGTAAAATATCCCTTGGTGCTGAAGGAGAAACTCTTTGAGCTTCTTTGGCAAATCCATGGCCTGCCTAAAATGGGCAATCCTCTCTAGAGTTATCTTCTTTTCCACAGTCAATGACAAGAGCTCATGAATGGTGGCAACGGCTCGCTTCTCCATCCTTTTCTGTGCTTCGAGTGACCTTAAATCATACCCTGAAATATCCTCATATGGAGACCAATAAGGCAATCTCTGCCATTTCCAAACTGCAATCCTGAAGTACTTGCCAATCTTGAAACCAGGAGGGAAATTGATGATAAACGAAAACCGTATATTCTCAGCGTCCCCTCCCTTTTCTCTGTACTCTTTCTCTCTTGCTTTTTCGATAGAGCATATAGATAACTTCGGGTCCCTCTCTACAATCTCAATGTACTTGTTTCTGGTCTCTTCGGCATCAAACAGTCTGAAATACTGAGGGTTCTTGAGAACTACCGAGTACTCGAAGTCATCGGGCAGCCCAAATGCTTTCCTTGCGATCCGAACATGTTCAAGCCGGAGCCGACCGGTGTTAGAGAGCATGAGAAGCTTCCTCAGCCGGGTGATGGCTTCTGGAATTTGTGCCAGAAGGGCTTTGTTTTCTTGATCCATCTGCATATGGGCTTTTCTAGCAAACCTGCAATAAAGAATCCGCTGGACCGGGTGTTCAAATACCTCAAAAACATGTGGGAACTTGAGGATGAATCTGCCAGCTTCGAACTGCTTGAACCCGATCCGGCACGCGAGGGTGTCCAAGTGAGAGACCGCAATCATTGAGTTTGGGCGGGTGAGGATTAGGTCTTGGAATTTCAGGACTTTGCGCATTTTCTTCTCCACCTCCATGTACTTGTCAAAGCCATGGTCTCGCACTCGCTGCTGCTTTTTGGGAATGGAAGTGGACTGGGACATGGACCTTGCACAAGTTTGCAGGATCCAAGGGTGGGCTTTGATGGATTCGAATCGTGTTTTCATAATTTTAGTTGAAATACACATAACAGCTTTCATTTTGAGGCAACAGAAAATGGTCTGAAAATGAATCAGGGTCTATAAGTCTAAATTTTCCCCATTCTTGGATAACCGGGCCAAAACGCTACTCCTGGTGAGCACAAAGAAATGATGGGGTTAAAGAAATTCACACAAACTAAATTATGCAAATGAAAAAATTGGAGATGGGAAAAGAGTGATCATTCTCGGCCATTTTGGTATAGGACTTATCAGATGTATCATATTTATCATTTCTATCATAGCATGGATTGCATTGAGATACTCCCTCTACCGGATTTAGTTGTCTTGTTACTCAATTACGGGCTGCGAAAATTATTCGTCCACTTTGACTAGTTAGTAAACAAAGAATGGTGTATTATCACAATCACCATTCAACTCCTTCATATAACATGTTATAATCATAAACTCACTTCAAGGATTTATTTGACATTCCACTTTCACTCCTTAAATACGAGATATTTTGCAAACTGGACAACTAAATCCAGATTGATGGAGTATATTTTTCAAAAGTTATAAAATCTATCCATTTTTCACAAGCCCATCTGCATACCTTCCCTTCTTTCCACATAGATGTGACGGTGTAACCCCGAGCTACCAAAGGGGGAGTTTGGAGAGAAGCAAAAAACTTTCCGCACCATTGCTATCGTCTGTCTTCGTGATCGCTGTCATTTGTCTTTATGATTTCCGGTGCCACGTCCCAAATTAAGAGCACGGTATGGCCATGCTATAACTTCAGAAACTGTTACGTGACAAAACTAAACATAGCAACCTGTCAAATGACTTGGGAAATGAACTACCACATGCACCTATTTAAGGGTGGTGGAGCCGCTTAGTGGTTCTCCTTTGCCTATCTCACCAAGATGCAAAACTCCACCCAACAGAACAACGATGACCCAGTATAATCCCCCCACCTCTGATGGGGTCTAGGGCTCAAGATGTGAATACTCTTACCCCTATAAAAACAGAGAGACTATTTCCTTTAGATACTGGATGCATTACTGTATTTACTATCCAAAACTTCATACAAAGTGAGATGCGATGACGCACAAAAAAAATCAACTCAAAATCCAATGTGTCTATTCAGCATCCAAACCTTTTGAAAATGTTGGCCGGGCTCCTCTACTCTACAATCTACATAACTACACATTTTGCTGTTTGAGCGATCTTTGAACAACCCTTTGAGGCAAATAAAGGAAATAAACCATCATCACTCTACTTTAGTAATCACCCAACAACAATAGTGCCTTCTGCTATGCCAAATACAGAGAAGACAGCCTCAGTCTCAAACTTTAGTGTGCTAAAAAAATATTATGATTCTAGTTCTTATGGGAATTCAGTCATTTTGGAAACAGTTTCTCTACTCCTCGCATCGACATATACTCTCTAGTTTGGATTGGCAAGCTCTCAAGGGAATTAAACACTGTACATTTAGAATTTCAATAAACCCTTCAGATTGGAAACAAAATGGAGAAATAAAAACAACCAAATCAAAATTCCAAATTATCAGCCATTCAACACAACTAGTTGAGCAAGTTAGGTAATAAATTATTTAAAAAAAACCATACTTCTTATGCATATGAATCGAATCAATAAATCAGGTGGAATTTATCTGAGCAGAAAATGAAGGAGAAGAAGAAGCGGATGAATCGAGCAGGAGAGACTCACCATTCAAGAGAGATATACTAAGGAAAGGAACCAGGTACAGGTGGGAATATGCGCCGGCGACTCGCCGGAGATTTAAGTATTGCCTGGTAACCTAACCGTATTTCATAATTGGGCCAGCGGCTCAGCATAACCCAATGTTTGGGTCTGAAAATCTGCTTTGACAGTTTAATGCTAATTCACATTTGGACTCCGGTTGAGGTTGCTTAGTTGGAAGGTAAGAAAGTCAAATAAGACCCTAGTTCGATTCCTGACAACTGAACGGGGAGTCAATTATGTTAAGCATAAGCTCCACTCTTCGCCAGCAATCTGCAATTAAAGTCTAATTTACCTTTTCTCGGTGACCGTTCGACCGGATCTGAGGGAGTCTTCGGAGATGAGGCTCATCCTTTTTTTTGCTAATTCACATTTTGTACCTAGAAAAAAGAAATAAAATGTACTATTTAGTAAACATATATTGATTTCACTATCATAATGTACTATTTACAACATATTTTAAATTTTACTCCGTATTATTTTATTTTATAAAATTAAATAATACTCTATAAGTATGCAATTTAAAATTAATATTTTAAAATAATTTGTACATCAAGTGTATTACTAACATATAGATAATTGTTATCTATGCATGTTAATCATATATTTAGTTTATACATTTGGTAAATGGTTTACAAATTTTAGAGCTTGTTTGGGAGTAATGTTATAGTTAATGTTAGCGTTTTGAAAAAACAAACTACAGAGAGCTTTAGCGTTAACGCTTTTAAGATTAATATGTACCATGAAAATTTTATCCGAAATGCTAAAGCTAATTGAAAGCAATATTTCCAGGCGGCCTTTCATATACACCAAAATTTAAGTGGTGTATACTCCCTCCAGTTTCTAAATATTTGCCAAACTTGTATTTCCGAGATCAAGTTTTTCTAATTCATTTTATTTACATATTGATATAGAAATAAAAAAATAAAATTTACATATCAAAAAACTACATGAAAAGTTTTTAAAAATAAGACATGTCAAGAATATTTTATTTTATCAAATAACCAATGAAAATGTTGAAATAAACAAAAATTCCTGCGACGGCTGAAAAAGTAAATATTAAGTAAATATTGCAAATAATATAATTTGGGAGGAGGAGTAGATAATTGTAGAGAATAAAGGTCCTCCCTTTACATAAATCAACAAAATTTAAGTCACATCAAATTCACGGCCCCTATTCCGATTTCAAGTTTCAACCACCACTGGGCAACCCGATACCTTCAATTTCCCTCCGGCTCCGGCCATCATTTTCCTCTTCATCTCATCTATTGGAAATTAGGGTTTTGCGCTCCTCGTCAATGGCTCCCGTTCTAGATTGCGCTGGAATCATGCTACCATACGCGTAGCCGGGAACAGATCTAAACTAGATGATAAGAGCACCGTCGGCAGCTGTTTTGGTTTTCGACTTTTTTTGTACTTTCAAATTTTCCGAAGGAGATGGAATTGAGCTCTAGGAGTAGCGGGAACGGCGCCGGAGGAAATGGAGCTCCTCCGCCTCATCCACCGCAGCCGGCGCCTATGCCTAGCGCCAACTCTCCGCCTCCGTTCCTGGTGAAGACTTACGACATGGTGGAGGACCCGAGCACTGACAAGATCGTCTCTTGGAGCGCTACTAACAACAGCTTTGTTGTTTGGGATCCCCCGGAGTTCGGCAGGAACCTACTCCCCAAGTACTTCAAGCACAGTAACTTCTCCAGCTTCGTTCGCCAGTTGAATACATATGTATGTAATTACTACTCAATTTCTTTATCTGGATATTGATTTGGGTTTAGTATTGAGATAAAAAATAACTTATTCCCTTACCCTATTTTAGGGTGCATTAGGCCCATATTTCCGTGGTTGACTGGTTGTTGGTTAGGATTCACTTTAATATCTGTAACTGACTGTTCACTCAGTAGGAGAGTAGATATGATAGTGCTTGGATTTTAGATGACATGGTGGTGTACCTAGGTGTTGGGAAAATGAAAGTGATCGTAACAGAGTGCACATTTCTTCTGCAGAATTTATACTCCTGTAGTTTTTTTTCTTCTGCAGTTTTATTGGTAACTTACGGAGTATTATAATCTTGATTTTCTCGAATGTGATATGTCTTATATGAAACATTCAACAAGGCATAAGTGAAGGATACAGATGCTCACTGGTTGTTTCGGTGCCATGATCGACTTATTTTTTGTGTTAGGATGCCTTGAAAAACTCAATGTACATCATAGGATTATTGTTATTTACACTGAACATATGGCTCATTTTATTTTTGAATTTTATTCTCACCCCCTCTAGTTTAGGGAGAAGACATGTGTTTAGAGTTTTAACCTTGCATATGAGTGGTGATATCACATTCGTAAGCCTGAATTGGGTCGGCTTGATGAGGCCCGAGCTTAAGTGTGGAACGAGTTGAGTTCAATTTCAAAACCTTAATGTGATATGATGAAAATAGATTTGCGTTGAGCTTGAGTATGTGGTATTCGGAATTCAGACTCGGCTTGTCTTGAATAACAACACCAGTTGTGACAGGAATGAAGGATTAAATGACAATTAAAATAAAAACAAATAGTCTATCCCAACTAGTTTGGGCAACAAGAAACACTTATCCTCTGTGAAGTACCCAAGTAAAAAGGTGTGCCTATTTTAGAATTGAACACCATGTATTCTTGAAGTAAGTTCATTGATCTTGTTTCATATGAATTTTTAGAGCTTTATACTTTTATGTTAGTTTGTATTATTGTTGTTATGATTTTTGAATGTATCAAGATCGTCTCTTTTTACAAGTCTCTCTTTTAGATCTCATTGAAAATAAGGTTATGCAGTAATTTAAGGTTTAAGATTAATTCTGGAATTTAGTTGAATAGTTGGAAAAAATAGCCTTCAGATTTCTTCTTTCTCTTCAATGTAGCTATTTCCCATCCGTTCTTAACGGATTAATATTTTCTTCTTTACCTGTTCAGAAGTGCATGACTACTATTTACTAGTACATTTGCATCATTTCCCTTTCCCGGTTTTTCACTATGTCCTACTATGTTGGAAATCGGGATAAAATTTTGGAAGGATTTGGTAACTTGACCAAACTGTGGGGAGGCAAATGTAAACTATGTAATTAACCTTACACCTTACTACAGAAGTACAGAGTATTATAATGTAGTGCTCTGGGCTCCTTTTTTTTACAAATAAGGAATTCTACTTTGGGCATACATTCATAACCATACCTTGTTTGTCATCTGGTCCTGCATGCCTGCTTGTATTTGATGTACATAAAATATGCAATTTCAATCACTAAATCTCTATGCTCTTGAATGGCCAGCTTAGTTTTTTGTCTTTAGGCACAAATGATATAGCCTGTTGATTGAACTTACCATGAATAATCTTGAATCTTATGTGTCTCTCTATGAACTTTTCTGCGGAGAATAGGGTTTTAGAAAGGTTGATCCAGACCGCTGGGAGTTCGCTAACGAGGGTTTTTTAAGGGGTCAAAAGCACCTTCTTAAAAACATCAGTCGACGAAAACCTGCTCATGGACAGAATCACCCGCAGCAACAACCACAAGGGCAAACCAGTTCATCTGTTGGGGCATGTGTTGAGGTTGGGAAATTTGGTTTTGAAGAGGAAATTGAGATGTTGAAGAGGGACAAAAATGTACTTATGCAAGAAATCTTCAGGCTGAGGCAACATCAGCAATCCACAGACAATCAGATGCAAACAATGGCACAGCAACTCCAGGCTATGGAGCATCGGCAGCAACAGATCATGTCATTCCTCGCAAAGGCCGTGAACAGTCCTGGATTCCTGGCACATTTCGTGCAGCAGCAAAATGACATCAGCAATAGGCGCATCACAGAAGGGAACAAGAAACGGAGGCTTAAACAGGATGTTGGTGGATCAGATGAACAATCTGTTAGCGCAGCTGACGGTCAGATCGTGAGGTATCAACCCATGATGAATGACACAGCAACAACTATGCTTCGGCAGATGATGAAAAAATTGGATTCTCCTCCTCCTCCCAGACTGGATAGCTCTGTTATGGGTGATGTTTCATCTCAGTCTAATACATCGGACCATGATAGCCCATCAAATTGTGTTTCACTAACGGCTATATCTGAGGTTCACTCTTCCCCACCACTGAATACTGCTGATATAGGAAATGAGCCATTTTCAGATACAAGTCCTGCGGTAGGGGCTCAAGATATGCTTCCTGCTTCAGATATGATGATTCCTGAGCTTTATCAGATACAAGAGGTTGTTGGGTCTCAAAGCAACACGGGTATCACTCCCACATCACTGGAAGAGAACGGGAAAACGGACTTACAAATCGATGGGTTTTCTCCAGACCCTCAAATTGAGTGGCAGAATGCTCTGCTGGATGACGACCTACCTCTTGACACCTCCTTCTGGGAGAAGTTTCTTCTGAGTCCACCTGGTGCTGACGCGGAACAGATGGATTTAATCGCAATTGAAGATCCCAGGGATGACGAAACCACGACAGATGAGAACAGGTGGGACAACATGGAACACCTTACTGAGCAAATGGGGCAGCTAAGTTCCACAAGCACCAACGGCCAACCCTCTCCAAGCGAATGTACATGAACGAACGAACGAACGAGGTACAAATCAAATCGTCATATAGTTTTATCAAGTGATCTTCATGACCAGTTTCCCTTGCTGTCTCGTACACTCGTGATTCTTTTTTTCTTTTTTTTTTCATATACTAAGGCTTTTAGTATCCCTAAAATCCATTGCATACAAATGCCTCTTTCACATTGTTTTCATCTTCATGTAGCAAGTGGGTGTTTGGGTATATGCGATTTGAAAACATGCAATGTGGTTGAATGATGCCGTGTTTTCAAAACGCGTTTTTGGGGTTGAAGACGTTGTGGTATCACCTAATGTTTCTATAATTGTTTTAAAAAACTACATTTCCAAGTGTCAAAAATAGTCGTTTCTGTGCATGTATATTGTTCAACACTACAATATGATTTAAAATGAAAATAAAATGGGTTGTAAAATCCTAATTTTGATCTATAAATAGCAAACCAATGATTTGTTGCTTCTTAATTTGTGTTTTGGGGAGTATTTTGAGCTTTATCAATAACGCCAGTACGCCAAGCTAGATGGGTTAAGGTGCAGCTTGCTTAAATAGCCTATATAAGGGAAAATTGCTTTTGAAGCGTTTAGCCAAACGGCCAAATTATATGATACATCTAGATGCAACGCTTGTTTGGGAATAGCGTTAGCGTTTTGAAAAGGCTATCTACGGTCAGTGATTAGCGGTAGCGTTTTCATAGTAATCTGCACCATTAAAATTTTATCTAAAACGTTAACGCTATTCCCAGACAGGCCCCTAACTTTCTCTTGGTACATCATGGTAAATATGTAGAATGGACACTTCGTTGTTTCAAAATAAACACTACGGGGTCAAATTATGTACCCAGCTAAGATAACAATACAAGTAAAATGAATCCTCCCTGCATTGTTCTCTTGTTTCGCATCCTCCATATGCCATAAGCACACGCACCCCAGATTGCCATGAGAGTCTTCCTTCTTTTCACACGTCCTGTCTTTAACATTTTCTCCAATTCCCCTCGGTTAGAGAGCTGAACTTGATACTTGAACTTGGCAAAGCTTTCCTTGTAAACCTCTTGTGCAAAGTTGCACCCCCAGAATAGGTGTGTATCTGTCTTAATTTATATTGTTTGTTCTAATTTATGATATTTGACTGAAATTATTTTCAAATCATTTTATATGAAAAATAGTACTCCGTATAAAATTTAAAAATAAAAATTACATATAAAAATATTACATTAAAAGATCTACAAAATTAGTGGTGACGGTGACTATTTTGTTTTATCAAATGACTAATGAAAATAGAAAAAGAAAATGATTGAAATTTGATCATGTGAATAATAAATATGTAATTTAATTTGAGATGGAGAGAGTATTTTTTTTGGCCAAATTATAACATGGTATAGATATTTTATGTTCACGGTGCACATTTATTTTTAATATACTCCACTACATATGTGAATAACTCACATAAATAACATATTCAAAAATTGCAAATTCGATCCTCAATGGACGACGCATCATTCACCTTCAATTTGATATTTTTATGTTCATTAACACCAATCATATGAGTTTTTACACTAAATAAAGGCATCTTTCCTAAGAAAAAGTTTTCACTCCAATGTTATTTATCATATTAGCATACTCCATTTATACCATTGAGGAGTATTTATACCTTTTCATGGCGAGATGAGAATGTTGATTTTGTTTCAAATGAAAATGATGCATAGTATAAGAAATAAGAATGCAGAAGATCCACCAAATTTAAGATCTAAGGACTATTAAAAAATCTTAAATACTAAAAAAATCGTTGCGTTTTTTGGAATCCATATTATTCTATCTTTGGAATCTTGAATCAAATAAAATCAATACCTAACTAGAATTGAAACATGCTTCATATACCCAAATAGGACCTCCAATACTTTTATAGCAAGACAAGACACCTGATACCAAATAATGCCATAAAATACGGTGAAATGCCAACGCGCAGTGTCAGATTGATGCATTTCACTATGCCAACTCCTATATAGAAGGGATAAATTACATGTTTTAGTCCTATTTAAATAGATACATTTCTTATCACGCTACGCATATTATGATGATTACATATCAAAGAATAGAGTATGTACAAAATATTGATCGTTTCTACTTCATTGCGGGTATACTTGACCGCGAAAAACAAAAGATTTTGGTTATGGTTCTTGGTTGTCCAAGACATGATTAAGCAGACCAAAAGACTCAAAATTGAAACCAAGGTCATCGTTTTGGACCAAAAGAGGCAAAAGAGGTTCTTCTCCATCATTTTGATGGTGCCAAGGTCTGCTTCTTTGTCAATTCCTGTCGCTTCTGAAGAAAACTGCCTGTCAAAAGTTAACCCATCAAAGCGTACATCGGTTAAAAAGTATCGTGACAAGAAACGTGAAATTCCAAGGGTGGTTTAGCACCATAGGCTTCATGGTTCTCCGTTCTCGATACGAAGTTTTAGATTTAAGTTTAATTCAGTATTTATACTTCAAAAACAACAATAAGTAGAGTAAAACCCCACGAAAATTAGGTCTAAGAAGGGTGTGTGTACGAAGATCTTACCCCTATGGAGCCAAAATTTCACCATTTTTTTGGCTTTGGGGTGTGATGGAATAAATCAAAATGGATCTCTAAACTGTCTGCGCTTCTTTAATTAATGAAGTAGCAGTTAGTCAAGCAATGCAACTTTTGACGTTGAGTCAGGGGTCTCTTTGGAAACAGCCTCTCTACTTTCGAGTAGGGGTAAGGTCTGCGTACACACACCCTCCCCAGACCCTACTCTTGTGGGATTTAACTGGGTTGTTGTTGTTGTTGTTGTTTCCAAGAGATGCCCGACCCAAACACGGAAGCACAAACAAAATACAAAAGCAAAAAAAAGATTAATTACCCAGACAAGTAAATGATTTAGCTATAAAACTGAGCAGCATTAAAGCAATGATCCATTTTAAACATATCCCAAAAATGATGCTTCTTTCTTCTTTTGGATATTTCAAAACCCAAAACAACTCATCGATCTATATCACAAAAAAGTGACACAAGAAAGTTATAAACTTCTAGTACCCAAATTTTCACTTGGAAATAACCTCTCTACTTCCAAGTAGGGTTAAGGCCTGCGTACACACACCCTCTGTCCCACCCTATACCCTATTTTTTTGGGATTTGACTATGTATGTTGTAGTTGATAGTACCCAAATTGTACCAGGAGACAATTGTTAGAATAAAGAGTTTACCTGGCCTTGAAATAAGTTGTATACGAGATCGAGGCCCATCAAACATCCAGCTATCTTCATCCAGGGACTTAACCACTTCATTAAGTGTAGCCATGACCTCAGATTTGAGAGCTAAAGACATAGCCATGTAAAGTTTAAATGTCAATATCTTCGACCAAGTAAACACAAGAAATCCACATTTCGAAGCAAAGAGTTACATGCACCATTTGCTTTCTATATTTCTTTGTAACTAGCAAAAGAACAAAAGGTAGAGTGTCATATCCATCTCTTTTGAAGAGAAACACGAAAAAAAATTGCAAATTTCAACTACTTAGTACCTACATCTTCACAATCTGTAATCTAAACTTAGGAGAGTGTATAGAATGCCAAAACAAAACACCCACTTGAAGGTGAAAAGAAGACTGACATATCGGTATCCTTTAAAAATGGATAAATTTTAACAAATCTAACTACACAGAGTTTTGGAGACTGAAGTTATAAACACATAAAACAATGGTCATACAACTGATGCAATTACTAACCTTATGTTTAAGGTGCTTTAAAAGGATAAAAGTTAAAAAAAAAGACAATTAAATTTAAAAGAAAACAACACGCCAAGAACTAGTTTTACTAACATAGTCTTTATATAAGAAACCCATGACTCCATGAGTATTGGATAAGAAGCTTATCCCAAGAATTCCACTATTCCAAGAAATTAATTTTGTCCTAGTTTGGATTTATATTTTTTTGCCTCATACTATATTCAACAAAGAGTTGCATTACTGTTCATGGAGAATCCATTGAGGCACATTTCAACAAGAAATTCATACACCGTTAACGATAGCCACTCTTTTACTAATCTTTGGAATTTGAGTCTTGGACCCCCCTACAACTATACAAGTATACAACGCATTGTGGAATTCTTAAAAATTTTGCAATTTCCCGATTTTCCTCATATTTGATCACACCAACACATGGAGTTAATTTTAGTTTAGTCTCAAAACTGCAACATCCATTTGTATAGGGCCAATCCCGGAATTTATAATCATATCAAGCTCAAACTAATGCTCAAGAATTCCACAATAAAGCCACGCGAAATTCAGAAACTAAGAACTATATGAAGAAAAAATTGAACTTTTTATACAACAGCAACAACCTAGTATAATCCCAACACTATTGGGGTCCAGAGTCAAGAAATATGCAGTATCACTGAAAACAAAGAGGCTGTTTTTGTTAGACCATAGATGCATTGCTCCATTTACTGTCCAAAACTTCATAGAAATTGAGATTCAAAAAAAGTTTACTTTGTTTTAGTGCATTATGTGCACCAAACTAAAACATTATCAATACCAACTCTTTTAGCTCCATTGCCATTTATACACCAAAACAATAAACTTCATTAAGCAGCTAATCTCATTCTTTTGATTTTTAATATTTATAAAGAGCTATGAAACATATTTACGATTTTCAAATAGGAAAAATCAAATTAACTACTGTACTATAGAATTCCCAAAAATTCTTACACATAATGAGGTGAAATCATCCTATATGAATTATATAAAAGAAGAAGAAGAAACCATTCACAGATACTCAAAATTTGGGATCTAGCGAACTGGCCTTGTACAGTCTCGTCCTTTCGGTCTTGATCAGATGTAGGATCCGCGGCGGGGAAGTGGTGATCGTCAACCGCAAGAGACACCGCAGCGGGGGCGTTGGCACCGATATTGGCCGCCATAGATATGGAAGACCTCGCCGGAGACAAGTTCGGCAATTTTGTACCGCAAAAGAGGACTAAACAACCGATTTTTAGTAAATTTGTAGTGTAAGTTTAGGAAAAAAAATGTTATTCCCTTTTATTATTGCAAAAACAATTTGGTGTGCCGTTTCACAAAAAATAGTAGAGAATTACTTGAGGAAAAAAATATTTGACAAGAGTGTACTATTAAAAATTTTAGAACTAATATTTCAAATTTTAAATACATCTAAAAAGTAATTTTAATAAAATTATTGGATTATCAGAGAAAAATAAATTCTAGCGTCCACTTTGGAAAAATATCCCAATAAAATATTTAATAAAAAAACTACAATGATTATCAAAAAACAATTCATAGTGTCGCTTTTGAAAAAAACTTTGAACATAGTACGGAATGTATGGATTGCGTTGTCACAAAATATTAGTTTCATTTTAGAAACATATTATTTTCTTCATAAATCTTTCAGAAATTTTCATGAAACAACATTTTAAACTTAAAATTGTCAAATTAATGCTACAATTTGTTATATCCTGAAAAATAATTAGAATGAACTATAGAAAAACATTGTACCACAAATTTTTTACAACAATCTTTTCTTTGAAACGACACTAAAAATATATTTTGACAACTCACAACAGTTTATTTCTTGAAACCGCGCTACATACTCCGTATTATATTTCTAATACTAATTCATGTTAAATTTAAACACAAATACTCCGTATCCAGAAAGTTTATTTGGGATATTTTTGATTTTCTAGTAATAACTCATGCGTCTTACATTATCTGTAATATATTCCAGAGATCCTAGATTTTCTAATAAGATTTATCAGGTTTCACTTTGTCCGTAATATTCTCTGGAGTCCTTAAAATAAGTGATATTGTACTTCGAAAGTACATTTCGTCTATTTAACCAATTAAGATTGAAATTTCCGTTACTTTGACAAATATTAAATTTTACCTTGATAATCATTATTTTATTAAATTTACATAAAATCATTCAATTTGTCAAAGTTAAGAAACTTTCAATCCAAACGCCTAACTAGAAGAAATATAATCTCAGAGTATAATATCACAAATATAGGACATTCAATTTGTCAAAGTTACTAAAAAATTAAAGGTATCCTACGATATATATAAGATAATGTAAGACCTAAAAGTTATTATGAATTTTCAAAAGTAATTTTGTACTTTCTGGAGTATTTTTTACCACTGTTGTTTCAAGTTTTAAGTGTTTTTAAAATAAAAAAAAAAACCATCTCGTTTTCATTTTGTTGCTGCGGGAAATGAGCTACTCCGTAATTCCTCCTCGCGCCCGCTCGTCTTCCTCAACCGTCAAGTCATCCGACTGCAACGCAAAAACGATTTCTCCCACTCCTTACTTCGCCATGACTCTCTGTATCTTCTACACTCTCTAAACACGCTTCTACAATCAACACATGCAAAATGAACCGCCCGATCTACCGCCCCGGGTGGCCGCCGTCGGCCCGTTGATCATCCCCGCCGCAGCAACCACGGCCCTCCGTTCCGCCACCGTCCGCATCCGCAGCACGGATGGGAACCAAATTTGCCTCCTCGCCCGCTCAATTTCATCGTCGAGCTCCAATCCAGCGGGCAACGGGCAGTGAGTGCGGCCGAGGTGGAGGCTCTGGTTCGGAAACTTAGGGTAAAACCTCAGAAGTCAAGCGTTGTCCCGTGTGAGTCTATTTTGGCTGCGCTTTGGTTTGAGTATTGGAGTGATGCCGTGGATACAGTGGTTCGGTTGTGGGAGATGAAATTGAATGGTGAAGGAATTAGTACTAGTTTTTTGCCTGCGGTTTTCTGCAACGGCCAGATGCATTCTGATTACTCTTCGGGCTTGAACGATCGGTTGAGGCTTGTTTTCTTGGAGAGGTTGGAGTGGTTGAAAGAGGGAGATTTGGTGGTGAAGTGGCTGAAGAAATTGGGGGATTTGACACACGAGACTAAGATGGTTTCGAATTTGTTGAAGAAGCCACAGAGTTTGGGCGCTGCTGATGAGTTGTTGAGGAGAAGGAAAGGTTTGCAGGCGGAGGCGAGTTTGATGCTTAACAGGATGCAGGAATTCCAGAGAGGGATCAAGTGTATCGAAGATTATTTGGAGAGTAGTGCATACACTAGTGGAGATTGTGGTGTTCCCGAGATTCAATTTCTTGACGGGGAGATGAGCTGGGAGGGGATTTATATGTTGATGCTGAGGGAATGCAGAAGGCTTGATGATGGACTGCCCATTTATGCCTATAGACAGGAAATCTTGAATCAAATACAAAGCCAGCAGGTTTCTTTTGTCGTAGTCAATTTATTTTACTATTGGTTAAGTGTTTTGATGTTAAGCATTCCAATACTATTAAACAGCAATGGAATATGCGGTTCATTTGTTGTCATCTCATAATCTTGAACACAAGCTATTTCGACCGGACTTAGCTGTGTGTTTAGTGTTCCCCATTTTTGTTTAGCTACTGGAATTAGCCTTTGCGTTGGTCATATTTTATGAAATAAGGCTTGACTATAGTAAATGACTCAGCCCTTCATTGTATATGTGATATTTTTAATACAAGTGAAATGACATTGCCGTTTGGGAACACCTTCAGCCTTTAGCTTCAGCAGTAGCATTTTGAAAAAGGCTATCTAACCGGAGAGTTTAGCTTAAGCAGATTTTCAAAGATAATTTGCACCATTAAAAAAAACAATCCACATGCTGATTGAAAATGCTCTTCCCAAACAAGGTCGATGTAAAAACACCTATGAAAGTTATGATTTTAGAATTTTATATCATAATTCATTCTTCAAAAGATGCCACATTTAAGGCAACCAACTTAAAATGCGTTGACTATGCTTGTTTGCACGAATCCGTAGTGTTCATTAATTTCAAACAATTATTTGACATCATATATTTAATGACACTGACCACATTGCAGTGGAGATTAAGGTGACTACAATTGGATGTAGTTTTTACTTTCCCTTGAATTTATTAGCTAACTTAGTTTTTGTTTGCCATTTTCTTCCAATTAAGATTGCCTTTTTTGACTTGTTTGTTAAAGCTGTATTTTGTTTGGTTATGGAAACATTGGTCTTTAAATGTTTTTCTAGGTTTTTGACTTCTTTAACTGAAAGTGGCACCCTTAAGGATTGGCACTTCTGTGTCCCAGGTGTTTTTGACATGCATACTTCATTTTTCAAAAAAACGCCTGTGCTTCATAGCATGTGTCTGACTGTTTAGTGTTTTATTGGGTATATATTAACACAGGGGTGATCTTTCACAGGTTACTGTATTGATAGGTGAAACTGGTTCAGGAAAGAGCACACAACTGGTTCAGTATCTTTGTGACTCTGGATTTACTTGCAATGGATCTATCATTTGTACACAGCCACGCAAACTTGCTGCCATCTCATTGGCAGAGAGGGTTAAAGAAGAGAGCTGTGGTTGCTATGATGATACTTCTGTTGTCTGTTGTCCATCATATTCATCTGGTTGGGGGATTGAACCAAAGGTTATTTTTATGACGGATCACTGCCTTCTGCAGCACTATATGAGTGATAAACAACTATCCAGGGCCTCATGTATTATTGTTGACGAGGCTCATGAAAGAAGTTTAAACACAGATCTCCTACTGGCATTGATCAAGAATTTACTGTTTCAGAGGCCATGTCTCAAGCTCATCATCATGTCTGCAACTGTGGATGCAGACCAATTTTCAGACTACTTTTTTGCTTCTAAAACGTTGCATGTGACCGGTAGAAGCTTCCCTGTTGATATAAAGTATGGAGTTAGTGAATCTAAATGGTTTTCAGTTTCTAATTTAATGCCTTCATATGTCATTGATGTCTTGAATATGGTAATGGAGATAAACAGAATTGAGGGGGAAGGTACTATCCTCGCATTCTTAACCTCTCAGGTGGAAGTAGAATGGGCTTGTGAGAAATTTCAAGCTGTTTCTGCCATTGCTTTTCCCTTGCATGGAAAGCTCTCTTCAAAAGACCAACATCGAGTATTTCTGACCTATCCTGGGAAACGAAAAGTTATATTTGCCACTAATATCGCCGAGACATCTTTGACGATTCCGGGTGTGAAATTTGTGGTTGATTCTGGAGTGGTAAAAGAGAGTGTGTACGAACCTTCTACTGGAATGAATGTGCTCAAGGTTTGCAGGATCAGCCAGAGCTCTGCTAATCAACGGGCGGGTCGTGCTGGGAGGACTGAACCTGGTACATGTTACAGACTCTACTATGAAAATGATTTTCAGTCAATGCTGCCTCATCAAGAACCTGAAATCCGTAAGGTCCATCTTGGCATGGCAGTTCTCAGAATTGTTGCTTTGGGAATTAAGGATGTGCAGGATTTTGACTTCGTCAATGCACCTAGTTCTAGAGCTATAGACATGGCACTCAGAAATCTTGTTCAGCTAGGAGCTATAGCAGTGAGAAATGACATTTTTGAATTAACTGCCGACGGCAGCAAGATGGTCAAATTGGGTGTTGAGCCTGTATTGGGGAAAATAATTCTACAGTGTTTGCTCCAGCGATTGGGTAAGGAGGGTCTTGTTCTTGCTGCAGTAATGACAAATTCCAGTAGCATATTTTGTAGAGTTGGTACTGTGGAAGATAAGCTGAAATCTGATTGTCTTAAGGTGCAATTTTGCCATCCCAAGGGTGATCTCTTCACATTGCTTGCAGTTTATAAGGAGTGGGAGACAGTACCCCACGGAAAGAAAAACCAGTGGTGTTGGGAGAATAGTATCAATGCGAAGACCATGAGAAGATGCCATGACACTGTAAAAGAGCTAGAGGCTTGCTTGAAAAATCAAATGAATATCATTGTGTCAAGTGATTGGCATTGGAATCCCTCGATGTATACTGAGCATGATGATAACTTGAAAAACACAATACTCTCTTCTCTGCCCGAAAATGTGGCAATGTTCTCAGGCTATGAACAACTTGGGTATGAAGTGGCATTAACAAGGAAACATGCACAACTGCATCCTTCTTGTTCTTTGCTTAACTTTGGTCAGAGGCCAGCTTGGGTGGTTTTTCGGGAAATAATTTCAGGATCCAAAGATTATCTGGTTTGTGTCACTGAATGTGATTTTGAACATTTCTCAACCCTTTCTCCTCCCCCAGCATTTGATTTCTTAAACATGTACCACCGACAACTGCAGAAGAGGAAATTGACGGGGTTCGGCAATGCTCTGTTGAAAAGGTTCTATGGAAAATCGAATCGTAATTTATGCCTACTTCTTTCAAACATTAGAGAATCATGTGGGGATGAGCGTATAGTTGTGGAGGTCAATTTTGATCATAATGAGTTGCTCCTGTACGCATCTTTACAAGACATGGAGAAAGTGTGTAGTTTAGTACAGGGAGCTTTGGACCATGAAAAGAAGTTGTTGCGGAATGAGTGCTCGGAACAGCCTTTATATAATGCAGGTCCGACAGTCCTACCTTCATTTGCTCTCTTTGGGTCCGGTGCTGAGATAAAACACCTGGAGCTGAAGAAGAGATATTTGTCTGTTGACATATTCCATTCAAACATCAATGCCCTTGATGAAAGAGAGCTCATGGAATTTCTGGAGGGATATACCCTTGGCCATATTTGCGGCATTAGCAAGTATTTAGATAAAGAGGACAAGTGGGGAAAGGTGACATTTTCCACACCTGAGGCTGCTACGAAGGCCGTTGAGTTAGATCAGTCTGAGTTCAACGGTGGGATTTTTAAAGTAGTTCCTTCTAAAAATACAAATGATGGCAATTCTCACACAAAGGCGTCATCATCATCATCTTCTTCTATCAAAGCCAAAATATCATGGCCTCGTCGGTGCAGCAAAGGGGTTGCAATTGTGAAGTGTGATCCAAATGATGTTGCTTTAATGGTTTCACACCTCTCCACAGTAGTACTTGGTGGCAGGCTAGTTCGGTGTAAAGCAGGCACAAAGTCTGCAGGCAGTGTTGTTATCACAGGGCTTGATGTGAATCTTTTTGAAGATGATATATCTCAGGTGCTACACGGCTCGACAAACTTGCAAATTAAAGAGTTTTTTGTGGTGAGAGGCGATGCAGTAGACAGTCTTCCTCATGCAGATTGTGGAGCAGCAATTATACAAGCAATTTCTCCCTTTATGCCTGGAAGGAACTCACAGGGTGATGGTGTTCGTGTCCACGTGCTCAAACCAAGCCCAAAAGACAATTTAATGAGAGCCACAATTACTTTTGATAGAGATTTGCATTTGGATGCAGCTAGAGCCCTGGAGCAAATTGACAGGAAAGTTTTACCCGGTTGTCTCTCATGGCAGAAAATTCATTGTCAGCAATTGTTTCATAGCTCCGTGTCTTGTCCAGCACATGTCTATCCTGTTATCAGGAATCAGCTTGATTCTTTGCTTGCAAGTCTTCGGCAAGAGAAAGGTATTCTGGTTTTCATTAGCAAAGTTGCAAACTGTATACGTATACTCCATATTTTAAAGTGCAGCAGAAGCTATTTTCTTTCTTTCTCTTGGCCTTCATGGTTAACGACTTAACGTGATATTATACCAATATTGGGCATAAACTAGTTAACATGAAGTGAATCATCATGACATTTGCAAGTTTTCACACTATATACTTCTTGAGGCAGCAGAAATGGGAATGTTTTGGTGCTCTGGGTTTTCACAGTTAATCTGATAATACACCATACTTCCTCTTTCCCACAAAGAATTTGACACTTTCTCTATTGGATTGTCCCAAAAAAAGTTCACACTTTTACGATTTCCCTTAAAAAAATGAACAAGTGGTTGACAATATTTCTTCCAAATTCTAACCACCCACTTTTCACTTTTCTTGAACTCTACGGAGTCAAAATATGAACATCTTTACGGGGTGGAGGGAGTATATAATATGAGTAGCTGAATTTGTCACATGAAATGAGTCGTCATGATGATATGTGGATACATTCATTCCATGCTCCATACCCGAATACTTAAAATGCATTATATCCTAATAAATTATTACTTGAACTAGGTAATAGATTGAATTTGATCTTTAAATGTGGTTTTGACCTAGTGTCTTACATCTTGTTCGAGTGTGACCCCAACTCGTCCCTGAATTCTAACAAGGTAAAAAACACAAAAACCCTTTTTATGATGTTAAGTATGTGGTTCCTGACCACGGGGGACTGGGCTAAGATTTCTTTCTTTAATTCTTTTACAGGTGTAGAATGTAACCTAGAGGCTATCTCCAATGAAGCAAGCAAACTTTGTTCTTATCGAGTAAAGATAACGGCTGGTACTATGAAGACAGTGGCAGAGTTGAGAAAACCTCTGCAGCAGCTGATGGAAGGGACAGTCATTCATCATCCCAGCATCACTCCTCCCATCCTTCAGATTCTCTTTTCAAGAAAAGGAGTTCTGCTAATGGAATCCATTCAACGAGAGACAGGAACCCATATTATCTTTGATAAGCATAGAATGATCCTAAGAGTCTATGGCTCTCAGGAAAACATCCAAAGTGCAGAAGAAAGCCTTGTCAAAGCCCTCCTCGCCTTGCACCAAAACAATCAGCTTGAGATTCAACTTCGCGGTGGGATTTTACCACCCGATATGATGAAGAGAGTCGTTCAGCATTTCGGGGCAGACCTTGGCGGGCTCAAGCAGAAGGTGCCCGAGGCAGGGCTGTCCCTAAATACAAGACGTCACAGTATATCTATCATAGGTACAATAGAATCAAAACAAAGAGTTGAGGAGATGATTCACAGTCTTGCCCAGACAAGTCCCAAGAACGATGAAGAAACCGATGATTATTCCTCATGTCCCATTTGCTTTTGTGAACTAGAGGACCCTTACATGCTCGAAGACTGTTGTCACCAGTTCTGCCGTTCATGTTTGAGCGAGCAAATTGACTCTGCCATAAGAACTCGTGACAGTTTCCCATTACGGTGTTCCAAAGAAGGTTGTGGATCTCCTATCTTGCTCTCTGATTTCAGGTCATTACTATCTTCTCCCAGGGGGGGGAAATATGATGAACTCGTTAAGGCTTCCTTGGATGCATATGTCGCAGGTAGTGGTGGCACCTACAGGTTCTGCCCATCACCTGACTGTCCTTCAATCTATGCAGCCGCCATTACTGGCCCTTCTTCTTCTTCCACTTCTTCTTCTTCTTCTTCTTCTTCTTCTGCTGATTCACTGTTTGTATGTGGAGCATGCTTTGTGGAGACATGCACGCAATGCCACCTGGAGTATCATCCCTTCCTGTCGTGCGAGAAGTACCGTGAGTTCAAAGATGACCCGGATTATTCCTCTCTTAAGCAGTGGTGCGGGGACAGGGCAAATGTGAAAGCCTGCCCGGGGTGCGGGTTCATTATTGAAAAGGTGGAGGGTTGCGACCATATCTCGTGCAAGTGCGGGAGGCACGTTTGCTGGTCCTGCTTAAGCCACTTCGGAACCGGCGATGAATGCTATGCCCATATGAGGTCAGCACACACTTCATTTGCTGCCCTTTTTGGAGGGTTTTTGTGATTGTGATTTTATATTTTATATGATCTATACTCCACATTTGCATATAATTTCCCTATATGCTTCATTTATCACTGCTAGGATAAATTTAATTTGGGCATATAAATTCATGAATGTGGTAGTAAATGATGAAGTATATAATGGTCATGTTTTTCTGGGTTGGTGTATGACAATAGTAGTTGACGGTCTTTCCAATTCGAGTAATCCCATACCCAAAAACGATAGTGTGTCGTGCTCGAAGTACATCTGGAATATATATACTCCCCCTGACACACGCGTAAAACAGATGTTCGATCAAACTTATTATCAATTTGTTTTGTTTGCTTTTCTTTATCCTTACTTTTCCATTTGCTTATGCATGTGTTCTTGTTATGTGCATATGTGATGCTCACCCAAGAGTTTTTGTTTAGGTCGACCACACCAACCATAGGGCTTGATTTGCATTTCAATAGTGTGTATAATGTTAGATAGTAGGACAATGCTTACATCTTTTACACTATGGTTGTTGGTTCAAGGAATTTGAAAGGAAAATAAAAATAATAATTTTCTCTTATTATCCCGAGTAAAATAGGAAGAACTTGATTTTCTATCCTTTTAGTACATTTTGTTTTCTCTTTTTTACGTTTCTAACCAAATGAAAAAATAATCTTCTACTTTTTCTTTTCTCTTTCAAATTATTTAAACCAAACATAGTGTTAGTGAAACCATAAACATAAATGAAGCTTGTCTTTGAAAACCAAGAAAATCCTACTATGGCATTTGTTCCTCCATTTTCCCCCTAATTATCCTTATATTTTAGCAAACAATGCCCCTTATTTAAAGCTACATTATGGAGATAAGTACTTTTATTATGGCACTTGTTCCATGTTTTGACTACAATATCTTACTCTAATTTTGTATTCATGAACTTATTTTTGGCCATTGTCTCCCCTTTTAATTCTTTTTGGTCTCATACTAATGCAGTTGAGTTGAATTCTATATTTTGATATTTTATTTCGTTTCCTTCTGGTGTGCAACAATTTGCTCCCAATTTTCTAGCTATCCACTCATATGAGATATATGACTCCAAACATCCATTGTGTTGAGAGAAAATTACTCAAATACTTTTAGGGTCCGTTTGGTATACAGAATTAGAATTGAATTGGAATTGAGATTCTATGAGATTCAATTCCCTAGAATTGAATTCTAATTCATTTTTTGCACTAACAATTCCAAATTCACATAATTTTTGTGCTACCAAACACCAGAATTGGAATTGAAGCCCTCAATTCTAATTCCATAGTTTGAATTCCATGTACCAACGGGGCCTTAGGCCTCGTTTGGTACACAGAATTGACAAAATTTGAATTGAATTGGTAGTTGAAATTCTATGGAATTGATTCGGATAGAATTGAATTTTCCAATTTTAATTCTTTTTTGACAGTACCATTTTAAATCCACATAATTTAGTATTACCAAAAAATAGAATTAAAATTGTTGTCCTTAATTCTAATTCTTTTGAGCATCTGATTATAAACTATTTGGCTGTTTAAGTAGACGATGCATAAAGAGAGAAGATGCATGCCCTTTCAAAACAACATACGGCTATTTGGGTAAGTTTTTCTGATCAATTTTCGTTTGAGTGAATTTGAGCGTTTTTACCCTCTCTATGGAGTTTTAGGGTTTGGAAAAAGTACTCCGTAATAATTAGTTGAATAATCATCCCCCCCCAGCCATAAGTTGAAAGCAATTTGATATCTTAATTATAGTGGGGAAAATTCTTACATGGTCTGTTACGAAACTTAAATCTCGATTTTAAATCTAGAGTTGATCTAAAGTCTAAACTACTTGTTTGGGAATTCAAAGAATATGGATTTGAATATGGACCAAGTTCTTCTAATTCAAAATTAGGTCAATTATAAATTCACATCTCTCCTCATGTCATTTATAAATTCAAGCTCAACTTTTTTTAAATTTACAACTTGTAATTAAAGAGTGATCTCCCTTTATGCCACAACAATTCCATACATATCAACCGACTTTCGTTTTTGTTTTTTGTCAAAATCAAAATTCAAATTCTAGAAATGAAATTTTCCAAACAATATTTGGAATTTAAAATTATGAGATTTTAAAAATTGAAATTGAGATATAACTATATAAGATTTCAAAGGATTTCTGATTCCCAAACACTACAATAAGGCCTTTCGGTGCACATTCCAATCGTGAATCTCTTTTTTAATTTAAAAAATCCTAAAAAAAGAAGAATAAGGGGCTATTTGTTTCAGCCTCTTAATGGTTCAGATGTCTGAATGTTTCAGCACTTAATGGTTCAAACTGTTTGTTTCAGCCTTTTAATGGTTCAGATGTCTGAATGGTTAAGAGATTTGCCTCTGAATGGTTAAGTATTATATAGAGTCTGAATGGTTAAGACATCTTATCTGAATTGATCAAACATTTGCCTCTGAATAGTTAAGCAATATACTAGCTCTTAATGGTTCAGACCTCTTACTGGTTCAGCACTTAATGGTTCAGACCTCTTACTGGTTCAGCACTTACCGATTCAGAAGTTGCCAAACAGCCTCTAAGGCATAATAGAACACTCACAAATGAGTTCTCACATTGAGATATGGCGAAACTCATGCATATCTCATGCTTGCACCAAATACTACACTGGAGGTATTTAATTGAAATATTGTGGTCTACGATTTTTGAATAAATTTATTTTGATTATTTGAAATTTATTAAGAAAATTAAAAAATAAAATTTACATATTAATAAACTATATGAAAGAATTCCACAAATAAGTGGTGATATATATGACAATTTAATTCTGTAAATAATAAACATGAAGTGTTCTTAGGGAAAGGTAGTATAATTTAACATGCAAGCATTACACATTTTTATTTTTATTTGAATAGTCACGTATTCTACAAATAACATAAATTAATTTTTTGAGAATACTTCCAATATACGGAGTATTTATTAGGGTTGCCTAAACTAGAGAATACTACGGAGTATTTGTTGTTTATTTTCTCAAAACAAATACTCCCTCCATTTTAAAAATATTTTCTCTTTCATTTTTTCACTTCTAATAAAACATTCTAGTTTCTATTAAAAAAACTACTTTTACTCTTATTTTTTCATACCCTAACTATTACATCATACTTTTTCTCTAATAATCTATTCATCACATCTTATTTTTACCTATCATGATTACATCAAGGGCAAAATTGAAAATCAACTACAAATTAACACTTCATTATATTTACACTAGGTCAAATTAGAAATTTTTTTTGAAAACGGAGAGAGTACTCCTTTTGTTCCCAAAAAATCAACCACTTTCGAACATGCAAAATTTTATGTATTTTAAAATAATTTTATTTACAAAGTGGTCTATAAAATAGAAAGTACAACTTACATTAAATTATAATTTCAAAACATAAAAAAATTTATGATAAAAAAGGCCTTAGTTATAGAAAGAAGTTTTTGTAAATAAGGATTGTAAGAATTAAGATACCACTATTTTTCTTTTCTTTTCTTTTATTTTTTGGGTTTATCCATGCATGATGTAACAGCTAACAGGAGTGTTGTACTGATCTTGACCAAATATTTCCTTTTTGAATTTGAATTGTATTCCCACACTTAGGTTTAATTAATTTTATAGAAGAAACTTCTTTTTGAAGAAACCCTTACCTTTTTTCCACTAGAAATTAATCATGATCCATAGAGACATTCCAATAATAACAAAATCATACTTATAATAATGGATTAAAATATTCAACAAAATGACTTATTCTATATTCTCATTTAACGAGAACAATGTTGGAAGTATATGTGATTGGCTTGTCCTAAAGACTCCAAGAGAACCCATTGGTCAATGTTGGATTAAATGAATTAATTTTATGTCATGTAAAAAAGTGTGTTTATTTGCTGCACCTAAAGTCCATAAAAAAATTATGGACCTTCAATTCCCACAAAAAAAATAATTTTTTCTAATTTTTTTTAAAATAAAAATAAAAATATTTTTCTCAACATTAAGCAAATGTTTATTTGCTTCATCTCTAGGTGGTAGGTACACCATGGACCTAAAAAATGAGTATACTCTTTTTCTTTTTGTTCCTTCCAAGACTTTTATCTTTTACAGAGTAGTATTTCTTTCAGAAATACGTTAAAGTCAAACAAAGAAGAAAGAAAGTACGATATGTTATACTCCTTTAGTTCCAAAATTAAAATCTCATTTAACTTTTTGAAGAGAGATTCTATATATGATGGACTTAATTAAGGTATACATACATCGACCTTCTCAGACGATAAGTTTCTTTATTTTTTTAATTTTCGACAAATGTTTATCTTAATACTTAAGAAATGTTTATCGTCTAGGATATATGAAGTTTCACCATATACAATATGGGCTTTAGTTCCACGCAAGAATTTATTTTTTTTAAACAGTGGCACTTCTCAAGCACAGTAACATCCGACGTACCGTACTGATGAACGTGGACACCCGTCTCGCAGGATGATGCATGAGATGGACCCACAATTATAGGACATAGGGCCCTACAATTTTGGAGATCCTATGGTGTTGGACCTCTCTTTGAATTAGTGCCCATCACTGTCCCTAGCTAGCCAGCTAGGTTGCCTTTGCTTTTGGTTCCTAGCTACCTGCAGTCTGTAATCTCAGAATGTGTTTTTGATTCTTCTTTGATGAATGCCATAACATAATCTTTTTGACTCACTCAAAATTTGGTCTTTGCTGCCTTGCTAGATTCTTCTTGCCCAACAATGGGTTCAAAAACCCACACAATTCTTGTTAAAGTACGTCCTTCTCATCTCCACACTTTTAATACTCCCTCCGTTCCAAAATATTTACAACATTTGATTTTTCAGCAGTCGCGGGATTTTTGTTTATTTCTATGTTTTCATGGGTTATTTTATAAAATAAAATATTATTGACACATCTTATTTCAAAGAATTTTTCATGTAATTTTTTTATATGTAAATTTTATTTTTTATTTTTATACCAATATGTAAATAAAATGAATTGAAAAAACTTGATATTTTATCTCGGAAAAGACGGGAATACAAATGTGGCAAATATTTAAGGACGGAAGGAGTATTATATCTACATTTTCCCTTATTCCCCAATTATAATCGATTCATCCAATAAAAAAAATTGCATGATGCATGCTTATTACGTAGACAATGTTACAATTTATCAAAGAGTCTCACTATTTGACCAAAAAAATGTGCTTCCTACCACTCAAGTCAGGGAAGATATTCATCATTTTGTTACTAATATAGTAATATGTAGCTTTTATTGTTAAAGACTTTATGGTCTAGCGACAAGATGGTGACTCTCTCATATAGAATGTCACAGATTCGATGATAGGAAGTAATAACTCTACGTACATAAGGATTTGAGAATATATGAGCGAATATCACATTATATTAGAGTTATTAGTGTTAAAAATACAGAGTATGTAACTTTACTCCGTAATTAATTGATTTTCAAAAATTGTTCACATTTTTGGTATATTCCTTAGAGTTTGTGTGTTCGGATATGTGTGGGCATTGCCTATTAGGGACCATCTTTTAAGGCAATAGTGTCCTAACATAAAATACTCCATCCCTCCCTAATTTGATTACAAATTGGGGTTTACGAGGAGAGATATCTCATTTTTTGAAATCATTTTATTTACAAATTGTTATAGTGAAATTTGCACTAAATAGGACTAAAACATAATGACTTTCCTAATGCAGGATTTAAACTTTTTTATTTCCTAAATAGGACTTAATAATGACCTAGTGGAAGGAATAATGTCCAGTAATTATGGACATTTAGTTGAATAATGACTACTTGATAATGACCAAAAGTCCTACATTAGGAAATAAAAACATATGGTCCTATATTGGAAAAGTCATTATGTTTTAGTCCTATTTAGGTAAATTTCTCATTGTTATATCGATAAGAAATAAAAATTACATATTAAAAAGTTACGTGAAACGTTCTACAAAACAAGAGGTGACAAAAATATTTTATTTTATTAAATACTTAATGAAATCGCGTAAACAAACAAAACTTATCGAGAGGAGAGAAAAATTATAATCAAATTAGAGACGGAGGGAGTGAAAGTTACAAAAAATTCATTTATATAAATAAAGAAATACAAATATATATATACTACGTCAATATATATTAGTCCAAACGCATCTGTATTTCACGAACAATGGTCAGAAATATGGATTAAATAAACGCAAGTAACATTAAATTGAGGCTAATTAACACTATTAATAAAAATGAACCATTTTTAATTAGTGTCGCCACCTAATAGCTAGCCCGCGCTAATTGGCAAAATGCGACACTAATTAAACGTTCTAAAACGCTAACTATTAGACATGTTTTTTCGCTCTTAAATAACTGTCTAGACTTTTTACGTACACTAAGAATCAAAAGAATATGGACGTACGTTATGTCCAAATTCGTTTGATTCTTAATGTACGCCGAAAGTTATAATGGATAAATTGCCACTAGCTCACCATCAATATATGTGTGGTTTACAAGTGATTGTTGCTTGTTGAAGAAGAACTGAAACTAGCAGAATTAATGTCACTCCAATTACACCACTGCTCATTATTTCCAGTAGTGTTGATAACAATGGAGTTCAATCCAACTCCCACATTGTTGTTGTTAGAGTTGTTGTTCACCATCATCATGTTGTTGTGGTAGTTGCGGTAGCAGTTGTCGCCGTCTTCCGTCTTCACGGGCACCGCAGCAGTAGCGGGTTGGACGAACGTCGAGGGCGGGACCCGCGGCCCGAAGCCCGCGCCGCTCGTGAAGCCGGAAGGCGGCGACAACTCGAATCCCGCTGGGTGGAAGTTGTAGAGAGGGTCGAAGAATGAGAACTGCGGTGGCGGTTGCTGAATGCCGCCAGCTGACGACAAGAGTGGCGCGATGCCTCCGGCGGCTCCGAGACCAGTTCCGGATAGTAGATTATTGTAATTCTCCCCGCCGCCGCCACCGCCGCCTCCGAGGTGGAGGGTCATCATCATGTTCTCGCCCGCATCCGCCGGAGTGCGGGAGATTCCGGGGTAGCGGTGATGGTCGGAGAGCTGGGCGGCAGCAAAGGGTAGGTGGTGATGAATCTGAGGCGCGACGACGGCGGCGGTAGCGGCAGAAATATTACTCTGTTGGTCGTTGCCGACAGAGGAAGTAGTAGTAGTAGTAGACTTCGAGCAACTACTATTACTACTTCCTCCGCCGCCGCCTTTACTGCTCCTTTTGTTGTTCCTTCTGCACCCACCCCCCACGGGGACGCTCCTCAGAGCGCCCCCTCGGGTCCAGTACCGCTTGCACGTCTTGCAAAAATGTCTCGGCTGGGAGAGGCTGTAGTTGTTGAAGTAGCAAAACTTGGTGTTCGTCGACTCACATCTCGGGCACTTCAAGGCCGCGTCGGGAATCTGGATATTTGCTAACCGGGCCCGCTCGGCCATGGAATTTGGCCGGATCCCGCCTCCACCAACTCCGCCCGCATTCGCTTGGGCGGCCGCCGGCGGAGTTGGTAGGGGTAGATGGGGGTTTGGAATGGTACCACTTTCGCCTAGATGATGATGATGATGATTTAATTGCTACAACAACAAACAAAAAAAAGTGTTTTTAAATTAAAAATCCAAAAGTACGAATATACTCGTATATAATACAAGTATATTCAACCATCACTATTTAAATTACTGGAAAAGAGAGGTGCATAATTAAAGAAACAAAAAAGACGAAGTAAAGAAAACTAAAGAAAATTATACTCGTATTATTTGTATATAAGAAAATAAAAAGTAAAAAGCAACATGATATATCTTCTGTATCCTTTATTTCTTCTTCTTCATTCATTCTTTCTATTACAAATTTCCAAGGATAAATAATTGAATTTAAAAAAAATCAAGTATCTTATATATACTCTCTGTTCATCTCAAGATTCTCGTTCTAGTGTGAGGACATTCGGAGTCTAATTTGACCACAAATTAATTACGGTGTATAATTCTAAAGAGATAAAAAATGTTACAAAAATTTGGCACTCGATTCAATATATCAAAACCGCATTTTAAAATAAACTTAGTTATATAAAGTTTAGATTATGACTGAATATAAATTTTCTACAAGTTATAGTTAAACGAACAAATTTTAAAAAGTCAAAATAGGACCATAATTTTGGAACACTACGAGTAAATATATACCTGTGGTTGCCAGTTGGAGGGATCAAGATAAGCCTGGATTGAAGAAAAAACCATGTTACAATTCTATATATATATATATATATATATATATATATATATATATATATATATATATATATATATATTGGATGGATGAAGTTCTTAATGATCTTTAATTTCTTAGGCTTCTCTTTTGTAAAGCTGTATAAGTTTGGGGTGTGAATCTTTGGGAAGAATCAAAAGAAATAGAAGAGGGTTTCTTTTCTTTTTTTTTTGGCACAATAGAGCTGAGAGAGGGAGAGAGAGAGTAAAGCAAAGAGAGAATGAGAAAAATTTGAAACAGAAAATAAAGGTGAGGGCTTTATAGTGGGGAGTGTCATTATAATGTATATACACACTGACCTATACATACATGCATCTATATACATACATATTCAAGTCTTGGTCACCATTTCTGTTTTTTACTGCTTTTTAGGTGTTCATCAAGACTTGATTATCTCAGGCTATATATGTACTAGACTAGTAATATATACTCCCTCCGTCCATGTAAGATGTTCTCAATTTGACTTTTCACGGTTTTTTAAGAGAGTTGAAAAAAGGTGAAAGTTTACCAAAATACCCTTAATGAAAATGAGTGGGGTGTATTAAATAAAGTGAAAAAGGTGTAATAAATAAAGTAAGTGGGGGTAGTTGTGGTATTTTAATTATTAAAAAAGGTAATGAGAAGATCTATGTGGGACAAATAAAAAGGGCTAATGGGAAGATCTATGGGGGACGGAGGGAGTACTTCCTAAAAAGATCCAAAATTATATTTTGAAATGAATTGCAAAATTATATTTTACAAAATGTATACTACCTCCGTCCCAAATTATTTGTTCACTTTCATTTTTACACACCATCCAATACACTTCTTTAATCCATTTTATATATCTTGCAATTTGTATATTAAAAAATTATAGAAATTATATATTAATAATCTATATGTTAAGACAAATCAAACAAGATCACACATGACTATATTTAGGCTTACACATTGAGAGAATATGATGAGTCAAAGTGCTTAGATGAACAGTTCCAAAAGTCAAAACTGGACGAATACTTCGAGACGGAGGGAGTATTATAATTGAATATATATACCTTTTTTAAGATTTATGATCTCACACATTTTGACCTGATCTCTTTGGTACAAGGGAGTAGTAGAGTAGCTAGTCTCCTCTTTCTTAATCTTTAAGTGTATGTTGGGGGAGTGAGGTCCAATCTTTTGTCATTATTTTCAAAATTTTCGAAAATCATGTACAAAAAATAAAACAAACTTTTTTGGAAAATATTTACAAATAGAAAATTTAATTATTAAAATATGTCTGCATTTCACACAGACACTTGGTGTCTATGTCGCGTTTTTCCTTTCGTCACTAGAAATCAATTTGTTAACTATGTCGCGTTTATTCCTTTCATTCAAATACTTATAAATGCATTCTCAATTTTCTCATTTTAATTTTTGTGTTTCTATTCCAATTCCAATAGTCTGAACATTATATCTCTAATTTTGGCTAGATAAATGCATAGTATAAAAATTTGATTTTAAAAAAAAGTCATATGTTTTTTTTTTAAATTTCATTTTAAACATAGTCTAATGATGTGAAGAAATCTAATAAAGAGTTAGTGTTTTAGAAGATACCTGCAACAATATAATTGTCCATGCATCAATGGGAAATTACACCAAAATAAGAGTAAAATATTAAAAATATATCAAAATGTGTGTTTCATATTTTTATTTTCGAAATAAGACTGAATTAAAATGTATTATATTACTAATAATGACTATGTTCATTACCAAAAAGTGATTGGTAAAATGTCAGTGTCATATCACTACAATGCGAACTCCTATTTAGAAAACAAAAATATAAAACTCTTATCTTGATACTTTCTCTATGTTTTACTCTTATTTAGAATCATTCTTTTACACCAATTGCACCATTTGTACGTCCATGCATGCATGAATTTGTAAATAATTCTAGCTAATAGTTAATATCTCTGTCTTTTGATTTTTTGCAGTTAAAATTTATAAATTTTGACTATTAATTAAATAAAATTTATATTAGATGTTGAAACAGGAATGATTTTATTAAATTATCTTGTAAGATATTTTCAAAATATTATTTCAACTAAACGCTACATAATGCAGTTTTTATTTAATCATAGGCTATAATATAGGTCTATAGGTCTATCTCGACTGTAAAAAGTCAAAAACAAACAAATATATATTTTGGGATAGAGCATGTATTTGCGTGAGGTTAGAGATCATTGTATGTTGGTACGAGAATGTATATATTTATATGGATTCTTGGTATTTGGTGTAAATGTTTGTTGTGTTTTACAAAGTATATATAAACAAAGAAACCACCCAAAATAAGAGCCAAACATAAATCTTATCCTAGAATATGAATGAAGTGTTTTTTATCACCAAAATAAAATTATTATTGCAATGTGAAAAAATGGCACCATATATTGGCATCCCACAATTCTTTTGGCATTTTATGTTGACATTATTGACACTATATAGAGTCTATTCTGGGGATAAAAAATAAAAGTCTCATTTTAGTTTTTTTTAATACTTCAATATTGTTTTGGTCTTAAAAAAAGGTTGAACATTCATCTCAAGAGTTATATATAGCTAGGAGTAAGTCACGATAAATCAAGGAGTATTTCCTACGTTTCAATGTATTCGTCATGTTTGATTTTTTCGAATCAAATTATTAGACAAACCTCAACCATCAATTAATTTCAATTTGTATCCCATGTTAATACAAATAAAAAAGTATGAAAGTTCTAAATAAGATATATACTAATAGTTTTATTTAATTGGAGTTTAAAATTCGTCTAGTTTGATTCGAAAAACGAAAATAATATTTTAATTTGCAAAGTTAAATAAATAAAGTATAAGATATATAGGCATGCTTAGCTTATATAGGTGCTAGCATATAAAGGTAGAGGATTTGTCTTGACTCTGTCTCAAATATACATTACATGGATAAATTTATTTCTACCCAAAATTTTTGCATCTCATTTGTATACTCCAGGTTTGCACTAACATTTTATGTTGGTGTAAAACTAATTTTGTTAACGCACCAATACTTGTGTAGGTATAAACTATCAAGATATTTATGTATAACTACGGTGTATAAATATAGTACGGAGTATAATTTTTAGTGTAAGAGAACCATGGAAGAGAATGGAAATATAATAATGATGATGATGAGAAGGGGAAATGGTTCGTTGAAGGAAAAAGTGCAGTCTTTGGTGCTCTTTAACCAGACAAACATTCTCAATGAGTCCCCACCATATTCCATACCCCGACCCCTTTTTACAACCCTCCTTCATCCCTTGTGGGGTCCATCCTATCTATTTCAAAACATCCCGAATGAGATTTTTATTCACATGATCAAATTACATCATGCTTATATGGAAATCATGCTTATATGGAAGTATATTTGTGACATCGTAAATTTGATTTAAACTTTTTCTAAATCCTACTTTTATTTTTATCTTTCCATCTAGCATGTTTGAAAAATCATATTTATTATAAGTATTTTCATGAACAATATCATACAACAACAACTCAATTGAATCCCACAAAGGTAGGGTCTGGAGAGAATGTGTGTACGCAGACCTTACCCTTATCCGAAAGTAAAAAGATTGTTTTCAGATGGACCTTCAGCTTAGCATCGAAAGTTGTATTGATTAACTAACTACTACATTAATTAAAGAACAACAGACAGTTTAGAGAATTATTTTGCTTTACTTCACCAACAATATCATAAGTAAAAAATTACAATTTTGTTGTTTGTCGTATTTCAAAAATACTACTCCCTCCGTCCCATTTTAAATTGCCTGTTTGCCTTTTTTCTCCGTCCCAAAATAAGTTGCCTGTTAGTTGTTTTCGTAAACTTTTAAAAATAAAATACCTAAACTACCCCTAAAATAAGTCACTCTTCTTCACCTTATCTTCTCATTCATCATCACCCCTTCTAAAAAGTAATGTCAATTTCGAAAAATTAACTCTATTTTTTATTTTCTTTAAATATGCCCAAAAGTCAAAACAGACGATTTAAATTGGGACGGAGGGAGTATAAGGTTATACTTTAAATTAAAGTATTTTGTTTTTACTAAAAATAACTTCCATGTCAAAGTATTTAAAAATTTAAGTCTTAAGATTATATCTTTATTTTTTTATAACTATAGTTCTACTTTTTTATGGAGATTTTAAATTAAATGTATGTAACTGTTAAAGAGTATCACACATCAAAAATTGAAGAACAAATGCATCGGTATATAATAAGCCTCTTGAGTTAAGTTAAATAATTAATTGGATTTGATTTTTTAATGTGGTTCGATCCAAGTATCTTATTGCCCAATCCTGTAATCTTTTCTCTATCCAAAATTCTATCAGGTAGTGTTTGGCAACTAGGATTTTATTTCAATTCATGCATTTTAATTCCAAAATTTGAAATCTTGAATTTCAAATGACAAGAGGAGGTGCATTGATTTCAAATTAAGCTTTGTTATGAATGAGAAGAATTTGACTCAAAACCAAATTCAAAAAATTTAAGTTTCCCAAACATGAAATTTGAGTCAAATCAGGATTTAAAATCCAAATCCATGTCCCCAAACATGACATCAATAAAATCAATTAAAAAAGTAATGAAATTGAATAAAATAATACTTCGTACACATTACATTTAAAAGGCTAGATTAAAGAACAAAAGATACAAACTTATGCGAAATATTTATAATCACCCAACCTATATATGTTTTTAAAGGCCCCGTTTGGTACACGGAATTCAAATTATAAAATTGGAATTGAGAAATTCAATTCTAATTCTGATGTTTGGTAGCACAATAATTATGTAGATTTGGAATTAGTAGTGCAAAAAATGAATAGGAATTGGTATAATTCAATTCTATGAAATTGAATTCAATGAAATTTCAATTCCAATTCAATTCCAATTCCGTCAATTCTGTATACCAAACAAACCCAAAGTGAAAATTAATAATAGTAGTAATTAAATTTTGGTTTTATGAGTCTGATCCAAAAACCATTGGTCTTGGATTGGAATGGACTGGAATTACAGCAGCGGTTCTCAATCTTTACACCAGAGACGTACATGTGCAAAATATTATCGGTCCAAATTCTTATTTTTACCAGTTAATCTATTTCTTGATTTTGAAATTTTATGTTTTTTTTTAAATTGTGAATATTATTGATTGCGTTTTACTGTTTGGTGGATACCATAAGAGATGGGGTATCTGGCCCATGGAAGAAATAAGTTGAAAACAAATGCGGAGGCTCATTAAGGAGACTTTTGGAGGATTTGGGCTGAGCTCAAGTACGGCCCAGTATAGGAATGGTTAGAGGTCTTCCAAGACCATGCCCGAAAATAATGGGTTTTGACTTTTGAACAAAGATTTTATTGACCGAATCTGAAGTTGACTGAATTTGAAATTACTCGTTAAAAATGAGTCAAATTCAACCGAACCTGTACCCAATCTGATCGACTCGCTATAGGAGAATTTTTCAAAATTATATGTTTTAATATGTAATATAATGTTATAGAAATACGATTTTAATTATATTTCTTTGTTTATTACTCATTCTTAATGTATAAATTTACATTTTTATACTAAATTTTTATGATATCGCATAATTATCTTACTTTTTCAAATTTATTTGCATATTTAGTTTTTTATTCATAATATTGATAATCGTTCATAAAAATTACTTAAAATTTCAAATTTTAAATAAAAGTCATATCCCGTTGGCTCGATCCGAACCCGATGACATTGAATCTTGAACATATAGCTGTCAATCTGAACTCGGACTTACCCAAACACGAAGTAAACTAAACTTAAGGTGATCGAACCCGAACCCGATCTAACCAACCGTTTTGCCAACTCTATTTCTGGCTTTGATATGACCAAAGTAGAAGAATTTTAATCCGAACACCTAAATGGATGAATGTGTCCTCCAAATATAATACTCCCTCAATCCAACAATTGGCTTTCCGTTCTCAACAATGTGTAAAATTTTATCTTTGTAAAAATTATTTTATTTACAAATTAATATTTTACAAAAAAAAGTAAAAATTACATTGTTTAAAACTTCATCAAAAGTTTTACAAAACAAGATGTGATAAAAATATTTTATCTTATCAAATGATTGATAAAATCATGCAAACAAATATAAATTATCGAAAAATCGTAATAACAACTGGAAAATTTAGGATTGGAAGGAATTATTTAAGAGAATGTAAGAAGTGTGAGTCATTTTCTAAATATTTTTCTACCAGATTGTTCAATTTTCCTATTTCACCCCCTTTGAACCATGGAAACGGGCAAAAAACGGCCGCTGGGCAGTGGAAGCCGACGAGGTAGAGCTTGTCGGACCTCTGAGAGGAGAAGGAAATGGCGGCCTCATTCAGATGGATACTGCAGCTACACAAGGACGTCCCTAAAGCTGCGAAGTTCTACTCCGAAGGGTTGGGTCTCACCGTCAATGTCTGCACTCTTCGTTGGGCCGAGCTCGAATCCGGCCCTCTCAAGCTCGCTCTCATGCAATCCCCCAGGTTGATCTATTTCTTCGAACATTTACGAAGCTCAATTTGAATGATTCACTATTGTCTGTGCTTGAATCCTCTGGCAGTTCCTCTTTTATTGCGTTTGAAATGTGATTCTGAATTCTTGCTTGAATCCAGATATTTCATCTCTTGCTGCGTTGAAATATGATTCTGATACAATTTACAGTTGAGAAGGGGTAACGGTAGACCTAGGAAGAGTTGGAAGGGAGATTATTAGACAAGACTCATGGCTTTAGACTTTAGTATTTCACCTATTAGGCCTTGCATAGGAAGGATGGTCTCAGGGTTTCGGACTAGAGTAGTTGAGTAGAACTTTAGGCTTTAGTTTGTAGTTTATGATCGTGTCTCATTACCTTAGTGCATTTGTGCTTCCGGTGCTTCATGTGCATTGGATTTCGTTGCTTGTGTCGGTATGTGTGCTTATTATTCCCTCCATTCTATAATAACTGTCCATTATGACTTTTTTGATACATTGAAAAATGAATAAATATAGACATAAAGTATGTCTACATTCATTTATTTTTCAATGTATCTAGAGAGTGTTAATGGACAGTTCATATGGAATGGAGGGAGTACCTTTTTACTTTTACTTTGTATGTGACTCCGTGTTTGAGCTGGGGTCTCTTGGAAACAGCCTATCTACTTCATTGTAGGGGTAATACATGCATACCGCCTTGATCCGTACACACACCCTCCCCAGACCTTCGGACCATACTATTATGAAATTCTGTTGTGGAGTTTTACCGGGCTTGTTGTTGTCGTTATACAATGGTATAGTGGATTATGCATTGTTAAAGTGTTGGATGTTTCTTTATATTCCTCTGTCTGGTATTGCTTTGTGTTGTTGTAGCTTCTCATTTTAGTCATCAGGTTGGAATTAATAATGAGGTTGATAAGTCATGATAGATTGAAAGTTAAAACCAAGAGTTTGGTCTGTACTGTTAAAAGTAATTAGGGGTTGGTTCTTCAATGGGGGAATGGCCGCTTTAAATTGAAGCTTTAGTTACTGTCTTCTCACTGTTGACTATGTAGGTTTCCGACGTCCACTAGTTCATCCGTTTTATCGTGTAGGTTTCAGATGTATACGTTTGGGGTACCTGAGTCCCGTTCCTAGTTGAATCAAATGACCTTTAATAGTTTGTCTCCTTGCAATGAGGAATTGAATTTTGTGGTTGAAGTTAAAAGTTTCAAGGACAAGGTTTTATGCAATCTGTCCAATTTTGAACTTTTAGAATTTAATATGGCCTAGCTGCCTAGCTAAGCACAAATCTAGTTGGGCTCCTTTTATAAAATGATGAAAGATACCTGAAGGTTATTTGAGTCAAATGCCTGTTGGAAACCTTCTCTCTACTTCCGAGTAGGGCTAATGTCTGCATACACACACCCTCCTAGACCCTACTATTTGTGGGATCATAGTGGATTTGTTGTTGTTGACAGTTGAAATAGAAGATTACACAGATTGCTCTTTGGCCTTGGCTAGTTGGTTTTAGCTTTATTAATATACCGAGAAATTGTGCATTTCAGATAGCTGGCCGCTTAGGAACTTCTGGATCCTGCTTCCGTATCCCTATATCTTGAAAATTGGAACTGATATTTATTGATTGCTGTTAAAATCAATTGACTATGTCTTTTTGAAACAGAACTAAAATCCAAGTATCTGTAATGGTATAGTCTGTATAGTTAGGCTTGGCCCAATTAGTGGTAAGGTTATATACGGAGTATACATTAGGGATGTTAATGTGACAAGGTTCATGTGAATAGTTAATGGAGTTTTTCCCCTCTCTTTGGATCCTTTTGGATAACTCTCTTATTTGGATTTCTCTCTTTCTTATATAAAAAAACAACAAACTCAGTATTATCCCAACTTCATTGGGTGCTGGGGTCAAGAACTGTATACACAATCTTACCCTTGTAAAAAAATATAGAGATCGGTTCCATTATACTCCGCACCTCTGATGCATTGCTGCATTTACTTCCCAAAATTTCATAGAATGTAAGAATCAAGAGAAGTTTAATGTGTAATTTTCAAATTATCCATTATTTACTCAAAGTCAAACTGTCAAAATGATTATTTCTTTTATCTCCTCCCATATATATAGTTCCTTACTGTACACGACTCTTGACAGCCATCATGATCTACAATAACAAACCCAGTATAATCTTAATGTCATTGGGTTTGGGGTGTCAAGATGGACGCAACTTACTCCAATAAAACACAGAGACACTATGTCCATTAGACCCTTGATGCATTTGCTGTCCAAAACTTTACAAAAAAAGTAGCAATTGAAGTTTAACCGTGACCATGGTCCTTTGTAGGAATTTGGAGCAGTGACCATCAAACATCTTGGTTTATTTTTTTGTGATTTACTTTTAAAAATTAAGAATAAGTTAATAGAACGAAACGTTGAGAAATGGGCTATGGCGCATTTGATCTCTCGTGTCTTAGCCTCTTAGGCATGTAAGTAGTTCCTTTTTTCTCCTATATAATTATCAAGTGAGTTCTATAAGCCTTGATATATTTATTTCTGTTTTTATTTCAGATTTTTCGATGCCTTTTAACTGCAGCAACAGTCCAGTAGTGAGCAACACTCTAATAGTTTCTTTATTTTACAGCAATAATGTTGTGGAGAAGGGATATTCGTCACTTTTATCCTTTACAGTATGTGACATCAACAGTACCGTGACGAAACTGATAGCGCTAGGTGCAGAGTTGGACGGTCCCATCAAATATGAGATTCATGGGAAGGTATGTTCTGGACTAATTGCTTCTCTTCCCCTTACTATATGTGACAGAACACATTTTCAGCCCCTTGGATTTTGCACGTTGGCCCTATTGAGCCATTCAACTTTTGATATCTTGGTTGCCGTGGCGTATGTAATCTACCCAAGCCAAAAGCTGACATATTTCATTGCGTTTTGGTGGATGTGTCAGGTTGCTGCTGTGAGGTGTGTCGATGGCCACATGGTCGGTCTTCACGAGCCCATTTGAGGTGTGTCTTATTCCTATATTTACTTCAAACCGAAGACAACACTGAAAGTTAGATGCTAGAAAACACCCAAGGATAAATATACATTTTTTTTTATTTTTTTATTGAGAAATTTACCCTTTTTTGGCATCTATAGCATTTGCAATGTGTGTACTTGTGGCATCAATTTTGAGTTTGTGCACTTAAATAGGATCCTTCAGTCTAAAGGTGCAGAGTATTATAGTTGTCATTGTTAGAGTATAAAACCATTCATGAGACTTGAACTACAAGCTTAAGCTTTTAGTTCCTTAGCACTCTATTAGAGTCTTGTTAGAATAAATGTTACGTGTTGGTGATGAGACGTGTTAGATTATAAAATTATTCATGTGACTTCATTTACAAACGTGAACTAACAATATGCAAATATGCATACGAACCATGTCAAATGAAATGAAAATAATTATATTTTACATTTACCTCCATGATTTTTTTTGTACCCCAGTAATTTTTTGGACAACATACTCATTATGGTTCTAAATAATGTTCATTTCAATCAGTTTTATATGTTTATGTTTGTATATTATGCTCATTTTCTTATAAATAATGCCCGTTTAGTTATTTGGAATCTCTCACCTCCAATCCTTGATGTAATATTTCTTCAAAGGAATGGCTCATCCTCTCCGCAAAGGATTCAGAGGACTTAGCATTGTCAAAGGCGTGGGTTAGGACTTAGCATTGTCAAACAAATTTTGCAATGAATATTGTTGTCGGCCGAATCAAACAAATGACTGGCTTCTTGGTGTCTAAAACAAGGGCATAAATGGAAAGCCAACGTAATTTTTACACTTTGTTAAAAATGAACTCAAGTCAAAGTGAGAAATTAATTTTGGGACAAGGCGAGTAGAATTTGCTCATACTTTTTGAATCCAATGACGCACAATGAGTCAATGCCTTCATTTCTTCTATTGAGAATCAAATCTAGATGTGCTTCGTCGTGAATCTTTGAGAGTGAACTTAGAGCATTCACAATGGGATTGAATCTCGCCCCGCTCCATTGTCTGCCACATCAACATTCTACCAATTTTCAACCCCGCTCTAAAATTCTACAATGTTATTGCCCTAAAAAATCAGTCTCTCCATTTTTTTTACGTTTTTCATCATTTTCAATTCCGGTTTTTTTATTAATATAATTAAAATAAAAATGCTAACAATGACAATATTTATTAAAAACATCGAAATAAAAAATGAATACACCAAAATAGAATTAAAATTTTAAAAAGTACAACAAAAATCAATGCTAGAATTAAGTATCGTTGCGCCTCCAAATTTCTTCGATCAAATCATCCTGGAGGGTAGCATGACTTAGCTTGGTTCATCACACATACTTGCACGCCGATTTACAAAATCTTGTAAATCGGGAGGTGACCCTTGAGCCGTTGGACCTTGAATGACGGATGTCTTTGAACTGGATGCAACCCCCTCATCTGTAAAACGAGCGATGTTGGCTTTCTCATATTCGACTATCATGTTATGCAGTATAATACATGCAAACATGATGTCCGAGAGGAAGATCGGCACCACAAGCGTGCGAGGCCTTTCACTATCGCCCACCGCGCTTGGAGCACTCTGAATGTCGTTTCACACCTTTTTGTGCTGACTCTTATTTCTGCGTGAACAATGTCCTCTTTGAATTTGTTGAACACGTGATTATTTTCACAAACAATGGCCAACGTGGATAGATCTCATCTGCCAAATAATATCCCATGTTATATTGGCGACCATTGGCGGTGATTTGTACTACTGGCACACGTTCAACACATGCATCGTTGAATAAAGGGGACCCATTCAACACGTTCAAATTATTGCTCGATTCGACGACCACGAAGTACAAATGCCAGATCCACATGGTCGACCATAGCCTCGAGCACGATCGTCGGGTGCGAGCCCTTGTAATTCGAACGAATAATACATGAAGCATTCAGAAGTGACGACGAAACTGGTCATCAATAAAATGTGAAACATTTGAAAAATAATCTTCAAACAAACGGCTAGCGGTCTGCTCACGGTCCCAACGAATGTACAACCACCTACGTAAAACAGGAGGAGTAGCCGTCACAGTTAGCATATTCACCTGCTTGGATGAAAGGCGAATACTCATGGTACACTTCAACTAGTATATCCACGAACTCATCATTCGTTGGATGAAGAACTATTTTTTAGTGAAATACGAAATTAAAGATGAAGATAAATTGAAAAAAAGAGTGAATTGAGAGGGGTTAGAGTGGATAAATAGAAGTGGAAGATGTGTTGAATTTATAGAATTGAAAAATTAAAAAAATTAGGCGCACGGCATACCGCTGCAATGGACGGCCGGCTGGCCGTTTTAGGTGCGTTTCACGCCTGGCTTAGCGCCGCGGCTTGCCTTCCGCTGCTTGCCCTGCAATGGCGAGACGTCGCTCGGCGTTCCGCATCAGCCCGACATGGCGGTTTTTTTATCTCCATTGCAAGTGCTCTTACTGTCACTCAAGTAAAGGGAGAACTCTCTTACTTTCCTTTTTAGAGGATGTACTCTTCGACTGGTCTGGTTGAAGTTATTCTTAAATTTTATTTCTGATCTGATATGATTTGGTTTTGTTTTAATAAATACAAAATATTAAAAATAAATTGAAGAGGATAAGCTCTTAATTTGCTTCAAAATTATTTATCTCAAGTACTTTTCAATACTCTCCTCGTCTCATATATTTCAATACTTTCTCCAATTTTCAATGCAACACTTTAATTATTAATATCTATTTTTATGTATAAATATAAATTATAAAAATATACTCCGTAATATTTTAAAACTATATTTTAAAATTAACCTATTGATACTAAATTTATATAATAATTTAGTACTCTCTCCGTTCAAAAATTATTTTTTTGTTCACTATTTACATGGTCAAATTTTAATTATTTTTTGGTCTATTTTCGTTACACGATAAATTTATATAGTTATGTAACCTTTAATTTCATAGATGTTTTGATGTAGTTTTTTAAATATGTAATTTTTATGGTGTACTGTACTAATTTTGGACTGGGACGGGAGATGAAGTGCTCCGCATTTTGATAGAAGATTCTAGACCGTTCTTGCAAGATACTCTTCCCCTTTTTTTCGATTGAAAGAAATGAGAATTTCATCTTACGAACTACGAAGTTATCCGCAGAAGATACACAGGAAGTTGAAGAAGACAGGTTTGAGTTTAGTTTTGCATTTGGCTAGTTGATGATGGATCGGGGAGGGAGAAAGAGGGGGCGTTCGATCTCTCGCGGGATGCTTCCCTTGCTGGCGCTGCACGCGGTGTCGGAGTATTGCAGGCTCGACAGGAAACCGCCCCTCACGGCGGGGCTCATGGCGGCGAACACCATCGTTTACTTGAGGCCCGAATTTCTCGATCATATCATCCCTTACATTGACGAGGTGTGGTTCAATCCCCACCTCGTTCTCAAGGTATGCCCTCCTCTCCAACACTCAAAGTTAATTGTGGACTATAATAAAACTGGAATCGGATCTAGAATCATTCAAAAAAAGCGACTAATGATTGTCGTTTTTGCTGGTACATAAGAGGATTAACAGAAGTGCTTTATAATCCTCATCACTTCTTATTATCTTATAGCGAGTAGCAATTTATTTACTAATGTGCATTAGGTTAACTCTAATTCTGAGTTGCATCCAATTCTATGGATTTGCTATGTTCTGAACTGAGATTATTCCGAGATAAAGCCTGTTCGGTATCAGGTCCATTGTATGCCAAACTAGTTAGGTTTAGGTGCCATGGGGTAGATTTTCAGCGGTCAGATACTTAGCCAACTGTAATACCATTGAGAATCAATGCTCATTTGTGTAGTGCCATTTTGAAGTTATCACTGGAAGGACATCAGCTAGTTCACAGTTTCACACTGAAATTCACTTTTATTGCATGTTTGGTTCAGGGAATTGGGTGAGAAAGAGACGGAGAAGGGAGAAATATTAGAGAAGTAGGACTGGTTGTTTGTGTTGTTCTACACGATAGAAACACGGATGAAATGGGTAGAAATATAAAAGGAATGCATACTTGTCTCTTATGTCTATCTGAAGAAGAAGCATCAGTGATTCAGTGGTGCAAAACATTTCCCCTTCCATTATTCTCCTAACCAAACAAGAGGAATTCTAGTTTTATCTGCTCCTTTCTCCCATACTTATTCCCTACCAAATAAATCCTGCGTACAATGCAGTCAAATAGTGGTCATGGAGGATGGCAGTGGTGGAAATACTGAATAGTGCAGGTCATATGGAATGTTTGAATAATTAATAATGGAAGGTTATGAATTAATGATAGTGTCCTAGGATTAAATTTGGTAATCCACCATATACTTTTAATATCACCTTTTTGGTACTTCAGGAAGATACTTTCGTAATGCTGTTTTCGTATGTATATTATAAAAAGTACAAGAGCTAGATAAATGCTTCTGTTTTGATAATAAATCTGGGGGTTGGATACACACATAAATATGACTAAAGCTAGCAAAATCCTATTTGAGTGCAAGATAAATTGTTCTGATGGCGGCAAACACCATTGTTTACTTTAGGCCCGAATTTCTCGATCATATCATACCTTACATTGATGAGGTGTGGTTCAATTCCCACCTCGTTCTCAAGGTACGCTCTCCTCTCCAACACTCCATGTCTAATGAGGACTATAAAACTCAAATCGGATCATAGAATCATTCAAGCAAGAGACTAATGATTGTCGTTTTTGCTGGTATACATAAGGTGATTAACAGATGTGCTGGAATTTGGTGCTTTGTAATCCCCATCACTTCTTATTGTCTTATACATAGTAATTTATTTACTAATGTGTATGAGTTTAACTCTAATTCCAAATTGCATCAAATTCTATGGATTTGCTATGTTCTGAACCTAAATTACTCCGAAATAAAGCCTGTCCTGTATCAGGTCCATGGATTGAAATTTGGCAATCCACCATCTACGTGTAATAACACTTTTTGGTACTTCAGGAAGAAACCTTTCGTAACGCTGTTTTAGTATAAAAAGTACAAGGGCTCTAGATAAATGCTTTTGTTTTGAAAATCAATCTAGGGGTTGGATACACACATAAATATGACTAAAGCTAGCAAAATCCTATTTGAGAACAAGATATATTATTCTAATGATATGGTCCAAATTGCATTTCTGGCTTAGCATAACTTCTAGTGATAGTTTGAAACTTGAAATTGGGTGGTGGGTATTGATATGCCTTATGCTTCATTCAGTTGCAGCTCATTCTGCCCTTATTGTGTGCACACTCTCTTGGCTATAATATGAATGATATAAACTATTTTGCGTGCCTTTAAGAAATAGTGACAAAATAAATGTTTGCCAACTGTGTAGTCTTTACTCCGTACTTTTTTGGAATAGGGATTTTACGGATTTTCGTTAAACTGAAGTGGTGTTATTTCCTGCAAACTCTAGCTACCTATCTAGTGTTGTAGAGAATTGTTTGTACCAAAATAACATGATGAAACTAAATGATTTCACACCCATGCATATGTTCTAAATTGCCTCCAATTTTTTTGGTAAACAAAATAAAAATAAATAAGTTAAAGGCCCATTTACATTATTCTTGGTGGAAGACTTCAAAAAAAGAGGAAGATTATTGGTATATACTGGCCTCCAATTTTTTTTGGTAAACAAAATAAAATTCAATGAATTAAAGGCCCGTTTTCATGTCCTTACATCAAGCCTGGCGACTCATTGGCATACAATTCCAACTCTATAGGTATTGCTATTATCCTATCTATACTGATAAATTCTACTCCCTATCTCCCTATTTGATCTAGCCATTTGACTTGGCACACCTATTAAGAAAGAGAAAACTATATGGTTGAGATTTATCTGTTACGTTGAAGAACGATATCAACCGCATAAGTATTTCTTTTAAAAAAGGAATCGAAACAATTTCAGACTTTAGTAGAAAAGTAGCTCATATTTGTTACTCCCGGTATAATTTAATTTTGGAAGAATATGCTGCTAGGATCAATCGGCGTTCCAATTCTGACAGTGGTTTTGGTTTCTCCCCTTTTGCAGTACAAGGATCTCAAGCGATTTCTCCTTTCTCCATTCTACCACATCAATGAATCTCACTTGGTGTACAATATGCTGTCACTTTTATGGAAAGGGATTCAATTGGAAACATCAATGGGAACTGCAGAATTCGCATCCATGATTGCCGTTTTGGTTCCCATGTCCCAAGGCATTACTCTTCTGCTCTCCAAATTGCTCTTATTGTTCTTTGACTATGACACTCCCTATTACAGGGAATATGCCGTGGGGTTCTCTGGGGTCCTCTTCGCAATGAAAGTTATACTCAACGCACAATCAGGGCCCTACACATACGTAAATGGTCTAATGGTACCTACCCGTTACGCTGCTTGGGCTGAACTCATTCTCATCCAGATGTTTGTTCCCGGAGTCTCTTTCCTTGGCCATCTTGGCGGAATACTTGCTGGCCTTGGGTATTTACACTTGAAGAGTTCATTTTCCGGTTCTTCCAATCCACTGATCAAACTGGTCAGAGGCCTAGTTGGTGCAGTGAGTTTTCCTTTCAAGTACTTGTGGGGCATAGGGTCCTACAGACGAAGAGTTCATGGTCGGGGAGCTGTTGGAGGTAGGTGGGCTGGAAACAGATCTGACACATGGAGATGCCAAGCATGTACATTTGACAATTCAGGGCTTTTAAGTTCTTGTGAGATGTGTGGGACGGGTCGATCCCAAGACTCGTCATTTCACACACCGACAAGTGAGGTTCATGACATTGCCTTGGAGGAATTGCGCCGTAGGAGAGTTCAACGATTCGGTGGCCTGTAATCGTGCACCAGTCCAAGTGGTGATGGGTTTGTGTGAGAACCTACTGCTGTCACATTGCTGAGTTTCTGAAAGGAAAAAAAAGGGTTATGTTATTCTTGTTTTTCATGCACGGATGACCTGACTGTTTTTTTCTTCAAGGGGCTTCTTTTGACATCGGATTTCAATGTCGATGTTGAACAACTACGGTGTTTTGTTTGTAAATTTGATGGTTTTTGTTCTAAATGAGGAACTTTGATATTTCATGAATTTGGGAGATTTGTTAATATTGGAGTTTGATATCTCCTTTAATTATTGACTACCCCGGCCATCGATTACCACTAACACCACCGACCACCCCGTTATCGGCAACCTCCACCTATCATAAATTAAATTGAAATTTCAAATCTATCCAAATAATTTTATTTCAGATTTCAAAACTCGTATCATATCATATTTCTAAAAATCACTAAACACGCTTATATTGAATAAAAAAAAGCTTCTGAAAGTTTATTGAAATCAAATTTGACACGGAGTGTTACATATATTTTCAAAGGCCCGTGAAATATTACTTTTGGTGTAAATTCCAAGAATAGTTCATGAACATTCACGAAAATTTCGATTTGGTACCTATTACACTTCAACCTTGAAATTGGACCGTCGGATGTCATGCAAAATTGAAATTGCAACGTTAGATTTTGAGATCAATTTTGATTGTGTTTTTATATAGATAATAGACATTTTGCGCGTGTAAAAAGGTTTACAGTAATTTTTAACAGGGCCGGTGTTGGGACTACACAATATGCCCAATACATATTCCCAAAAAATGGAGGCCCAATAGTTTTTAAACTAATAAATAACTAAAAGAAAAATGATAATAGTCCCAACTCTAATCCAAAGGGCCCAAATAATCCCATAAGCCCCAACATATTCTTGCGAGATCCGCAACTGAGCAGGCGAGGAGCGGACGGAACGACGGGGGACGGCAGGAGGCGACGGCGCTGCTAGGACCATCGGCGGCAATCCATATTTCTTTTCGTATTTGAATGCTATCTGATCGGTCTAGGTAATCTCTTAGTCGTTTAGGTAATTAGGCCTTTAAATTTTGAAAGCTCATTGCTCAGGACAGAGTATTTGCTTTGTTATTGATTGCATTTTATAGGATTTTAGGGTTTATCTTTCCCTGTGCTGCTTTGTTTTGTCATTGCTAAGTATTTCAGTATTTGCATTGTTTAGGGTTCGTAGTTCACTTCGTTCTTTTGTGGGGTCTTTGGTGTTAATATTTATCAGATAATTGTATTATTAGCTTTTCTCTTAGGTTTCATTTGGTACACGGAATTCAAACTATGGAATTGGAATTAGTGAAACAATTCCAATTCTGCTGTTTGATAGCACAAAAAATGTGGATTTGGAATTGGCAGTGCCAAAAATGAATTGGAATTGGAGAATTCAATTCCATCCAAATCAACTCCATAGAATTTCAACTCCCAATTCAGTTCCATTTCTGTTAATTCCATGTACCAAACGGACCTTTAGTTTATTTCATTGGAATGCTTTATTAACCTGTGTTTTTCGTGAAATATTACTTTTGATATAAAAAAAAGTATGAAAATATTGTATCAAAATAGGCAATAATAAATTTTCAAACTAATTTTAAATACACGAAAAAATTCACATAAAGTGCATACGTAAGAAAGTACTCCGTAATATTTTACTCCATATTATATGTAAACTTTAAAAAAGGATAAAAATGACTCAAAAAAATTGTGTGTTCTTATTTTTTAAGGATATGTTAATCCTTATTAGTTAGGCTTTGTTTGTAATTATCATTAGCATTTTATGTCTCTGTTTTAAAGTTAAAATTATAAATTTTAATAGATGCTTGACTGACTGGTGTGGACCAACTCAAAATATATTAGCATTTTATTACAATCTGTCCAAAGAGCCTTTTCTCTCCCACAGTTTTCTTGACTTTATTTTGTTTTAAATGGATATTAAACTATGGTGACTTTGAGCTTTACATTTTATGAATTATAATTTACTTGTATTTTATAGTAAATTTGTTTACAATGGGGTACTTGTCACCAAATTACCATCTAGGTGGGCTTCTAGTAGACTGGGCATCCTGGCTGTCCACTAGTGCCGCGCCTCGCTATGGCACCATGATAACTATGGATTCCATTAGACTCTAGATATTTAGGCTTTAGAAATAGGGATTGGCTGAGATTTCAGATGATAACTTCAATATAGCCCATATTTGAGCTGTTAGTGTTCAGACTGTTCACACTTCTCTCACTTGATCAGATCCTAATGAGTATTTCTTGTGTTTGGTAGGTGCATTGCAACTGTAACTTCTAAAGAATGGCTATTCCTAAAGAACTGTATCCATCAGAGAATGACCTCCCATATGAGGAAGAGCTCCTCAGAAACCCATTCAGCTTGAAGTTATGGTGGCGCTATTTGGTGGCTCGAGCTGACTCCCCTTTCAAGAAGCGTTCCATCATCTATGAGCGTGCTTTGAAAGCTCTCCCTGGCAGTTACAAGCTATGGCAAGCGTATCTTCGCGAACGCCTTGAGGTGGTTCGTAATCTTCCTGTCACCCACTCCCAGTACCAAACCTTAAACAACACCTTTGAGCGTGCCCTAGTGAGTATGCACAAGATGCCTCGCATCTGGATCATGTACTTGCAAACCCTAACAGAGCAGAAGTATTTGACCCGGGCTCGCCACGCCTTTGATCGTGCGCTGTGTGCTTTGCCGGTGACTCAACATGACCGGGTTTGGGCGCTCTATTTAAATTTTGTCAGTCAGAAGGGGGTTCCGATCGAGACATCGCTCCGGGTTTATAGACGGTACTTAAAGTATGACCCCTCCCATATTGAGGATTTCATTGAGTTCTTGCTGAATTCCGGGCTTTGGCAGGAGGCTTCAGAGAGGTTGGCAGGAGTATTGAACGATGATCAGTTCTATTCGATTAAGGGAAAGACAAAGCATAGACTATGGTTGGATCTCTGTGATTTGTTGACTCAGCATGCTACAGAAGTGTCTGGAATGAATGTGGATGCAATCATTAGGGGAGGGATTCGAAAATTCACAGATGAGGTTGGGAGGCTATGGACGTCCTTGGCAGACTACTACATCCATAGAAAATTGGTTGAGAAAGCAAGGGATATATTTGAGGAGGGGATGACCACTGTAGTGACAGTTAGAGATTTTAGTGTAATTTTCGACGTGTATTCAAAGTTCGAGGAGAGTATGCTTGCGTTAAAGATGGAAGAGATGAGCGAAAGTGAAGTGGATGATGATGATGATGAGGGTAATATTGAGAAAGGGATGAAGGAGGAGGATGAGGAGGATGATCGATTGAATGTTGCAAAACTGGAGAAAAAACTCAACAATTTTTGGTTGAATGATGATAAGGATGTCGACTTGAGGTTGGCAAGACTAGAGTACCTAATGGACCGAAGACCAGAGCTGGCTAATAGCGTACTTCTAAGGCAAAACCCACACAACATAGAGCAGTGGCATAGAAGGGTGAAGCTTTTTGAAGGGAACCCCACGAGGCAGATACTGACTTATACAGAGGCAGTGAGGACAGTAGACCCGATGAAGGCTGTTGGGAAGCCCCACACACTGTGGGTTGGATTTGCAAAACTCTATGAGAATCACAAGGATGTTGCAAATGCTCAGGTGATATTTGACAAGGCTGTCCAGGTCAACTACAAGGCTGTCGATCACCTTGCTGCTGTCTGGTGTGAATGGGCTGAGATGGAACTACGACACAAAAACTTTAAACAAGCACTTGATATAATGAGACGTGCTACTGCAGAACCATCCGTTGAGGTCAAAAGGAGAGGTAAATCTAGTATTTCCAATGAATAATTTTTTCCCTGATTGGCTTTAGGTTTGGCTTTAAAATATTCAAATGCTAGAATTATATTTAATGGTCGCATTTAAATCCACCCAAAAATTAATCACAGTAGATTTAAAATTCAGTGTCTTGTTCAATTCAAACATAACTTTTGTTGTACACGGTTTGATGGCATGGTGTTTTGGCTAACACCAAGTAAGAGAACTTATAGTTGTCTTGGGTCTTGGTCAATGTTGATTTCATTTGAGTTGGGCATTGTAGGTTAATATTCCCAAAGATGGTGTGCACTGTGCATTTACCATGCAAAATTCATTTCAAACATTGTTATGAAAGTTAGGGTGGTTCTAAATCCACTCCTCATTTTGCTAAATCCACACCTTTTATTGAAGATAATTTATAACTGCATATGAAATATAGAAACATCTATTCCATATTGCGAGAATTCATGATAAGGATAAATATTTGTAGAGTTCAATTGACAATGTTTTAGTTTCAGGCACATGATGAACATAATTAAAAAAAGGCACATTAAACTTCCCAGACCCCGTGAAGTTTGGATTATATTGTGTTGTTGTGAAAATTCAAATGTGTTTTTATGTGGCACCAGGTGTGTGTGTGTGTGTGTGTTTGTGTGTGTGTATGTGCGCGTGCATTACCAAAATAAAAAACTGAAAGGCTTCAAGATGGCTAATTATCAGTTGATATTTGATATTTATATTGCAGTTGCTGCCGATGGAAATGAGCCGGTACAGATGAGAGTTCATAAGTCCCTTAGGCTCTGGACATTCTATGTGGATTTGGAAGAGAGCTTAGGTACATTAGAGTCAACTAAGGCTGTGTATGAAAGGATTTTGGATCTTAAGATTGCTACGCCTCAAATAATTATCAATTATGCAATGCTTCTTGAGGTATGTCTATGTCTCATTTCTGGTGATGATGAACCTAATGTAATCTTCAAACAGACCTTAAGTGTGGGATTAACATTCTATATTTAATATACTTAATTTCTTCTCCAGGATCATAAATTCTTTGAGGATGCATTTAAGGTTTATGAGAGAGGTGTAAAGATCTTCAAGTACCCACATGTAAAGGACATATGGACTACATATCTTTCCAAGTTTGTCAGAAGATATGGCAAGTCAAAACTGGAACGAGCTCGGGAATTATTTGAGCATGCTGTTGAAGTGGTATGTTATTTATTTATTTTCATAAAGATGCTGAGTATTCGGTATGGGGTTTTCATTTTTCATTTGCTTAATGTTGTTGCACATTATTTATATTCGGCTTTTTTTGTTTTACTATTGCTACTCCTATTTATTTACACTTTCTCTCAAGTACCCTTAGTATGTTGCAATTGTGGGGAGCTATAAAGGGTATTTTGGTGAAAGTGCAAATCATGGGGAATGGAATAGCAGCTTCTG